CCGAGCTCAGAGTTCTATGCATTCTGCCCGGACCCGATGAGGACCGGCAATAGCCGAGTAGCGCACGGCAGGCCTCATCCGTAATCTCAGCACGCAGGTTGGTCATAGCCTGCTCAAACTCCACATTGTAGTCGTCAACACTCTTCGACCCCTGGGACAACTTGATCCAGGTGTCCCAATAGTAGGACTGGATAGGGGTACGAAGACCATAGCCCTAATCATATTAGTCTCTCGGAAGAACTAACGAGCATTCCCAGCAAACCCTCCAGGGTTGGCTGCATTCCCAAGATACGCTCCAGGATTGGCTGCCAGCCATACCTCCCACTGGAACATCCAATCTAGGACCCGGGCTTCCCATTCGGGTAGGAAGACGCCAACCGGAGATAATCGGACATACTCCGCATTGGAGTAGCCGAAAGGTACTCCTCAACCATTGGCAACCATTGCCGAATATCCGGAACACTGCTCTCCTTGTTCTCGAACTTCGAGGGAGATGAGGCCTTGACGGCACCAGCAATATTGGCTGTAGCAGCAGCAACTTGCGTCGCATTAGCCACATTCTAAGCCTGTTGCAGCTGACCGGCCATCGCATTCATGCGAGCCGTATTACGGCTGTTCTGCTCCAACAGAACAGACAGTCTCGCTGCATCACTTCCAGTGACACTGATAGCCTGAGCCTCGCAGGCAATCTGGGCTGCTTCGTTAGGAAGAGCTATCCTTGATATGCGTCGAACACAGCAACCGTACAAGTCGCATAGTTCGGGGCTGGTGCCAAATGGGAACAACCACAGGAGGTACAACATGACGAACCGCAGCCATACTGATACCAGCCTCCGCTGTCAAATCATACAGACTGACCCCTCACAGCCCTTCTAACCGGAGCCTACGTAAACCGCCAGAGAGCTCTAGACCGAGCAACCTGACTGTAAGTAGGTGCAAGCTCAACACTCTCAGAAGGCAAAACAGGAATAGTTTCCCAATCCTCGGAGACAGCTCAGACTTGCTTCCCTGGTCCCCAAAAACCTGCTCCTTCCCCTTGCTTGCAGGAGTAAAAGCCGAAGCCTCCGGACTGAGTGTACTTGTGGAAGGCTTCGCAACCTCCCCTTCAAAGCGGCCAATTCCTAACTCCGAGATGCTGAAACACAGATCCGTAAGTAATTCGGTCGAGAATAGACGCGAGGCGCTCCTCCTTCTATTGAAAGTGGGTCCATGTACCCACATCCAATCTCGCAAGAGATCAGAACTCTACCCACTGATATCACTGTGACGGTTGGCCAGCATCAGCAAAGTGCTGGCGGGATCATACTACATACACTAACGGCAGCCATGTGCGGAAACCATGGTTGCAGGCTTTCTTGGACGAAAGCGCAGCTCTGTAAAAATGTTGTCCTTCACTGTCAAGACAGTTCGGCTTGCTGGTTGGGACTTGACTTCAAGGATTCCCGCGCAAGTTGAACCAAGTCTTGTTTCCGAGTCGTTCGCATTCAGTGAAGTCTTGAGTCATGGAGGGGCAGTCTCAAGCGCACTCGGGGTCTGCATCCAATCATTTCCAAGTCCTCCGTCCAGCTGTTGAGGGAGCTTACCTACGACCGCATAGTACTGAGAGCACAGTGCGCCACGCCAAGCAATCCTGGTCATGACAGCGACTGACGACTTGTTTCAAGTTTAGGACTGAACAGAACTGAATAGCACTAAACATCATCATTGCCCACCATACATCTTAGCCAGTGGCATAATTGCAATCAATTATGTCACATCAGTAACTGGCCACATGCCAACATACTGGCAAACCCCAAAGGTTAACTGCGATTGTGCGGCCAGTTAGACTTAACTATAGTCCAATCGTCACACCTTTTCAAATGGTATCAGAGAAATGCTATGAGATACAATCTTGTCATGGCTATATATGAGGTTTATGCCCGTCAAGGGGAGGAAGAAAAGAGCAAACGTGGTCAACAAGATGCATGCACGAAGTCGTGTAGATAGCCTGTCGGTCATATAGCCCACAGCAGAAAACTCGCCGAATCACGAATGCCAGTTAGCAGTCTCCATACAATGAGCTGCTTGAGCCGGGCCAGAATATTACGAGCAAAAAACAGGTCAACATGTTGAATGAAGGACTCATGTTCCCATTGGTTGCAATGCGAACTTAGCTACAATGTATGCCAAGTCCCCATTCTTGTTGCCCATTCAACTTGCAATAGTTTGGCCGCAAATATCAAGTCGAGCACGTTAACAATGACATGACAGTCCTACGTAATCAATTTTTGAAAGCAAACTTCTTAGACTGAATGCTGCATAATCTGCTTGCTAAAATTTGTCACGATATGCCAGAGCGGCCTTTGCAAAGTTTGACCTGTCCACCCTGTTTGATCTTCATCGGCTAACTAGGTTCTACTTTGAAATTTACCCGAGGAAAGTGCTGCCCTTCTGACTATGATACGCCTCCCTCTCCTCTCGATCTGCTAAAAGACATCAGGATGAAACCTTCCTGGCATACTGTTTTGCTCTTGAGCTTTCCTAAGGTGCAGCGATAGGGCATAGTTGCTGACCTGTAAAGAAAAAAGTCAAACCTTGATCGACTGGCAGTTGCTTAAGCTGACATTACGAAAGCACCATACAAACCTGACTCGAGCAGATGAGAATGCACCCATGAATCCTTCAATCCTCCAAAAACAGTAGAAGATAATGCCCCGGGTTTGAGACCAAAAACCACAACTTCCATTGACATCCAGGGTGCCTCCTGTAAGCCCAGCGGCGTTGCCCCAGGCTGGTCTGCTGGGCCTCACCTCGAGCGTGCGCAGCTGTTCCTGGTACTGCTGCAGCGCCTGCCGCGCGGCCGCCAGCTCCTTGCCCCGCTCCTCCGCCTCCTGCTGCCGCGCGTTCAGCATCTGCACTGCGCGCTTCAGGATGTGGTTGTCCTTGCTCAGCGCCGCCACATGCTCCTTTAGCGCGGCGTTCTCACGGCAGGCTGCCTCCGCGCCGCTTTCCGCGCGCTGCCGCACCAGCGCCTCAAACTCGCCGAGCACCTTGGCCCCGCGCGCCCGCGCATCGTCCATGCTGGCGGCGGCCGCCATCTCCGCCACCACCAGCTCCACCCACTCCGCCCCGGCACGAGGAGACACGCCAGAGGGGCAGGCAGGGGCCTCCGCGGCAGGCGGGGAGGCAGGCCTCGCAGCGGACTCTGCAGCCACATGACCAGGCATAAGCATGGCAGGTGCAAGGAGAATGAAAGGTCACACAAATACACAAGCAGAAGCCCTCCTCTTGAGAGATTCTCGACAATTTGGAGGTTGACATGTCAATGACGACACCAGAGTCAAGCAACAGAAAGACGGACAACTTGGAAGCAAAAGTTGCTCTTCATGTTGCATACTTGTCTTTTTCTACCTCTGCTGTGCAAGATCTTCAGAGACTGACAAAAATGTAAATTAGAGCATACCCCAGAACGAAGGGGGACTCAACAACAATGGCAATAGCAAAATGTTGCAAAAGCAAAGCAGACTGCTTGTCCTTTCCAAGGTCAGGACGCATATGGTCCGAGTCACTTACCTTGCGTGGTTCCTCTGACGTCTGTGCTGTGTGTTGCCCCCTTTTCAGCAGGTCCAGGTGCCGGCGCCGCTGCCTCTGCTTGCGAGGAGAGGCGCAGCTGCGTGAGGCACTGGATGGCGGCGTCGACGTTGTTCTCACACGTCTGCAGCACCTTCACCAGCACCTGCACACCGCGCACCACCACAGCCGTCATGCGCGGCGCAGAAGCAACTAGGAGGGGGGCCAGCCAGAGGGCATGCAGCAGCCGTAAGGATGCCCAGCCAAACTTGACAGAGGCTGCTAAACAAGGTTGGACATCTGCAAGCAGCATTTGTGAGCGAACTACCCAATGCAGCTCTAGTACAAAGACCCGAAAGCGCAACTGCTTTAGGACCCAAACCCTGCAGACTGCGGACGAGATCAGGCATTTGCTCCAAAGGAAGACTTGTATACAAAGCAGAGCAGAGAAAGGGAAGAGGAAGGGAAATCAGGGTTCCCGCTGAGCAGAAGCACAACGGAGAATCAAGCGAGGACCATCTTTTGTGGCTCAAGGCCGTGCGCTCAAACTGTCTCACATAATCTTTCATTGAACCAGAAACGCAAAAAGCGGCAAAGCTCCCACAGCATGACAAGAGGGAGAGGCTCCACAGGCTAGGGAGGGTACCTGAGTGTCCATCTTGGGAAAGTGCCTGCGCAGTTGGTCTACTGCGTCATGCACGCTACCCCCTGGCCCCGCCCCTGTGCCCCCCCCCTCTGGGCCACTTGTAAGGGGTGGGGACGGAGGGAAGCGGTGTGCGGGAGAGCCCCCGTAGCGCACGCGCTTGGACGCCTTGGGTGGAGACCAGTCAGCAGGAGAGTCTTCAAAGAAAGACCGCTTCCCGCAAACGACCGCAGACATCAATCCTGGTTGTACAACCCCACCGAACCCTTGACGCGGAGATGTGTAAGCGGCAACACGAGCATGGAGCCGCAGGTTTCCTCAACTTTCTTCTTTGCTTGCCAAAAGGCCGCCAATCTTTCCAAGCTCCCCCAGCGGCTGGCCAACGCAAGCACAGGCGTCCTAACTTCAGAAGCGACTTCAGAAGTCTGAAGGCGGGGCTGCAAGGCACCGTTTTGAGGGCGTTTTGGACAATGGAAGCGCCTTTGCCTACTGCCGGAGACTTAAAGTTGCTGGATCGTCTGCTGCACAGCACCGACTCGGATGGCGTGGGCAGGACGACTCCAGTCTAGTAACCCAGGCAGCATCGAAGGCAATAACCCCGATTTGCCGGGTCAGTTTCCTGAGTGCCTGTCGCCTCAGCCCGGGGTTCTGATATCAATAGGTCATCCTTTACCAAGCACCCAAGCTCCGAAAAGTGCGGTCGGTCGAGTTCATTCGTTAGAAAAAATCCTATGGATACACCCTTCGGGCTGTAAAATCTGAGGTTAATAGTTATACTTGGATGTAGGCCGTTGGATGGTGCGAATGTCAGCAAACTCGAATTTTGGACCATCGATTCGTCTGTTCTTGACGATTTTCTTGACTCTTTTAATAATTGAGGCTGGGTACATAGATCTCAAGTGGATTTGTGGTGTACACGAAGAATTTCAGACCGAAAGTCTTGAATGTCGGCACGTGAATTTGAGCGGAAATTATATAATACCCACAATCTCGGCAGATTAGACACTGAGACTCTGGCGCAAGGTAGCCCATCGACCGGGACAAAACATGGATTGGAAACTCACCGACTTTTGCGGTATCAATGATTGGCAGAGCTTGTACTCCCACTACGTGTAACAGACTGTACCTTGTACATCCCTGAGTGAAATAGAGGTTGTTGATGGGACCTTTACCGGAATTTTCGCACGCGCAACGCATGACCCAGGTTTCACATTTTTTCCACGTTCCCCAGTTCGAATCCAGATCGATTGGTGGTGGGTCACCGTGGGACTCGGAGCTGGAGCCTCAGGTAGGCGCCATCGAGATTCGAAACATGATTCCTCGCGAGGCAAAGTTTAACCTGGCACAAACCCGACTTGCGGATCGCCCGGGCCAATGAACTTTGAAGTTAATTGGAGAAGACAGAATCTGATTCGAAACGGAATCTCAAACCAAGGTTTTAAACCAGGCCCTCGACGACCCCTCGTCATTGCACTGTTCAAAGTGACTGATGTTGAACTTGAAGGGGGGATCCCGGATCCTGGAGGCAGAGACTCAGACTCAGAGGGGCACAAACGGCGCGCCATTACACAGGGCACAGGGCCATCAGGACGGCCATCACGGTGATGAAGCATAATTGTGAGGGGGCTGGTGAGTTGGTGGCGGCTCCTACTACTAGTATCAGCGGGCTTGTGAGAATCAAGCAAGAGGAAGTGCGAGTACACCGCGTCTCTGTGGCGTCCATCTTACCCTCGTTGATAATGAGCAAGGCAGCCTGATCGGAGCAGTTTATGGGTTGGTCCACAGCATTGCAACAATCCCCTATTCGCTACTCACAGTTTTGTGGAGCTGTGCCTGAGAATTGTCAACAGAGGATTGGCGCTGCAAGAGCTGGGTGCTGTCTTCCCTCTCGAAGTGCACAAGCACGCAAACACTTGTGGGCTCGCGCAGCTGAGGGCCGCCCCTGGTCCAGGAGACCGGCCCCACAGTGACACAGAGCCGGGCAGAGTGGTTGCACGCACTGACTGGTCACAGACTCGCACAGATGGGGGCAACTTGAAAGCACTGGACAGTGTTCCCCAGCGGTGCCCTTTCCCCGCTCATTTGACTGCCCCCATCTTTGCCCGTCAGTGGCGGACCCCGCAGAATTCGATTGTGCGGCGCACAGCCGCCATGGCCTACGGCGCTGATCAGATTTGGGTGGCGCTGTCGCTGACGATGGTGGGGGGCCTCGCCACCGCCGTAGGTGAGTACCGTGACAACTGCAGCTGCACAGCTTGCCCTTCTGAGCGTCCGCTTGTGGCCTGCTCCCTGGGGCTCATCTGTCCAAGTCACTGCTTCTCATAACCACCCCAAAGGAAGGTTTGACAATCAGTGCCGTCCTCGTTTTGCCTCTGCGTTCCGCTGAGCGTGCTGCCCCGTGCAGGCGGCCTGCTGGTGGTCCTCCAGCCCACCCCCGACGTGCGTCGCCTGGGCGTGATGCAAGGCCTCGCGGCGGGCCTCATGCTGTGCCTCAGCTTCTTTGACCTGCTGCCGGGGGCCATCCACAAGATTGGCTTCAAGCTGGCCAACCTCTGGGTGAGGGCCCTGCGCCCTCTTCACTTCTCTCAAGACGCACTTTCCCTGAGCAGGTCTTTATTTGACTTTTTCAGACAGTGGTTCCTGCCTGTGTGTGATCCAAAGAGATGAAGATCTCGAAAAGTGAGCGCTGTACCAGCCAGGTTCGAGGTGCGCAGTCTGCTGGGTGAGGCTACAGGTTAGACGGCATCGTATCCGATTTGCGGATTACGAGGGGAGGAGCTCTACTCAGAGCCCTTACTATGCGGGTCTCAGCATTCAAATGATGGTCCTATATTCCCCAAATTCTCGGCACAGCTTGTAAGAGTCAGGGTGGTGTACATGCCCTCCATCCTGCGCCCTCCTTGTCTGGTCTTCACAGCAAGCGCCGCTGGTGTCCGTGTGCAGTTCTTTGCTGGAGTGCTCTTCTTCTGGGCGGTGGTCCAGTTCATCCCCGAGCCGAGCCTGGACCAGCTGGCCGGCGCCGATGAAGAAGAAGAAGAAGCCCCCCGCAGCCGGGGCGTGCAGGATGGGGCAGACATGCAGGGGGCGGCAGTCGCAGACGGAGGGGACGCAGGTGGGGGCAACGCTGGCACACCAGTAGGGAAGTCACATGTGTGGTGGCTGCGAGTCAAACGAGCCTTCGTTTGGCCAGCATTTTGCTGCAGACCCTGTTCGTGATGTGTCGCCCTTGGCCGACTGCGTCGCCCGCCCTCCCTCATGCCTGCTTCTGTGCGCTTGCCGCAGGGCTGCGCCGGCGCCGTGGCCCGGATGCCCCTGCCGCAGAGCGGCCATCGCTGAGCCCGCCCCCCGACAAGAAGCCCGCCTTTGGGCGGCATCGCGTCCTGTACAGCGGCATTATCACAGCCATAGGTACGCACAGCGCTGACCGGGCCCACCCCTGCATTGCAGCCTGCTGGCCAAAGCATGTATTTCCGTCCAAAGAGGCCCCCGCTGCTCATGCCCCGATCTAGAAGCCATGCCGTTCGGCAAATTCTTTTTTCCTGACCAGTGCTGTCGTGAGCGCTTTACTGGCCCGTTCCTGTGTAGGGATCAGCCTGCACAACTTCCCAGAGGGCATTGCCGTCTTCTTGGGCTCGCTCAAGGTGAGCCGAGAACCCTCAGTCAGTCCCCCCCCCAAACCCTCGGGGATCGTTGGCCACACACGCGCTCCTCGCTTCCTCACACGCCTGCTCCCTCCGGATGCATATTGACCGCTGCCTGTGCCCCGTGTGTACCTACTCTCTGCCCCGTTGCACTTGCGGTGCAGGGCCTACGGGTGGGGCTGACTCTGGCGGTGGCCATTGCGCTGCACAACATCCCGGAGGGCGTCGCTGTGGCCCTGCCCATCTACTATGGCACCGGCTCGCGCGCTAAGGCCTTTTGGCTGGCCGCCTTCTCCGGTCTCGCGGAGCCCCTGGCTGTCGTTGCCGTTGGTCAGAGCCCCCCCCGCCCCACCTGCTCCTCTACCCCCCACTGTTCGTCCCTGATCTGCCGGTGGCCCCCATCGACGTGTCCTGCTGAGCCCCTTCGAGTTCGTCTTTCCGCCCCCAAGTCGGTCTGTCTGCTGCGGACCCTACTCTCGGGTGTGCCGCTCCTCACGTGCCTCCGTGCTGGCTGCGTGCAGCGGTGCTGTTTCCGTCGCAACTGTCGGAGGAGACGATCGAGGGCCTGCTGGCGGCGGTGGGCGGCATCATGGCCTTCCTGGTGCTGCACGAGATGCTGCCCCTCGCCTTTGCGTACGCCGGCCACAAGCCCGCCGTCGTGGCTGTCTTCGTCGGCATGGCCGCCATGAGCCTCAGGTGCGGCCCCATCTCCGTCACCCTGTATTCCGTACGTTCTCTTGCTTCCCGGCCTCGTGAAAGCGGTAGATGCCCACCTCAACTGAGCACGCATAACGAGAGGCACCTCGCCTGGGGCACGATTGTCAAGGTGTCTCTGCAAGTTTGGCTGGCCACACGCAATCGCGGCGAGGTGGGTAGCCCGCACAGCTTCCGCCCCGCACCAACGTTTTTGCTCCTGCCGCCCCTCATGCAATCACGACAAGGTACTCATCTCGTCTTTGTTGATGTGCAGCTTGTGGTTCTTGGGGATTGCTCTTCCGCCGGAGCTCGCTTAACCGACGTGCCTTTGGAACGCCGACGTGCTGACCGCCGGCGATGCCTCCCCGCCCCCGTGTGTGCAAAGGGCTGGCATAGAGGCCCGGGCCTGCGGCGGGAGCGGACGATGAGAGGAAGCTCGAGAGTGCCGCTGATGGACGCCCGACCTTCGAGGACTCATCATGCACGGCCGTTTGCTAGCTTTGACACCCGAGGCTGCAGCGGTAAGCACGAGGAAACCATACAATGCAGCTTGGGCACAGCACGATCCTAGACCTCCACTAAAGCGAGGGCATTGCTCCTGAGGCGTCAATAGCTCCGCAGTGACGGGCTACACGTGATCAGGAGAATTGGTGGATAACCAAGAAGCAACACTCTCAAGATTGAGAAGTCACGCTGCCTTTCCAGTAGCCAGTGTTATGAGTAATACAGAAGTGTTGAGTTAGCCTTGCTTTCCAACCGAAGCAGGCATCATATATGGTCCTACCGTAAGCATATTGAATGCTATTCATGTCGCGAACTTCAGAACGTCTATCCTGACGCATATCCAATGCTACTTAACTTCGCCCTGGTTCATCCATAACAAAGAAATTGTATGGCGGCGCAGCCGACAAGAATATTGCAGACTGCATTCGATATTGCCGATCCATGCTGCACATGCATCGCCGGCCCGGCATGTTGGATCTTCTCGGCTTTGGTTGGAATGAGCTGTAACACAGTAAGATTCTGAGTAACCATAGTTGATTCCGAGTGACCATACTTTGAAGCATGACTTTATGAGTTTGCCAAAATCGTCACCGAGAAGGATTGCGTATAACTAGCTTCTAGCTGCCCCGCAAGTATCCCATGCAAAATTGATTCGTAATTGAAAACCTTTAGGAGGAAGTCTCGTCCCACATACTTAAAGTTCGCCATTATAGACACTCACTAGAGTCCTGATAGAGACCCTTCTCTTATAGCATATCTAAGCTACGCTTGAGATCGATCAAAACTGCACGGCTCCCTGCGCCGGCAGATTCTCCAGCATTAACCGCATCATCTTCTCTAGAACGAATTGTACCCTGGTGTCCCCTGTGCTTGTAAGGACGGTGATGTGATTTGTTACAAAGATTGTTCTGAATACCAAAGCCCTAAACTATCGGCGATGCGAGAGCCTGAAATTCCGATGCGTAATTTTTTCTCCAATTCGCATAGAACACTTCTGACCTGCCACCTTGTTTTTATGTGGGTCGATCCTCCTCTCAAAACAAGTCGAGGTGAGAGGGAAGGGCCGTGCCAACGCAACCTTGAATGCCTGCCCACTCTCTTGTGGCGTCCCTTCCTCCCCCCGGGGGTGACCTAGCCTATTGTCACTCCAGGCGAATTGGCCATCCTCTTTGGTCGTACACGATTGTAACTGGTTGGCCTCCTTGGTCCAGAGACCTTCGGCCAGCCTGCAAGTGGTTATAAGGGATATTTTTGTGGGACGGAGCATCGACTCGACCACTGAAGGGCGAACTTCTAGTCTCTTCTAGGCGGCTGCTTGTCGGCTCTTATGGCCGATAGCAACTTCCTCCAAACGTGTTTCCAACAGGGGGTTCGCCATGCCTCTTTCTGCCGGTTCTGCCTTGTTTCCCCCAGACACGCAAATCTCCACGGTGCGCACTCACCTCGAGGACGGCGGTGACGCGCGCGGTGCCGTCAAGAGTGGCCAGCACGCCCTCCGCGGCACAGTCGGCCACGCTGCGGGTGCCTGCGTTGATGGCGGCAGCGCGCTCCAAGAACTCGGCGATGCTGCGGTAGCCGTACCCGAGCTGCCCCGCAAAGTGGCCCGACGGAGATGGCGTGTACTGCACAACAGGCACACAGAGGTGCTGGGAGGAGCGGCAGAGGGGCCTCACATGCAAATGGCGGCCAGACCGTCATCAACCCCAACGGTGAGGAAAACGCAAAGCCGGGGTAGGGAGGGGGGGCGCGCACCTTCATGTAGAGAGGGTTGAGGGTGGCGAAACCAGCGGCGTCCGTTGCTGTGGTGTAGCCGCGGTGGGCCTGGTCCACGCGCAGCTCGCCCTGCACCGCAGCGGCAGCGTCACCACGAGGGAGAGGCCGCCAGGGAGCAAACAGGATGCCGCAGCTCACAACATGGCAGCCCAGGAGAGCACAGACGAGGGGGGCTTGCGACGGGCGGGCCAAATGCGGGCCAGTGTCTAGGTATTACGGAAACGAAGAGGCGGCCGGTGCACCTTGTGGCCCATGTAGTGGAAGCCCTGCTGCGTGTGGCAGTCGGCCGGGGGCGCAATCTAGCACAAGGCGGACAGCAGATGAGCCGGAGCAGAAAAGGTAGCACAAGGAGCCGCAACAGCTTGGAAATACAGTTCCAAGGACCTGCTCTCCGAGGCTCCTCGATATATTCACTAACGAGGGGGAAGGGGTGGGGTGCACCTCACCCAGGAGGCCATGTAGACTGCGGTGCCGTGTGTGCCGTCGGTGTTCTCCCACTGCACCTGCAGCAACGCCATCGCGGGTGCCAGTCAGTGCACTTGAACCAGGGCGGCCGCACGGCAAACATGTCGCAGCTCAGACCTGCTGGCAACAACCTAAGGGAGGGCAAGCGAGGTTGGGGGCGGGCTGCGGGGCCTCACGAGCAGCGTGATGGTGTCCTCCACGGAGCGGCCCAGGCGCGCGGAGGCCACTCCGTCGCTCGCGGACGCAGTGACGCGCACAGGGCGCGAGGCTTCGCCCACAGCCCACGAGTGCAGGTCTGCAGGCGAGGGGGAGCACGGGGGCAGACTCAGACACGGGTGGACAACATGCTCGGCATAGGCGAGCAGGGAGTCTGCAAATGGGGGCATTTGGGGTATGCTCGCAGGCCGTCGATGATGCTCTGCCGGTGAGGGGCGAAGTGCCGAACCGAATTGAGTCTGTGCCATGGAGCGCTGAATCGATGCCAGCACCAGGGAAAGGGCTGGAGCTGGGCGTGCCCCTGGGGCCCCCGTCTCACCGATGTGGTGCGAATTGAGGTAGTAGCTGATGTCGGAGCTCTTGCCGGCCCAGCCTGCGAAGGTGTCGAGCTGCTTCTTGGGCTGCGTCATGGTGCTGGAGAAGAACGAAAAGGGGCCCAGCGCAGGGATGCGCGCGCGCGCATCTGCACACACCAACCATCGTGTCGCTCAACCTCTGGTCCTCTCGGGGCTGGCCACTACGCGCTGAGAGGCAAAGTTAGGAGCGATTTGCTCAAGGGACAGGTCGGCAGAAACCGAAGATGCCTTTGAAGGTTGGAGAGGGGGTCCTGACCTGCATAAATGGGGTCGAAACGCTTATGATACTCCACAGCGACCAGCACGCCCGCCTCCCTGCACAGACAGGCGAGGAGTTGACATGGTGTGAGGGCGCCACGCGAGCTACGCACGTTCATGCCAAGAAAGAGCGAGTCCGTTCCTGGGTTCAGCTTGGGGACCCAGTCACGCCAGGAGCCAGCATTAGATTCTTGACCATTTGTCTGAAGCATGCCATAGCGCCGGTGCCACGGGTGGGCGCAGTGCGGTGTACCTGGCGGCCTGGGTGAGCTGGAGGTGGTGCGCCAGGGTCTGCACCGCGGGCTTGGCCAGCAGCACGTGCAGGCCTGCAGAGAGGAGCAGCAGCGCTGACAGGCCGCGCAACAGCAAGGACGAGGCAGCCAGAGTGGGGGACCAAGGGGACAGCCTAGAGTCTAGGGGGCGAACGCGCATGCTCGAGCTGTCACTCTAGCTGCAAACGATTCAGGAATGGGCCCCTGGCGACAAGTAACACGGGAGGGATTTGATGTGGGAAAGTAGATCCCGCATCATCGGGCAAGGTGATCTAGCAGCGCTTGCCGCAGTCGTTTGACGGGCAGCTTAAAGAACTAGAGCACAGTCCTGGCAAGTGGCAGCTCACCATGTCGAATGCACTCAAGGGCGATCTCAAAGTGGGTGTCGTCTGCAGAGGACAAGCCAGCAGCAGCCAAGGTCACAAGAGGCGGCAAAACAGAAGGGGCCGGACTGTGCAGCCTGGGTCCTCGTACAGTCACAAGGTGCCACAACAACCACAGACAAAGGGCCTTTGTGGCGACAGAGGGGGAGCGTCACCTGGCGTGAAGATGGTGGCCCTGCAAAGGGAAGGAGGAGCGGGGCTGGGGACTTGCCAGGCCATGGGCCTTTGCACTGCTCTCAAAATTGGAAAGTGGGGGTACTGCCAGTGAAAGGGCAGGGTTCCTGCCTGTGGGCTACACTTCATACACTTTTTAAGACGAAGGTCACTTCCTTTGCCGAGGTATGCTCTCAAATTCGCATATGCGGCTGCCGCTCACATGTCTCCCCGCTTCATCTTTGCGATGGCGCCTTTGTAAGCATGCCGGTCAAACGGAGCTCCGTCTGCGCGCATGAGAGAGGCGGGCCTCAGCTCCTTGAGTAGACTGCATCGCAGCGCACTGACCCCAGACCAAAAGCAAGAAGGACAGATCCCAACTTTTATAGGCAGCCCAGCCAATCCAAGGTCAAGTTGCTCGCCACTCACCTGGCGGATGAGTTTCTAGTGTCGTATCCAAATCCTTATACACTTCACCAATTTTCCTGCGGATGTTTTCTCTGATGGCAGGCAAGCGCTTGCCTGAGGCATCGCACAGGACCTGCGCAGGAAAGGGGCACTGGAAGGCGTGAGGCAGCGAGGGGCCACTACCGCATGGTGGGCGAGGGGGCCAGCTAAGAGTTGGAAGGACAGCTGAAATGCAGCGTGACTGTAGCTTCATTACAATAAGCACTCAAATCGGTGGTCAAGACGAGTGCGTATCAAGCCCAGAGTGCGCCAAGACAGAGCACAGTGTCCGTCTCTGCCAATTTGCAGGCTGGGCGAGCCCATGGCCCTCTCACCAGGCGGCGAACTTTCCCAAATCTTCTCAGGTCAAATAAGGTGATGGCAATCACGCCTGCCGGCTTGTCACTAGCGGCACCCTCAGCTGTTGGGACGTACCCTGCAATGTGAAGCTCTAGGTATCAGCGCCAGCTGGTACAAATGTCAACGATGGACGAGCAGCAGACATGGAAGGCCAGGGCCCCTGCGGCCTCTCCAAGGCTGCAAGGACTGCATTTCTGCGGTACCCTCACCTGCCGTGTACTCGCCAGCACCCACCATCAAGACGTCCATCGCTCCGGATGTAATTGAGCAAACCCTAATTTGGTAGTTAGATTGTCAACCGCCAATGCCGCACCAAACGCTAAAACTGCATCAAACCTAAGTCAAACCTGACGTCTGCAGCACTGGACCCCTGCCACAGTAGCATGGGCAGCCGCCTGACGCCCATCTTGCAGTGTGCATAGCCGTAGGTACCCTATTTCCCTGCCACCTCGCTCTCCTAGCCCCATTGCATTGCTGGCACCAGCACTAGCGGTCGCAGCGGCGCTAGCAGATCCACAGTGGTGCAACACCTGCCACATGCGAGGGCCTGTACCTAGATTCCGGTACAATCGCTGGCGTCTCGAATTTGAATTCGCCCTGCCGCAACGGGCGCTCAAACCTGTCGTCCAATGATATTTCTTCAAAATCTGGGTGTAATCTCCAGCGTGTCGCTTCGAGACTTGCTGATTGGTTCCCAAGTGTTATTGAATCTGTGTATCCGCATCGGCGCCGGAGAAGCTTCCTCTTCGCGATTGCGCAAACGGGCAGCCCTCCACTCGGGACCCGCAGCTGTACAGCTGGACTGGTCAAGGCGCTAGCGGAGAAGGCCCATGGCGGCGGCCACAGCCACGCCTCTGGCAGTACTTGATGGGGCGAGCAACGCCTGGCACTCGCAGGGGGACATGTTGCTGGCCGGCTTGGACTAGGGGGGCATCCTGCTCGCTAGGTACTTTCACTCGGTCTTTAACAAGAGCAGGGCGGGGGCCTGTGCTTGGGGGTGCTGAACACTATCTTGGTCGAGGGTTTGAGCCTACCAAGTTCTGCAGTGTTTCAACTGTTAGGCAGTTGCCACCATGGAATTTCCTCCACAGACATTGGCTGCGGGGTGCAATATCCGCTGAGAGACTCTTTGGCCCTAAAAATTTGCGCAAGTATCATCTGTTAGAAATGAGACCTTAGCTCTGCTGCCTTGCAAAGCTGACTCGCACAGAAAAGAGTCTCTGGCTTCAGGACACACGTGCTATAATTTCACAAGGCCCAGAAAGCAAGGGAAGCAATGTCAGAAGCCGGGACTGAGCTCAACTTGAAGCTGCTGGGTAAGGAGCTAGGGTTCTCCTATGTGTTGGTGGCATGGGGTGCCAATAGAGCTGGCTTAAATAACATGGAATTGCTGGCACCTTGAGCTAGTCCCTCAATTCTAATAAGGGCTTGAGCTGCCAAAAGTCTTTCAACGTTTGAGCCTCGGATGCAACGTTAGATGCGATGCAGCAGCCAGGCTGCTTGCTTTCTTGTGCGTTGGAAGACCTTTTTTGCTGGTTGCTGTAAAGCGCGCACACAGTGGTGCTCCAATCAGCAGGGCGGTAGCATTAGGCATGGAGCAGACTCTCACTTACCCTGAGCCAAGCATACATTGTCGATTTTTCGGTGCTATTGAGGAAACGGCATTCCAACCGTGTACAGTAAGGACAATTCGCCACCGGCTTGGCAGGCTCATCAGCATGTGGTGGACAATTGTGAATGCTTTACCACTAAATCGCTTCTCAACCTGGGACTTCAGGAGCGGAGGTCGGTGAATTGCCAGGGATGACGGCAGGGGGCCAAAGGGAGAGCATTGACAATGATGAGGTGAGGCACGGAATGCCTGACCGTGACAGGATGAGTTGTGTCACCTCTGGTCTTCCATGAGCAGATGGAAGGTTGGGAAGCTTACGCCCAAAGTGCAGCGCCTTCGTTGCGGAGCAGTAGTAGGGGAAAATCTGTGACCTGCTGCTTGTTGTTTTTGTTCAGAGCAAGGTGACGCTGGGACTGGGCAGTGGAGAGGACCAAGATCAGCCAGGTGAGGACAAGCATCGCGTTTGCGGAGAAAATCATTGGACTCTCATCCTGTTTTGAGTCTCTCAATCATGCTCGTACATGTTCAGCTGATGCGGTTGTCCAATTGCCTGCCCTCATGCGCGTGCTCTGCTAGCTGATGCACTACGCCCTGCTGTGCCCAGGCTCGCTGACATCGCTGGAGCAGGAGCTGCTCACGCTGGGGGCGCAACCACAGGACGCGCCGCAGGTGAGGCAGGGAGGGACGGGCCAATGCAGGATGCAGACAGTGGTGAAGCGATGATCCACCTTGGGCAAGCTCAGCTTATGCTCCCAGAATTTGTCAGCGGTTCCCACATAACATGCTCGAGTGGGTCCTATCAGGCAGCTAGTGGCATTAGCCTGATGCCGACCTCTATTGAAACTCGAAAAGGTTCTGGCTGGGAAGGCCTAGTCACAGACTCGCTTCAAGCGACAACTGCACGGAAGTAGGCCAAAACTGGTGTCCTTGTTGCAGATGCTCCCTTCGGACCTGGCTGGATCCTTGGCTGGATCATCGGTGGAGCAGGCAATTGCAGCGGAGGAGGCCGTTCCGGGGGAGGGTGCGCAGGCGGGGCAGGCGGCAGGCAGGGGGAGTGCCGGGGGGCAAGTGCCTGTAGGCATGGGGGCGCCCGACTACTCCCATGCAGGAATGCAGCCGCAGGAGTATGGCGCCGGTGACTACAATCATTATGGGGCCCAAGTCAAACTGGAGGACAACAGCAGGAGGGGCCACCAGGAGATGCCTGCGGACAGCGGCGCTGCGGGAGAGGCGGGAGTGGGAGGGAAGCGGCCACTGGAGGGGGCGCACGCGGGGCTGGGGCTGAGCCGGCAGAGCACGGAGGAGAGCCTGGGGCGGCACATGGAGGGGGGCCGCGAGGGGGAGGACGGCGGGACAGAGGGCGAGGAGCAGGAGGGGCGCGGGCAGGGCAACAAGAAGCAGCGCCTCGTGTGGACCGCCGAGCTGCACTCGCGCTTCATGAACGCCGTCAACCACCTGGGGGTCAAGAGTGAGCGCACCAGCCAAGCCCCCCCGGTGCACGGCTAGCATGGCCACAGGCAGTCGGGCCAGCCTGTGTGTGCGGCTGCCCTCGTCATGGCTGAATGGCGCGAGCCAGTGCCCCGGATGTCATTTACTGGCTGCTCTGGGTGCCGCCTATGCGGCAAGGTGCAGTCGTGCGTGTGGTTGTGCGCCTCCGTTGTCGCAGCGTGGGGGTGTGACCTGCGTGCTGCATGTGTGCAGATGCTGTGCCCAAGACCATTTTGCAGCTGATGAACGTGGAGGGCATGACTCGCGAGAACGTGGCTAGTCACCTCCAGGCAAGCGCCCCCGCACCCGCACGCCCACCTCATCATGCCTGCCTCTGCGTACGCAGCATGACACACCCGCATATCTTGATGCCTGGTCACTGTCTCTCCGGTGCGCCAGTGTTGATTGCGCGGCTGCGCGTGGCGCTGCTGACACTGTGCTGGCCGCGGCGGTGCAGAAGTACCGGCTGTACCTGAAGCGCCTCGCGGGGCTGCCTCCCAACGCGCGCCTCTCCCCGGAGCTGGTGCAGGGCGGCTCCCACCTGTACCCGTACGTGCACCAGCCGCACGAGGTGCCGCCGCCCATGATGATGGCCCCCCCGCTGCACCAGGTGAGCACACCGCGCAGTGCTCCAGCCTCAGCCACACTGAACGTCCAGAGCCAACATTCACTCCCAATGCGAACGTATAGGACGCGGCAGACTCGGAGGTAGAGAAGAAGTTGTTTTTGTATCTGGCTGTCGCTTGCATGACTGACTGCACGGACAGATCCCTCCACGCAACGTCTCTGATTACAAGGCTTCCGAGCAGGGTGCTTCTTCTCGGTGCGAACAACACTTGCGTTCAATTGAGCTGTAGTCTTGAGTGTGTCTCAAGGCTTGTTCTTGGTGTTCTGACGAGAGGCCGGTACCAAAGTCTTCAACTCCTGTCGTGTAGCGCTATTATCGTTGATGTGCAAAACGGCCACCCTTCAGAGAGACAGTGAACTGTGGCGGGGTGTGCCGTTGACCTTTGCCTCTCGGTGGTCAGGGCTATCCCCCCCATGGTGCTCCCTACTACCCCCCTCCCCATCGCACCGACACTGGCGGGCCTCCTCTGATGGGCAGCCCCGCCCCTGCCTCCGGCGATGCCTCTGCCCCTGGCCCCAAGCCGGGAGAGGGCCGTAGCGGTGAGGCGGGCGCTCCGCCGTACCCTGCCCCCATGGGGAGCATCCCGCCGTCGCCGCCCCACTTCGGGTACACCCCCGAGATGTATTCTAGCTTCAGCTCCATGGCCCACGGCGGCTGGCACCCCCTCCCCGGGCCAGGCCCTGGCCAGCCGCAGCCGGGGCAGTACCGCACCGCCGACCCGCTGCCGGGCTCGCCTGCGCCGCCTGGGCAAGGGGCCCAGTACTCTTCGCCGGGGGGAGGCCACTACAGCGGCCCTGTGGGGGGGTCCATGTACAACGCGGGGGCAGGCGCGGTGGCAGGGGTCGGCTCTCCTGCCCCGCTGCAGGGCAGCGCTTACGGGTATCAGGGCGCAGCGGGGGGGCATTACGGCAGCCCTGGTATGGGCAGCCCGGGGGGAACAGGGTCGCCGCCGTCGGCACAGCGAGGCTCCGCGCCCGCAATGCAGCAGTACGCGGCCCCAACGTGGCAGCAGGACCCCCCTGGGGGCGGGTTCGGCCAGCAGTTCTGGATGCAGCCTGCAGCGCAGGACTGGCAGCAGAAGAGATGGCCGGACGCGGGGCAACCGCAGCAGAGAAAGTGGTGAACAGCGGGGGAGGAGCAGTCCCACCGAGATCGAAGCGAGATCAGAAGTACATTCTTTGACGGCCCAGCGCGGGAGCTGTCGTGCATTTGGAGATGCGCTCCGAATGGTTGGAAATGTTCAGTAGTTAGGTTGAGTCGGGCAGGAATCAGGTCTTCCTGTCGTGTGTGCTTATCAGGGGTGATCAAGTCCACACTTGGGCTCGCTGCTAACATGATGTGTCTTGACGACCGGGCCCGGTGGTCGCTCCTTCGAGTGTGTGTGTGTGGTTTGATTTAAGTTACTCCAGGCTTTGTGAGGAGCAGTGCCAACGCTAGCTTACCACGTCCATGTGGAAAACATTACTGTAATCTGTTGATATAAATCAGTCACAGGCTCACATCCGGTTAAGTTTACCGGATTTACCGTCTTCTCCAAGTGTCGTGCATAACATAAACGCAAAACATGGTTCCCCGGAAGAAAGTTCCCATCGTTTCGGCTTCAGCCGGATTCGCAACCAAAGCATGTTTGTGTGCTCCATGTTGGAGACAGCCTGTTACCCCTAAATGATTCCGCGTGTATATATCGTGTAGCGCCATGACATGCGCACCAACCCGGATACCAGCATGTTGCATGTGCGCCAACGCTGCAAAGAGCTACTAGGCTAGCTTGCAATTGGCGTAGAAGACTAAAAGCTCCCGTGCACCCACCTAAACTGGCAATGCGCGATCGACATGAGCACATGTTAATTATTGCGTGCATGCAACTTTCATCCAATTGCGTAACGGTTCGCCAAGTTCGACCTCAATTTTCCGACAATCTCATTCTCATGCAACCCGGAAGAGTTTCTGCATGTGTGCATAGCTCTGAGAGCTGCACATGTGACCTAGATGATATACCTATAGCCGCACAGAATATCGCATAATCACATTGGTGCAGATAAGCAATATTATACACCATGTGATTCCTGTCACGCTTTCTCCTCAAAAGGCAAGTCAGACATACAAGGATTTGAATCTTAACATACTGATTGACTGAAGGGCTGATTGACTGAAGGGCACCTGCCGCATGCCAATGACGATCAATTGGTGCGGGCAACCTCATTCGTTATATTTGTCCGGGTGTCAGGCTGGTCGAGCCGCCAGGGAGTCATTGTCAGACGGTTTCGACAGATGGTGGCTACAATATGCCTGCGGCACATGTTTTTCAGAGTCCAATGCTTTAACCTTACTGCCACAAGCGTCCTCTTCCTCGGATCAGCGAGGCTCGAACAAGGGAAAATTTTATCGCAGTGCGTATGCTCGCCACGTGGACATCCCTTGTCGACGGTCGTTGGTTTGAACGGGGCAGAGCCACTGGATTCCGGAAGCGGTCCGCCGAAGGCTCATCACGGTGTGGAGGAGGCCGGGTGCAGCACGGCCGCGGCGTCAGTCTGCCCAGCGGATGATGGAGCCGAAGAGGAAGTGCTGCATGATGGGCAGCTTCTCGAGCACCTCCGCGCGGTACATCTTGAGCAGCCCGCTCGCAATCTTGGCCCACGTGGGCACGCCGCTGATGTCGTTCAGCATCGGCGAGTGCTCCCCCAGCGGGCCCTTCTTCACCGTCTTCACGAACTGCAGCACCGCCGCAGGAACAACATCAGGGCCACCTGCCTCTGTCAGCGGCCCTTCGAGCTGCGGGACAGCGTCTGCCGTGCAGCATACGAAGGGTCCGCGTCCTCTGCAGAACTGGGGTGTTGGCTGACAACTGTTTCGCAGCAACGGGCAAGGTCGCGGCGTGTGCGGGGGGCGCGCTGACCTGGACTGCCTGGAAGTAGAGGTAGTCGTGTTGGAACTGCGCGAGCACGTCGGGCGTGTGGATGCTCTTGGGCCGCAGGTACTTGTGGCCCGTCAGCTGCGCTGCGCCAAACACAAACGGCAAAAACTGGTAGTCGTCCAGGCCCCACACGCCATGCGACCCCGCCGGCTCCAGCCAGTAGCGCAGCTGCAGAGTGCGCATCAGCGACAAGTACTGCGCACCACAAAACAGACACGGGGGGTCAGGCTCAGGTCAGGTACGGAGGGCAGAGACGGGGGGTGAGAGGAGCAGTCAACGGTGGCCCTGTCCTCAATGCGGACACAATGACAGCATGTGCACACCAGAGGCAAAGGACTGGGTCGAACCAGGGAGCCGATTGTAGGCTCTGGCACGACTTGGATCACTTTTAAGAATGAAGTTGGACAGCAACACCTGAACTGGTCAGGGGTTGACGGCCCCGCAACCCCTCATCGAGAGTTACATGAACTGCCGTGCCTTGATTGGCAGCTCGTACATCAGCATATCTACTGAGCGTCCAGGCGTCAGCCCATCTCACTTGCTCTCTCGAGCTTCTTTTCCGGCCCTGCAACTCAAAGAACGAATCTGGAGCGGAACATAAGCCTTTCAATGTTCATGTGTATTCTTGACTCCGTTCCGAATTTCCTGTGCATACTCAGAGCATGCAAGGCCGGAATTTCTCACGCTGTTGAAGACGCGAAGCACGATGGCCGGGTAGTCCGCCTCTGTGAGCACGCCCAGCCGCGCCAGGCAGAAGAGCCACGCCGCAAAGTTGGCCTCGTGCCCTGCACCGCCACCAGTGCCACGTGAGACCAGCACAGACCAGAGCTCGAGTCGCTGCGGCAGTCCGTAAACCTCTGGAGAAGCTCACACATATGGAGATGCTCAGACGATTTGCAAGCCCCTGACCCCAATGGCTACACCGCCTCTGACGAATTTAGCACGAGGGCATAGTGCGGGGTGCTCACCTGTGCCGTAGTCGATCCTGGAGCTGTTTCCGAAGCTGTCCAGCAAGTAGGGCCCCAGCTCGCCCGCCGCTCCGGCCAGGTGTGCGGGCAGCACCGCGGCATGCAGCTCCCCCACGTGGGCCTGCAGCTGCTCCTGCCAGAAGCGGTACGCCGGGTTGCCGTAGCGCGCCTGCTGCTGCGCCGGGGGGATGTCCTCCACCCATGCGGCCAGTCTTTCGAGCACCCCCACAATGGCAGCGCACGTGGGGGACAGAGGGCACTCGTCGCTCAGCTTGCGGTCCTCCACTGCGCGGCTCAGGCTGGCGATGAAAGCGAGGAACAGCTGGCCCGAGTGCGAGCGCGCAAACGTCTCAAGGCCCTCGCGGCTGGTGATGCGCTTCTGGGGGAGCACAAAGTCGTGGGGCAGGGCCACCACGGGCAGCGGCCCTGCCAGGGGCGCCGGCGGGGGGCCCAGCGGCCCCGAGATGGGGCCATGCACGGCAGCGCCAGGGCCAGGAGCAGCCCCGCCAGCCCAGGGAGCAGCCGTGGGGGGCTGGAAGGAGCCACTGCCGGGCTGCATTCCTTGGGGCCACAAGGAGGGGTGCGCTGCCTTGACGAGCTGCCGGAGCGGCAGCTGAGCCACACAGCCTTGCCGCGCTTGTGACCGTCGCAGAGGATGCCCTCTAAGAGTACACCGGATGCACAGTGCTGGGGGACGGGCCTACAGCAGGCTAAGAAAAGCCGGCTTCACTCCGGAGGCCCAATGACCTTGTCCTTGGCCTTCTGCACCCAGCGCTGCACCTTGTTGGACCGCACGCCCTGCAGCCAACACAACGGCAGGGCGGGAGGATCAGAGCTGCAACAGCAACTGGCTGGGGTCGAACAAGGTGGAGACAGAGCTGAGAGCATCACATTTGTCAGTAGCGTAAATGGCGTGAACTTGCACGCTGTCTAGCTCACCCGATTGGAGACGTAGCAGTCCCAGAACGCCTTTTGGAATGGTGTGCAATTGGTGAAGAAACCCCCACTTTTGAAACACTTCAGGAGAGCCTCTGTAAAAAGAGAGCAAGAACAGTGTGGCTGAGTGCGGGCAGTGTGGCCAGCAATAAATCCATTAGTACGAGCACAGACTTCAATCCATTTTGCTACCAGCAAAGAAGCAATGGCGGCAGGTTGCATGCTGGCTTCTTACCATGCTCCTCCACGCAGGCCGCCAAGGCCTCCTGCTTCTTCAGCTCTTCGTGAGGCAGATGCCCCGGCTCAGCGTGGCTCACCGGATTGCCTGCAACACCTGCTTCTTCCAAACCGTGCTTTCCCACTTCACTTGTGTCGTCAGAGTCGATGGCCGCCTTGGCCTCTTCACGAGTCGTGCCGCTAGTCCACGCCCAACCCATGTGCAGCAAACAGAAGACGCTTTCTGCTCCGATCAATCAGCAGCTCAGGACCAATTGGCACCAATTGGACGCAAAAAATGTTCAGCAATGGCCAGCCATGGACTCGGAGCAGCCATGCGGCACCATTGGCATCGTGAACTAATACTCGTGAGTTAGCATTGACCGTGACGAACCAAAGTAACGGTACTTTCGGGGAGCTCGGCACGAGGGTGAACATCGCCGAGAAACGGCATGTAAATGTACCATACAATATAGTGGTATGGTATAGTGGCGGCATTTTCCCGGTTTCACTTAGGGTGAACACAAAACAGCGTCTGACATGCATTTTCTGACAGGTACGTACCGGAGATGGTATGTACTTCATCGCGCGACAAAAGGCTATTGGTATGTACCGCGGTACTAATGCGTTTCAGTGCCACGTGTTCAGCTAGTTAAGCAACTCTAGTTACACAAACCAGTCTCTTAACCTAAATAGCGTCATTTCTCGGTCTCCTGAAGGCGCTTGAAGTTTTCGCTCGCGCCCTGGACGTGGGAGCTGATACTTGTAGCCAATCGCCTCCTTGGAAGTGTACCGCATCATACCAGGGTTGTCTTGGATCCAGCTACGCTCCTTCAGTGGGAGCGGGTTTGGGAGCTGCTGGTGCTGGAGCTGCTAAGCTGCTTTTATCAGGCTGGTCCATGGCGTCCAATGGTCGAGCTGGAAGCGAGATGAGAACGTTTGGAATGATGAAGAGAGACAAAGAAACGAGAAGGAACGAGCTGTTGGAAGTCATCACCCCTCGTCGACTTCTTCTCAAAACACTACTATCGAGTGTGTGTACATGGCGAGTGTACACATTCACTCTACAAAAAGACTATGTTTTTCCAAGCCGCCAGTAATTTAGTACCGATCAGAGTACCGAGCGTGTAAGTTCGCCGCATCCAACCTGGCTGGCTCGCATCCGTCCATCAAAAATCGGCGTTTTAATCGACGGTGCCATTTCTTGTCACAAATTATCTAATTCACACTCCCTTCTATTTACGATTGTTTGCTCCGGGTAGTAAGCCGGTTTCCGCCTCAGCGCTCTGTACTGGCCCCTCTCAAAACTATTTCCGTGGTTGATCGATCTAGTGCGGAAACATCTATGTGGATCCAGTTCATGATCGCTAAGTTGAGGTACTGTCCACTGAAACAAGCGGGGGAACAAGCGAAGCTTTGGCCAATGGATTTAGACCAAGAAAGCTTAGACGATTTCCCACCAAGCGAGATAGAGCAGCTCCTAAACAGCTGCTCATGAGGGAATTTGTCAACTTTAATTGGTCTCCATATACAAATCTGACCACTGGCTGAGCACATGACCAGCAAGTATGACGACGTCCCTGCTTCCTTGCAATAAACGCAAAATAAACCTAAAGCATTTTTTATTGGTTGTATGGTGTCAGAAGAAAGATTGCCATGCCCTGCGTAACACGGGCGCTGCCATTGGTTCGAGGAATTGGGCCTGGCAAGCGAGCCCACGGGGAGCCCACATTGTGCAACCATTCTAATTCATCGAAGCCGTTTGGGAAAAAATCAACACTCCATGACGATCGAACCCTCGTAGCAAGTGCTGATGCAAAGCGACCCTTGAGCAATTCAATGCACTTCATTTGTCTTTCAAAGAACGGACGTCCGAATGCAGAATCCACGTCTACATGTCAGAAAAGTCACGCCGCGCCTTGGAGCATCCTAGGCTTCAGAATCAAGCGCCAATCGTACCCTCGAAAGTTCGACATAGATCGACTTCCGCATTCGTCCCGTCACAATCCCGTAAGGCTTTAATAGAAGGTACGAAGCACGTACGAAGATACGACCGGGTCAACCGAAGGTACCAACCCGGTCTTCTACTAGTCGCAGTAATCAGCTTCGCTGGGTGACGTGCTCTACTTTGAAGTGTGTAGATCAGCGCACGACACGGACCGCCAAGCGAGACTCCTTTCACGAGAAGGGCGCATATGGATCTGGAGGCCAGGAGGCGTCCGCTCAAGCACTTTGAGCGTTTCAAAGTGCTTGAAACGGTGAAAAAGGTCCATACGGATGTGGTCGTCAAGAGTTCCTGGGACAAGTGCAGCCTTACATGCCAAAGCGAGCGGAGTCAATGTTTGTTGAAGCAAACCTCAATAGACGTACGGCCCATCGCATGTGTCCGTCTGACCCCCGAAGCCAGAGGAGTACAATGCGGCTATGCTACGCCTCGAGCATTCACCTTTGACGAATCGTGCAGTTTCGCTGTGGTGACAACAAGTACGTGCAGCCACGTCATGAACTCGAAAAGAGCTGTTATCCGCGTGAAGCGAGTCAACGACGAGGACAGCAGAACGTGATTTTAAATAGGTGAGAGTCCGACTCGACTTTTGTCTCCTCGCATAGCCAGTATTGCCGACTAAAAGCAGACTCTCAGAGGTTGTGAGCTTCTACTGTCCGAGTCCCGATACAGGTGATCATGTCATTGTACAAGACGTCCCAAGTCTTCCGTGTACCCTACCCATATCCAACGTGTCTGTTGCCGGTCTTGTGGTCATGTGAGCTGGTTCGAGCAGTTTAATAAAGTCAGCCGTTTAGGCTAGTGAGCGGATAAATAGGATGGAGCAAACACAGATCGACGCGCTTCGGCGGGATTAGCAACATCACACGGGAAACGACCCAATCCCTTGCTTATCTTCGACAGCCTTTACGGTGTTTGGTGAATTACGGCCACCCATGTTCCCGTCACCGTCAGTGTTTCCAGTTCCGCTTTCGCTGATTGATGAACCAGTTGCTGACTTGCTTCATTGACAGGCCCGTCTGCCTTGCGAGGGCCTGCTTCTCGTCATCCTGCAGCACCCGACACCGACCAATTAGTTTCTAATCAGTCAGCGACGAGTGACCTCTCGAAAGCATTGTTTGAAAGCATCCTCTCGAATGCGCCTCGCTTGGTCGCTCAAGTTTTCGTCAGTCCGTTCCGTTCAAATGTTCCAAAGGTTGAGGACAGGAGGCGCCGGTCACCGATCAACGCATGGCCTGATTGAGTACTTCCCGGCTTTTCTTTGCCGATCTCTTCTTTTGTCCTAATTCAACTAGCTTCGAGTTTTGTAAGGCTAAGGAACCCACCCACAAGGTGCATAAGAGTTCACCCCTGCTCGATCCGCGACCCCGCTGCCAGCTGTGGGCACCTGACCCCACCTTTTTCGTTTCTGTACTTTCTCCTCCATCCTCCTTTGGTAGAGAAGTCCGACACATTATGACGAGATGAAGATAGCCGTCGAAGCGCGTGCGAAGTGGGGATTAGTTTTTATTACTTCCAAAAATTTCCGTAGACGTCTCTGATTGGGAGCAGCACGTGCAATGTGGATGGTGGGGCACGGGGGGCGCTGACCGTGGGGTAGGGCCAGCTCTCGTGGCGCCTCCACCAGTCCTTGAGCAGGTGCCCCTGGTCGCCGGGCAGCCGCCCCGCCTGCCGCTTGCGCAAGATCTCCTTGTGCACCTCCGCCAGGGTCTCGCTGCACGTTCGAAAGGGCACGGCGTTAAGGATCTCATCTGCATCCGGTCACTTGACTATGAGACACATAAGCTCTTCAAATCTACTTGAAATGGACAAGTTTCAGAGTTCCCAAGACTGAGTATGCGCCCGCCGAGCTCATGAGCAGGACTTACAAACCAAAACCGCTGTGCTCTGCCAACCTCGCATATTCAGCCGCTCTCTGCACATGTCTCAGGATCCACGCTCCAGGAGAGGCGTGTGCAAGCGGTGCATTCCGATCTGCTCAGCGGTCCACAGCTTCGTCCTCGCCTCGCCTGGGCACTTGTCTGCCCTCACCTGTACTGTTTCTTCAGCTTGTGCCGCAGCTCCTTGGCCATGCTGGCCGCCACCGCGGGTTCGGGCCCCCTCGCCCCCCGCCCTTCCGAACTTGCACCCACAGGTCCGCTCTCTGTCGCCCATTCTGCGCGTCCCAGTTGCGCGTCGCGCTGCAGGCATCTGCGACAGGGCGTTCCCCAGGCGTTCCCACCTGGCCGATGTACGAGCAGTGCCGGGTGCTCTTGAAGCTCGACCCATGCACGGTCAAGACGATTTGAGTTGCTGTACGGAGTTTCAGCTGCTGGGATGCATCCTCTCGCTGTTGCTGGGGAGCCTCACCTTCTGACGAGCATGGCCGTACTCGTGCTCAGGCCGCCGCCGCCAAGGTCCGAGGCCGGTTCTCTTGAGCGACTAAAGCCCACGTCCCTCCCTGCCGCAGGCGGAACCCTTCCGGTTGGATCGCCTCGAGGGTGACCAGTAAGACCAGACGTTCCGTCGATTTCGCCCAACGGTCGAGTGCTGGCGAGTAAGGCGGGGAAGGCGGGGTGGGGGCTAGCGCTGGGCCTAGCACCTGGGCCGGTGCTGGAAGGCACCTTTCGCAAAGACGCGGGCAAGAGAGGACCTTGGAGGTCAGCTGCTTTTCTGGACCTGCCAACCGCTCGAGAACGATCCGCCGCCGGCTGGGGTGGACTTGATCTGAGACTGGATACTTGCGGCGACAAAGTTGCGGGCGGCCTTGCACGGTGGCCCAAAGCGTCCACTAGTCTTTGCTCCAACACCTCACAGGACCGCAGAGCTGCGGAGATGTGGCTCTCGAGAGCCGCCTTGAGCCGCCCCAGTTGAGCCAAGCACTCTGCCTGATCAGGAAAAGGCAAGACGTTCAGATATCTTGACGAGCTTGCGATTGTACCACAAGGGTTCCAGATCTGCCACCTGTTTTGTTTCTTCTACGAAATTTCCCCCCCAGTGCGCCCTACTCGACCTCAGAAGTCCGGATTCCTTTCAGTAGGTTTCGTATGATGCTGAAAGATTTTCTGCGTTGAGATTCTTTTCATTTTTGTGATGCAATGTTTAGCGAGTTGAACGGCTGCGTTGGCAACAACGTCATTCTAAATTCGAGCTAGGCACTCTTCCGCCCTTTGTTATGTTAGCGGCAGGCTTGATAACACTCTCTTCATTATTTTCTTGGGGAAGGAAGCCTCACCATGAACGCATCCACCTCCGGCGCGGCTGCCTGCAGCCCGGGGGCAGCGCGTTCTGCTCTTCCTTCCGCTCCGATGCTCCCATGGGCGGCTGCCAGGTCCAGCTCCAGCTGATACAGCCGCGGCGAGGAGGTGTCCATCTGCGCGTTGCAGGACAGTTCTTCCATCTTCGAACGTGCTGAGGATGGGTCAGAATCACCGCCTTGAACTAAGGTACAAAGACCATCCTGCAGAAAGAGGGGCACAGGCAACATTCTCAACTGATGCGTGCGTACTCTTTCAAATTTTCTTGCTTTCTGCACACCTCTTCCTAGCAACCTCGTAGGGTCTCACCTGCACGCAGGCTACATGAGCTGCGATAAGCTTGGGGTACGACTGGTTGCATTCTATGTCGTGGACTAACAGGGGCAGATCTGGTGGCAGCGACCCAGCCTGTAGACCAGGCTTCGCAGAGATGCTCTCCTCTTCCATTAAAAGCGGGCAAGCACTGAAAGTCCTTCTGGGGACGACAAAATGAAAATCGACCAATTGGCTGATCAACACGAACGACCAAAATATGCTTTCAAGTGGAGCAAACACTGCAAGCGACGGGAGACATCTGTTCATGTTAGGCCGTTCAGAACATTCAGGGTGACACATTCCGCGAATTACGTTAGATAAGGGCGTATACCTTGAATCCTGACTCTGATGAAAACTGCATTGAACAGACCACAAGATCTGCTTGCCTGCAGCACTCCTCTATGACCGGACGAAGGAATGGCATTGCTTACTCAGCAATTCAAAATTATTGCATGAAACTGTGACCAGGGAGCTGCAATCTTGGCATCAATGTAGTGCGCTTCGAGGACACCAATTGCCATCCCTGATGCATGGTCGATGAAGTCGAGGTGGAAAGCCTAGGTCATCCGTACCACCACGTCTCTCCTTGAGGGGCACTCCGTACAAAGAGACGAATCTTAGTTTTCAAGGCTTCTCAGTTGGGTCATTCCGCACGCGGAAGATTTCTTATCAAATCCCTCAAATCGCTGCGATTCTCTGATGCTTTGTAGGATCTCTGAGCACACTTTTTTAGTCACCGAGTTTCCTTCCTTCCTCTACTCGTATTTATACCTTTCTTTTCTCCGTGCTGTCTCCGTGAGCATAACAAGTGCACGATTTGAGAAAAAGGTTTTTTTTCCTAGCTACTCTTTGTTTTGATGCAGTAGCGCAAAAGATTAGTGATTACACTTGGAAGGCAGCGAGCGCCGTTCTCAGCAGGGATTCAAAGCAGCTTCTGGGCTGGAAGTGGATGCTGATTGTAAAGGCTGGCGCAGTGCTAGGACGTAAACATCAAGCCTGCAGGAAGTGCAATCCTCGTGAGAACCTAGGATGAAAGCGGCAGGCTCGGCCCAGTTTTGCCTTCGAAAGCCGCTGGCCTCTTTCAAGTCATCTGCAGTGGGGCTCGCATCGATCGGTTCGGCCTCGCCCTTGGTCTGGCGTAGTCGATCGGCCCTAGAAGCGCAGCATGAGATGATACCACACTGACGTTCCGCAATTACGTTGACGATCGGCTACGGCCGGTAAGGTTTACCCGTGGCCCTGGGAGTGGACCTTTGAAATACTGGATTGCATGAGACAACCTTTTGGGAGAGCTTGATATTCAGGGAAAGATGCCGCGCTTGGGTGATAAGAATGCTGCACAACTGAAGGCGTGTTACAACGGGCGCACGCCCCACGCAGACGGACAAGTGCGCGTGAGAGATTCGGAAGCGGCAGTTTTGGATACTTGGGTGAGGCAAAGCTTTAGAGGTTTTGTGACGGATTAAGCTGGAGGGTTGCATGCGAAATGGATCTAGGCGGCGAGGATTACGATAGGAGGAAAGATACCAAGTCCATCCTGGACCTTCTGACAGCAGGTACAAAGGATGTCGATGCTTTAGTCAAGTACGAAAGAAATGGAACTCCAAGAGCGATGAGGTGAGCATCTAAGCTATTCAACGTTGACCTTGAAGCATGCACAAAACCGCACGCAATGTTAAGATTGTCACTGCCTCTTGATAGACTATATTTCAAAGTTCTCTTAAGAATCTACCTTTGTATAATCTCTTTCGCATGGCTTTGCAGGATGAAATTGGGAAATGACTACAAAACCCTACAATGTTGGTACGAAGCTGATGCAGGTTTCGAGCAAGAAACAAGTAAGAATTCAAGGGAAAATAAGCTAGTACTCTACTTTGTTCATATGCTTTTACTCAGAAAACGTCCGAAAGAAACCCTCTGCTCTACTGTGTAAGTCTTTCGTCAGTGTGTCTCTTGGAACAAGTCACTGATTTGATTTGAACGGTTGCTTCTGAGGGACTATCGAGTGCTTGCTTCAGATTTGCAATTTTTTTTGACACATTTCAATATGCAAGTAGACTGCGAAGCAACAATCTGCATATCTGCGCTCTGCTCATTAACCTTCTGCATTTCTGCAGTTGAACTGTCAAGTGTTCGCGCTTTCCACCACGGTCTTAACACGCAAACGGTCTTCAGCCACAACGAAGTGAACTCTGAAGCATTCAAGGATGTGAACAATCTGAGCTTCTACCTGATACATGATGATGGTCGAGCTCGAGAGACAGGAGAACGAAGCAATAAGCGTTCGTTAAATCTGACAGCAACAAGCTCTCAGTCGTACGAATTGTGGGCTAACCTGTGTGGCTTGATCTCCGTCTGGAACATTATCAAGACTCCGCAGGTACGACTTTCCATCAATAATTGCTACTCCTTTGAGCCAGTCGTCTCTCTCTATCACGCTTTTCCTGTCATACTGCAATGGACAGAATGAACAAGGTTCGGCTCCAATGAACGATTCTCTGAATTCCAACACATCTGAATGACCATAGCTTTATTACGATGACAGTCGCAACTTTGATCCAGTCCTCTGACAGCCTTGCATATTTTATGCAGGAGGATCTTCTAACATGCTCCAGCATCAAGTGCCAGCACTTCGTGAAGGTGGCTTCGCTACTTGTGGAGCTCATGTGCAGAAATGCAGTTGAAAAGTGAGTTGAGACCCTACGATTGATTCAACGGATCGAAAAAGCTGGAAGAAAAGGAACAGATAGACGAACTGGATATTTTCTTGTAATTCTGTCCGCATATGATCTGAAGGCGGCGTCACAAAAGCTGATTAATAAAACCTTTCTCGTGATCTATCGTTTTCTTCTTCCTGCAGCGGAGCTGCTCTTGAAGCGATAGCATTCTTGTTGGATTCTGGCCTACAAGAATACGCCGCTACTAAAGAGGAGACCAATTTTCAGGCCGCGCTTCTTGAGCTTTGCAACGCCGTCACGACGTGTCACAATAAGACCTCGTTGTCTGAGATTGTACCACTTTCGAGCAGAGCAGGTTTGGCAGAGGTGAGCTGATTGGCAAGGAAAGATTGGGACAGGTTATATCTCCCCAAAAAACAATATCCTCGACATTGCAGAGCATCGACGTCTTTACGCGATCTGATATCGCACGTTTACGATCCCGTTCTTTAGAAGCTGCGGCAGTGCCTTTTGCACTCAAAAATTTCACCGTACCTCAAGCAGATAATCCTGGGACAATTGAAACGAGATCTTATTGTGCATCGTGTGTCTTTTGACGCTTTTCAGACGACAGAAATTGGATCCGTGGCTTTTGCTCGCTGAATTGACCTCCCCTTCTGTCTCCGACAGGAGTTATGGGCCCTCCTATGCCGCCTCCTTCTCCAAGCTGACAGCCTGCCCGCCTTGCAAGACGCTGCGTCCGTTGCTCTTCAGAAGCTCTCTCTACAGCTGCCCAGACCTGGACGTCTTGCGCTGCACTCTTCCATCCTTGGAGTTCTCAGCGCAGCTGCCGGTCAATTGAGCACTACGTCGATTGTCAACTTGCTAAACCTGCTCGCCGGCAACGCTGCTTCTGGCGGCTACCTGACACAGCAGACCGCTCAAGAACTCCGCATGCTAGCTCTGGTAAAGGACCAAAGCCTGAGTGCTGCTGCATCAAAGACGGTAGCTGCTCTACCCGTCAAGGGCAGCGTTTTGACGGCTGCTGAAGAGAAGTTTGTGTTTCTTGAAAGGACGCTTCTCCCGTGGCCCGTTCTGAAACGTGCATCCGAGCAAGAGTCCCCAGCGATCATACCTGAAAGATGTGAGCCGTTTGAACCTGCGAGCATCGAAGTAAGCGAGAGCCCGGAGAAGCACATCCTTCTCAGCCCTTACCCGTTTGTACCGTGCCGAGCAGCCACGCGGCAGGTTTTGAGAAGCGGTGATCAACAAGAATTTTCAAGTGATCCTTTAGCCAGGAAGACCCCACCTAGAGGTAGCCAGATCCAATCTGAAGCCCCGGCGTCCCCTTTGGTCCTGCACCCTAGCCCGCTAAGCCCCAAAAAAAGCGCTGGTCCTCCACGGTCCCCTTTGAGTTCCAAGTCACCAACCTTCAGCAGGTCGAGAGACCTGGCCCGTGTTGCAGCTAGTAAGAGCCCTCAGAAGGAGCAGCGCGCCCTTTCACCACCAACCAAGAATCAAAAGCTTACGCCTACGGGAGCAGCTAAGAAGGTACTCTTCTCGACAGACGGAACCAGCAAAGACTTGGCCACAAGGTCCCCGCTGCGAGAAAAGGTCGCGATGCAGAGAAGCAGCGGAGGAGGTCAGGGTCCTGCGCCATCATCCCCGCTGGACAGACCTTCTAGCAGCAGAACGCTGGGCCAGGTGGCGAACCACTTTGAGGCGAGGAAAGAGGTGTGGAAGAAGACGGCGGCAAAGAAGAAGGAGTCCGACTACGACATTCCCAAACCAGATGCACAGAAGGATATTGTCTCAGCCGGTGTCCAAGTTTCTTCGCCAAATGGGAGTTTCACTGGAGCTGAACTCGAAGGAGTTGTAGAGAAGCCGCCAGAAGGCTCCGCAGCTCTGCTGAAGCCAGTCGAAGTGTTCGGTAAAGCGGCAATGCACGCCAATACCATAGATACGTCAGAGGTAGTCCTCGAAAAGCAGACTGCCACTTGGCAATACGACACATTGAGTGCGGAGGAGTGGCTCCAGTTGGCAAAGCTAGAAGAGTCGTCAGCAGCCGAGGATAGCATCAAGGACAGCAATTTGTCAGAATAGCCACAAACGGTGAAAGATTGCGACATTTTCCGAAGTTTCGCACTTAGAGGTCCAGGAGGTTGGGAAGTTTGTCTACCGTAGGAGGGCCATGCTATTTCTGATCCGTGATCAATGAAAGAAGTCTGCTCGTTCAAGTAGGCCAGGGTTGGATAAAAAATCAGTGAGATCAACACGACGATTGATGCACGAGTTTGTCTCATCCGCGGTGTTTGACGGACCAATCCTGACAACTGCATACCGCGAACCGCCTAAAATGTTGACACCACGAGCGGGTCTCGGCCCGCTGGCTGGTTGGTGTAAGGTGAAGCATCGAGTGCAGGCCGTTGTTGTCTGCTTAATACACACCTCGCGGACCAACGCCCAAGCATTCGAAACATTTGCGGAGTTACTGACAAGAACAAGTTGTGTGGGCAAACAATTCCTCATGTTCAAAACCGATTCGCGCTGATGATGCATGGCCATTTCTCCTGACTATGCATCTAGATCCGTAGGTCTTGCCGCAGAGGCGCCTAGGTCTGCACGTGCATGGTACATGAACAAGCGATGCGACTTACAAAGATCCTGCATGCACTTGATGATGGTAGTAGAGCTTGCACCTGATGCATGCATGTTTGTACACCGGCGGACAACTGGAGTATATATATAGAAGTTCGAGCCGAGCAGAAAATGTCAGCTGCCGCCAATTCAGTCATTGCCAGGGGTGCGATCATGATTATTTAGGCTGGCTGGATCTCGTATATTACAGATGGTTGCCAAAAATATATGGCCATGTATGAGCTGTGCGCCAACACAATTGCGGCAGACCGCCAGATGTCTAGCTGCACTGAGCCGCCAAAGTCCAATTAGGACGTGTGATCAGAACACATGGACTTATTCTGCTCCTAGGGCGAAACACTGATGGCCCGCCCCGCGCCCATCGGCCGAAGTTGTTGCACACTGGATCCATTTCAGCCACATTGATTGATCGTCTTGGCACGAACGTCTATGCCGGGGCCTCTATCATGTGTTTGGCCGTTACTAAAGCTCTAGATAGGTATGTACGGGTGGAAAGAAGCGCAGCAGCATTGGTTTCTTGGTGTGATTCCACAGCCAGCACGGCATCGGTTGACTGTATTCTAGTACTGCCCCGAGAGTATCTGCAATCTTGCACCATCAGTTGCTTTACTCGAGATGAGCAGGGAAACCAAAAACGCAGTGATTTTTTTATTCATACACCTCTCTGCCTCGAAAGCAGAAGCCTAGTCCTAGTTGCTCGCAATGCGGAACAAAGCAGTCCCAATGACCTGCAAAAGTTAACCTCAATAATGACTTGCACACTTCCGCGCCAATAACGTACATCGAGAGTACATACGCAGTACCTGCCCTACTCGATGTATGCCACAACGACCGTGATATCATCTGGCTTGCCCCCCAGGTGCTTATACCCCGCAGCATCCGCTTGGACAGCAAACGGTGAGAGCCCCCCCTTGAGCACGGACCGTTGCTGAGCGAATGCGGCAATCTGCTGAGACGCCAGCTGTGGACTGACCCCCTTGCTCTTGAGGATGGCGGCTGCTTCCGCAATCTCCCTTTCGAAGAGATTATCGTGGAGGCCATCCGTTCCGAGAATAAGAAGATCACCCCGCTCGACTTCGACCTCGTAGTCCTGCAGAGCCACCACGGCGGGCTTAGGCGGATCACATCCACAACTGGGGATGTCGAGGAACTACTTCGAGGGACCGGCCATGGCGCTGGTCAGACTTTAGGGTTTCGAAAACTTGCAACACACGAAAGACGTGTAGGAGACATCAAAGCCTGACTGGTCAGCGTGTGACGAAGAGCAGGAGCTCGAACGCCGAGCTGGGCTTGTGTCGGCAAACCTTACCTTGGCTGCGTCAGGATCGTCTCCGCCTTTGCTGCCAATCTGCCAGGCAACCAACCCACACCGGATTCAGTCCATCGAGCAGGAGAGTCCTTGACTCAGAGAGCTTTGACCAGATCCAGGCTGCAACAACCAACGGGGAGCTGGAGCGGACCAGAGCAGGTACGCTGGACGTTGCCCAGGTCTACTTCCAATGCTGAGCGAACGGAAGGAGAGACAGTGCAAATTCAGCCTCGAGTCTTCGCACAGAAAGTCTCGGCCCATCTCCGCTCACCGACCTGAAACGGAAAATTGAAAGCGTGCTGCATCTGCGTTGACGCCAGAGCGACCTGGCCATCCCTCACGAGCAGGAAGCCGCTGTCCCCCAGGTTGGCAACGCGGAGCCGCTGCACACATCCACCACAGCAGGGTCAGAATGGGCCGGCAGGGGGGAAGATGTACCTGCCAACCAGTGAGGCGGATAGCGAGACACGAGCAACCGCTGGAACAAGACTCGTTGGATCCACACACGTCTCTCATCCGGCCCCAGATGGAGGTAAAGAAGTATGCTTGACTCACATTTCCACGAAGCCGTGCCACCATCGCTGCACAAGCAAAGGTCACAGGATCAGGCAAGTGGACCGTACTGATTCTCCGTACTGATTCTGTTCGCAGAAAATGGCTGTGAGAGCGGGGACAAGGAGAAACAGTCTTCGCAGGATCGGAGCCGGGAACTTGTTGGAACGGTGGTGACGTAAGGCGGCGAGTTGGATTCGACCGTTTAGTGGACTCGAGGATGCTCAATTTGACGATTATATCGACACCCTGAATGAAATCTGCACAGATTGTGCCTCGTGGACTCCTAGGCATAGCCGTCGGATCTTGCTCCGAGTCCTAGGGGAAATCAAGGGCTAAAAGCACCACCGTGGCACCAAACCCGACACCAACCAACAGCGGCCCCAGTTCCAATCGTGCCAACACTGTTTCTCCTTGTCCCGGCTTTTTCAAATAAGACGATGACTTTGACAGGTCACTTCGAGCACAACAATTCGCACAAGCTACTCAAATGGCACCCTCCTGGGGGCAGCGATTGAGGCTCACAGCAAGTGACACGCCCAGAGCTTTGTTGGTTTGCACATTTGACATCAAGTACCAGGAAGCCCTAGAAAGGACACTTGATCCGTCTGAGAGAGTGGTGGCGCGGCCACTCACCGGTGGCGGAGCCGGTGGCCTTGGTCATCTTATGTGCACGTATGAGCATGCTGCGCGGCAGGATGTCGTCGCCCGCCAGCCGCTGGCAGTGGTACATCAACTCCCGCGAGTACAGCCCCGCATTGATGCCTGCACGCCAGCCCCGCGCTCAGGGGCCGGGACAGGGAGCAGCAACGAGGAGCGCAGCGGCGACATCCCCGAAGCAGTGACCTCTGCAGCCAGGATGCAGGCAGCATGTGCAAGGTGGATGCGGGTAGGTGAAGCGCTGGACTAGTGCTCACCTAGAGTAGCCCAGCCCCCCACTCCGTCGCTGACCCCTACGTAGCTTGACTTCCCGTTTTCGGTACAAAAGAAGGCGTCCTCGCCGCCCTTCTCAACCTGCCAAAAACAAGACACGGATCACACAAAGACCAGGGCCTGTTCTGCAACACCTGACTCGTGCTGCCGTCATGCACCTCTCCAACCCAGTACGAAATTGTCTGGACATCCTTTTGCACCACTCCTTGCCAACTGAAACCCCTAAGTCGGAGCGCCTCGCCTTACCTTGGCTGGGTGCGGCAGCGATGATCCACCAGAATTGAGCCGCAGCGAAGGGCCGCTCGACTCAACCACACTGCCGCCCTCGCTGCTGGCGGTCAAACTGCTGCACCAGGAGGGGCGATGGGCGTCAGGCGATCGCTAGCCCTCACCCCACAAGTTCAGCACAGGGCATTGCAGACTGGGAAGGAGCGTGCAACCACTGGCTCTGAGTTCAATTGACCAACCGGTTCCTTCGATCTTCACGCGGGGATCGCAAGACACAAGGACGATGCTCATTCCCCCTGCACTTCCAGTGATGCCTTCTGCCAACCTTTGAGCTGCATCTGCTTCGACCGGCAAGTCCTCCTCTGCTTCGTCCACTCCTTGGCTTGCCTGGAGCTCCGTACTGGCTGCGATGCTCTCAGGTGGTGCCTCCTCCGCTGAGGGGGCACCCCGCACAAAGGCGTCCAGCGGATCCTGCTCCGGCCGCTCAGCAGCGTCCCCAAAGTCAAAGATGAAGCTCCCATCGGCGCACTCTGCAGTGGCAAACCATGCATGCATAAAGGAACGAGGTCATACTGGCGGCCTTGACGAATGTGGCTGCTCTCTTCCAGAATTCCAAGGGTTGCCTGACCAACGTGCGCCAGGACCTGCATCGCTGCCACCACCAATGCAGCGCGGTGTCTCACCTCTGACCCGGATGATGACTGGCCCCGTCTCATTCTCCTCCAATGGCCTGCTTTCGACCACATGGTCCTCCAGCTGGTGTACAGCTTCCTCTGTCGCCCCCTCTGACTTCGAGCGCCCCTCCTGCGCCAACGCGGCCACAGCGGACGTGCTCGCAGACGGCCCCTGCCGACCAGTCCCCAACTCGCGTGCCTGCAATCGTTCAATGTGAGCCCGCCCTCGCCTACCTATACAAACCTGAGCCGTTTGCTGCAAGCTTCTTCGAGCTTGGCAGCCTGGCCCCGCTGTTTGCCTGGACTGTCCATGGAGGTCTGGAAGGTGGCAGTGCCGTCTGGCCGCTGCTAAACACACGCCAGGGCACGTCTCTGCTGAAGGCACATGTAGCGCAGCGCCACCACGCCTGCTGCAGGGCCACAGCGATAGGCTGCCCTCCGGCGCTTTCAGAGGAGAACCAGAAGGACCACAGCGCGAGTGCCGCAGAAGTACGTACTCGCGGCCCAAGGCCAGTGCGGCGGCACTCTGCATTTCAAGGTTGATCCTGCCGTGGTCTCTACAGCGACAAGAGTCCGCAGTAAAATGAGACTGACCTTTCCGATTGACCGATTCGTATACAACTAGCATGCAAATCTCGTCATTGTTCCAACCAGGTGCAACTAAGACGACCTAGAATGAAGCAACTGATGCTGCGTGCAAATGAGCAAGGCTGCCTCTGCTCAAAGTCAAACCATCCACGTATTAACGAGTGCGCGGGCAACGGCGCTTGGTCTTAATTCGGTTGACGTTTCTCCCCCGCACTTCAGCAATATAGCCTTAGGTAGTGCCACTGCCAGCCTGAGTGGCTCAGCAATCCTTCCTAGGTAGCTCTCGTCCTTCTCGCGTCTCCTTGGAAGTTGAAAGATGAAGGGGTTGTCGCACAGTAAGGTACGTACCGCGCTGGCTTGAGCTCTCACCCCGGTGATAAGCGGCTACAACCAATCAGGAAGATAGCGCAAGGACATCCGGCCAGGGGGCTGCCGGTAAACTTTAAAGCCTGTTGCCCTCCCCGGCCTCAGGAGGCGGTCCCTAACAGGTAGGAACCGGCTTTCTCAGACCAGCTCGGCTGAGCTTCTGACACTGTCGCACCTACCCGGACCGCAGCTCGTTGTCAAAAGGATCGAGGCTGATCGCCATGGCGGGTTACCCCTCCCCTCCGCCGCCGGCCCAAGCCCCTCCTGCTGCTCCTGCCCCGGGACCTGCACCAGCAATTCACCGTCCAACGGCAGCAGCAGCAATCCCCGATAGAGCAACGGAAGCCGCGCCTGCTAGCAGCTCTGCGGAGGGATACGCCTACCCGTACCCCCCTCCTTTCCCTGGCCCTCCGTTTGGGCATGGCCCCTGGGGAGAGCACCGCGGGCCGTGGCACGGGCGGCACCACAAGCACCACATGGGCCATGGCCATCACGGCCACCATGGCCGGCCCCCGCGTCCCGACTTTGACATGTCGGGTTACTCAATGTACTGGGAGCCCCCACCCGGTTGGCATTCACACCCTGGCCCCCCACCCCCCTTCCACCCTCCCCGCCCGCCCCACCCTTATGCTGCTGCCGCATTCCATCATCCTCCGTGGGGCTCTCCTGCCACCTCCGTTCCTGGCCCATCTGGCCGCACTGCCGAAAGCACAGACCCCACGGAAGCGAGCACTGCAGGGGAGCAGTCCAGCGTTGGAGCACCTCCCGACGCAGGCAGGCATGCCTCACACTTCCGCCCCTTGAAGCCCAGGAAGGGGCACTCCTCCACTCCAGCAGATTCCAGCTCGCTCGCCCGCACCCCTTCCCTGGTGGCAGAGATTGTGTCGCGTGTCACGCAGAGTTTGCTGGCCAGCGCGGGGGCCAATGCAGCCAAGCAGGGGGCAGACCAGGACGCCGCCGCAGCATCGGGTGGGGCGTCTGTTGCCCGAGGCGCAGTGCTGCCCATCCCGGAGGAGCTGCTGCAGTCAATTCACCAGCTGCAGGAAGGCCTGCGTGCGCGGGGGGCCCCCTCCGGTCCTGAGAGCGAAGCCGCCAAGCTGCTGGCTCAGCAGAAGCGGCGGCTGCGCAAGGGCAAGCTGGGGAAAGCCCCCTCGCTGCACAAGCGAACCCTCTCCCAGTTGACACCCGACGGGCCTGCCGCTTCCAGGGACACCGCAGGGCAGAGCACGCAGGAGGCTGCCCCGTCAGCAGGTCCCCCCTCGGAGGCCCCCGAGACAGGGAGTGCCACACCTGCCGCGTCGGCGCCGTCCGTCGCCCCAGCCCCAGCTTTCAGCGCACCGCCTCCTGTGAATCTGCTCCCTCGGGTGCCCCTCGGCACATCCGTTGCATCCTCCGACCGCAGGCTGGTGCCCCTTGCGCCTGCCCCCAGTGGGGCTGCCAGCCAGAGCACGGGGCCGTTGGGAGGGGGGGGCTCCGCGCTGGTGGTGGACCTGCGGCCCAAGAAGAAGCGCGGGCCGCCGGCCAGGCAGCCAAAGGACCCTGCGGTAAGCAGCCAGGGGGGGGACTCTATCGCCGCAGCTTGTAGACGGCTGACATTGAAGAGTTACTTCTGGCAGCGTTAGACAGCGCATGTGAGTCGACATTCAGATATGTCAAGCGCCAGGCCTTTGCCCCTGCGCGTGCTGGCAATTCGATCAGTCAGTTGCTTTGCTGACTGTTTCTGGTCCTGCTTGGCCGCTGTGCGTGCAGGAGCGCAAGTCGCTGGGGCGACCGCGCAAGCCGCTGCTGGCGATGAAGTGCAGCAAGGGGGAGGGGCTGCAGGGGCGCAAGTCGGGCGCCATCCGCAAGAAGCTGCGCGTCTTTGGCCAGAAGCTGCAGGCACTCGTGGCAGAGCAGCTCTATGCAACCACCCCCGACAAGTGAGCGCGCAACCACACTGCAACCGTGCGGCCAGCAAACATGTGCCGGGCAGGGAGTGCTCTGGCATTGCAGCGAGGTTGGCATTGTTAGACTGCATACGGGGACGCTGTCAGTATGCGTTCAGCTGGGGGAAAGAATCCTACTAGGTGTCAAGTAGCGGTGTCAAAATGGGCTTCTGTTCAAGTAACCTTTGCCTGTTTGCCTGTCTGGCATCTCGGTGTACCATCTCACTGGGACTGCAAGTCGAGGGACCTCCACCAGTGCCGCTCGCCACAGTCGCTTCAAGGTTGCCTTCAGGGGCTCCAGTCTCGTCATGGGTTTACTTCCTGTCAACCACACCCTTTAAGTCTCGCCTTGATATCCTCCCTTCGTTGACCCCTCGAAAAGGATACCCTGTTCCCATTGCGCGTCCTGCGGGTGGCTGGGGAAGGAGCGAAACCGCTGATTGTGCAAGCTCCGTGTTTGTGCGCCAGTTTGCCCAATTCTGCGCAGAGCTGCGGCCTGATCGTGCTGGCTGGGCATTGCAGGATTGAGCGTGCTCAGATGGAGGAGGCGTTCACGTTGATGCTGACGCACAAGGTGTGCGGGGTGCGCTCGTCCGCGGTCATGCAGCTGCTGGACGGCAGCGTCTTCTCCAGGGACCGCATCGACATCCCCGTCGAGGAAGCGGTGAGGCGCCACCCCGCTGTTGGGGCCAAAGTGTCATTTGACACGGGTAGCTCTCAGCTGCGACTTCGCTTGTTGGCAACTGCCTTCCGCCTGAGTTCAGATGACCCCTGATGGCTGACTCGCATTCAGGCGTGACTAGCGGCCGCCTGAATTTACGAAACGCCTCCTGACTGGGTCGCCAGGCCGAGCACACAGGTTTTTCGGCGTGGTTCCTCGTGCCCAATGTGTCTGCGTTCTTTTCCCTGCAGCCCCCCAGCAAGAAGCAGAAGAAGGGCTTGAAAGGGAGGAAGGCCACAGAAAGGAGCGACTCCCTTCGGACGGCAGCAGTGGAAGAGCAGGCCGGCAGCCAGGGGGGAGCGGGGTTCGAGGCGATGGAGATGTCACAGGATGGCCAACAGGAGGCTGCGGGCTAAAGGTGTGTCCAAAAAGCGCAACAGGGTGGGGCAGAACGACCTGTCTCCCTCCCTCCAAATATTTTGCACTATGTATGAGATATATCAGCAGGCGGCAAGGACAAAACCCAATATGGACTGTGAGAATTCTAGCGCAGGCCACGTTTAAACTATAGCGCATTCTGTCGAGATAAGCAACTCGCTACTGTAGCTGGCTCCTGACTTGTATCATTGTAGGGATGTCTACTGACAGAATCACAGCCTTGACCTAGACCCTTGCATCAATCTGTGCCTTTACAATGAACGTGGAACTTTGGATAAGACGATGTCGATCAAGATTTTACGACGCTGCACGTGCGGGATGACTTAGTACACAGGTCATGCAGATGGTCACTTGCAGATGATTCCAAGCGTTCAATGTACATCGAACCACCTTCTTCTGCCCGGCCTTTGTGAGGAACAAATTGTTTTAGGGCCACCGCCTCAAACATCGAATTGGTCGGAGTTGAAAGCGCTTTTAGTCTTTGACAGTGATAATTGTGTTCAAGCTTCACCCCAAGATATATGGGAATTCGATGACTTCATGTAACGTTCTTAATGCTGCACGGAATCATCAGAGTTGCAACCGATGACACATGGGCGATATACCCATCTTGATAAGGATCAGATCTATTCCTCCGGCCGCCCCCCACATGCATGTGTGCATATCACCTGCTCATTAGCGCAAAGGCTACATCATTGTGGCAGCGGATCATGTGAAGATGGTGCATGACGGCGCGGGCTAGGATTAAGCGGCCTGCCCAATTCTGGATCCCAGCAGGGAACTCCCATCAGTACTCAGGACGGTCACTAGTTAGACCCATCTGTAACATGATAGAGATGCAGATGGATAAATACCGACCTTTGATTGGTGTGCGCAGCATTCCGCCAGACCATGCAGGTCAAATTTCATTACTGTTCAGTGTAGTAGAAGGATTTATTGATGAGGAACTCATGCAAGGAGTCTCGTTATTTGCATATGCATGAACGCACATATATGCACCTGTGCAGGAATATGAGTCTTTCCAGCTGTTTGCGCGTGCACAACATGACAACGGTCGATGCAGCTGACTTCTTGCAGAAGGGATCAAACACTTCGACGCCCTCAAGTCAGTCTTGCCACATCTACGATGTGCAAGGTACTCCACCACCTCTGCGCCAATCTTGCCAGTGCCACTCTGGATCCATGGATACGCCAGACGGTTACGCAGATCCCTGTCTACCATTTCTGCTCGAAAGGTCTCGGGTGCATGCGCTTTCTAACCGGCTTTGCCGCTCCCAAGCAGGAACCACTGGCTGCGGCCCATTACGGTTCTGGAGACCGCACTGGTGAGCTCAACTCGCTGTACTTCCGCCTCTTTGTGCTCACCTTTCTACCTGAGCGGCTTCAAAGTCCTGTTCCCTTGCCCCCTCGGGTTCTCGTCTTTCCAGTCGTCCCAGTTCCGAGCCTTCATCTCCGCTTCCTCATCGTCGCTCGCATCCGCATCCTTGGGTTCCACCCCCGATGCGACCGCTGCAGCCTTGTTGGCATCCTCTATTGTTTGCATGACGTTTAGCTCGTACTCCCCCGCCTCCTCTATTGTGTAGTCTGGTAGCGCATGACTAGGCTGGAACACCTGCGCTCGCATCTGCTCCCGCTCGCCACCTTTGAAGGCGCCCGTCAGCGCATTGCTCACCTGCACACGGCAAGCCCGGCGTTAGACACCTCTGACGACCAGTTTATGTGTCCAGCAATACGGACGAAAAGGGTTCACAGACGAAAAGCAACCTTCTCGTACTGCGCGTCGTTAAGAAAGTGGTTTGTTTCCAAGGCACGGCAGCTGTCGAGTTGCAGGCGAATCGGAGCACTGCTATCAAGTGTGCTGACTGCCGGAGCGACAGGGTATCATAATGAAGTCCTTGCGCGGCCAGGAACGACTCGCCAGCTTCGTCTGCCACCCTGCTCGGCGGCACTTTAAGGGGTTTGCCGACTTCCTAAGCACCTCAGAACGAGTCACCACCTCTGGTGATCAACGATCACACTCCTGAGCTGATTTTGCCAAACATTGCAAAGTTCGGTGCAAGTGACAGAACCAATCCATGACCATGGCGGATCGACTTTTCCACTCAAATTCAAACCGACGACGCAGAGACTGAAGGGGTCAGCGGAGGCGCCAGCCACCGCCAGCCGCGCAGCTCCTCACCGGTCCGTACAGCGGTTGCTGGTGCCCGCACGTGTGCACCGACACGAACGTCCTGCCCTTCCCCGCCGCCGGCCCCCCCCCCGCCTCCTGCTGCACTGCGTCGTGCGCGCGCATGTGGCGCTCCTCCGCCTGCTTCTGCCGCTCGTCCAGCGCGGCCTGGCCCTCCTCCCCCGGCGGCGGCGCGCTGGCCAGCAGCTGCTCCTCCTTTTGCAGCGCGGCCAGACTGTCCATGGCGCGGTGCGTGCCCGCCTTGAGCTGCAGCAGCCACACGCGCCGCTCCTCCTCTTCGTCCGTCACGCCCTCCTCCTCCTCCTCGCGGCTGCCCGCCTCGCCGCTGCCGGCGCGCTTGCCCGCCACGTGCAGCCGGTTCTTCTTCTGCGCCAGCAGGTCGGCCAGGGCAGTCTCCGCCGCGCGCTTCTCCTTGAACCGGCTGATCTGGACGGCCAGGGAGAGCAGTGCAACAGGAGTCAAGAGGCAAACAGGAAGGATATACGCATCGTTGAGCTGGACAATGATTAGAAAGAACCGCTTGGCATTGCAGGCCGTTCATTACTCGGGGCTTCAGGCCAGGAGCAGTCTGCATGGCTTGCTAGTCCAGGCCGAGTTACGGGCAGCACTCTTTACAAGTCTAGCACAAGCACAACCGTCCAACAAACTTTTCGGCCTTTCATTGCTGAGACGATCCTGATACGTTCACTGCCTGGGGCCGGCCTGGTGCAGAGCATGCTCACTTTTTCGGATCTAAGGGTGGCGGGGTCGGCGGCCGCCTCGCGAGCGGCCGCTCTCTTTTCAATGTCGGGCAGCAGCCCCAGGCGGTCACATGTTCGCACAAACTCCTGAACAGCCACCAAAGTGATCAAGCGGCGAACTACAGAGTCTTTGATTGGAGCCAACCGGGGCATCAAGATCTTCTGGCAACAGCATCGGCCTCAGAACGGGTGGAGCTTTTTGACGTCGAGGCCAACTCCAGGCGGGCAACAAAAGTGGACGGTTCCGAAATTTGGGATCAGCAGGCCACTTGTTTCAGACCTGCCAAGAAGCATCCGCCCTGTTCGTCCTTGTCTTGCCCCCACAATAAATTCAGACTCTCTGAGATCTTGCAAGCTGCATGACACACTGCAAAGCCGATACAATTTGCCGCACCCAAGTCGACCAACGTGTTGACAAGTGGATACCTTCTTGCAGTCAAGGAACCGCAAGGGCGCTCACCGAGAGGTGAACTCGCGCCAATCGGACAGCTTGCAGGCGGTTTGGCAAGACGAGCTGCTGATAGAGCTCGCCCAGGTAGAACGGCACCTGAGGGAGGGGCCAGCAAGGAAATTGCCACGTCGGGACTGGGCACTAACGGTAACAGATTCCAAAGATGCCTCTCCAACAAGCAGCACCACACGATGGGAACCAACAGTGTCACCTTTCACCCGATTGCTTGCGGACTGCAACAAAATAGATTCCAGAGGATGCTAAGGTCTGGACTTCAACAATCACGGTTGTTGTACAGCGAACAAAGAAAGATAAAAAGGACGCAATCATTCCAAAATACTCAAAAACGGATGAGACCAAAGCTTAAAAAGCTCTCTCATTTTCTCTCCTAGCAAAGATCTAACTTTCACATTCTCTTTGATGACTTTAATGTACAAGCAACCACGTTTGAGGGTTTCTTGCAGTCATCCTCGACTTGCATGGGGCTATGCTGTGCACTGCCCTCCATCTACTTTCATGAAGCGGAAGCCCAATAATCTCAATATCATAAACAGACTGGAGAGTGACCCGAGCAACAAGTGGAGGGCTCGAAAAGCAGAGGGCTCCGGCCGGCAGCTCCTGAGAAGCAGCGCCCGCAACAAGGGCACCAATTCAGAAGTTGGGGGTTGGTCGGTCTCTACAACAGCAGGACGCAGTCTTCAAGTTAATCACTTGTGTGAAGGTGAATTGCAGAACTCCTTGCGCTGATAGGGGCACAGCACTTTGCTGCCCCACATTTCCCAAGAGCCTTCTGAGGTGCGAGCGGGCTCACCAGGAGATACTTGAGATCCACGGTGGCGATATCGTCTTTCTCTTCATTCTTTGAAAAGAGGCCCAAGCGGTGCACCTGCACCAGGCACTGCTGCAGCGCCTGGCACCCCGCTTTGATCTCCGCCTGCACCACAGGAACACCGCCCTTGAGTTGCTGAGGCTGCTGAGAAACATGAAGGGCTGAGATGCCGACTTGCAAGCAATATCTGCTAGTTTGAGACATTGAAAAAGCGGGAGTTTACTGTTAGCTCCGTCAGCAAGTCTGCTCCCCTTCTTGTTAATCCCTCATCATAGAAACTTCGCATAGAGTATCTAACCACAACAATGGGAGGCGTCTCCAAACCCAATAAGCAATGGAAAAAAAGTCGAAGTTTCTTGGTTAGGCTCGTATGATCTTGCAAGGCCGCTGACAAGCACAAACGTGCTGGTGAGGTGGTGTGTAATTTCTCATCTCTATGTAAGCACGTCCGCAGATCATTGATATACTGTCGTTGAACGATAGCCAACAGGGATGGTTCTGAAAGAAAGATCCACTGAGAAGCCACTTTGAAGGGGCCACAATGTTAGGGCATCCAAACTTCATTCCTCCTCGAGTTTTATGCACCAACTTAATCATTAATGTTCCAACAAATCACCTGTGCTTCCGAACTTGCTGAAGCGAACCCCTCCGCCTTTGCCTGAGCTTCCCGTCCCCTCCTGAAGAGCTCCGGCAGTGGTACATCCTCCTGAATAGGTTCCCCTACTGAAGCATCCATTGTAAGGGCGTCTTAGCGGACCTTGAGAGATACTTTCAGCGCCCAATCTTGGTTGTCTGGTTGCCCCGTTCCTCCTGAGTCCTGCGAGGCTGCGCCCATGCGTGCCTCAGGGTTCGAGCTGTGCTAGTCGCGAGTACGCGCGCGTCGTCTGGAAGCCGCTACCGGCCTACCTATTCCGTCATGCCGTCATTCCGTCATGCCGTCATGCACGATTGATACGGAGAACCAGCGGACTAGATGCCGCAAATCTTAAACGCATGTCTATTACAGTAAGTAAGGACTCTATTTATTAACGTAGCCCAACGCGTGTGCCCGGTTGACTTGTGTTTCTTGTGTTTCCATCGAGCTCGCATTTCGAGCCTGCGAGCTCATGTGAATAACGTTTCGGCACGCATAGTATATTGCGCGAGCCCCCGCGAGCACATGGAGGTGGCCGCAAATGGTCTTCGTGGTGCCGTACCTTGAGTTGAATCGCATTTTGTGGAAGCTCCAGCTCGCAAGCACTACGAAGCATGACCATAACAATGAGGTCGTACTAACTTAAGAAGCCAATGCTTCAACCTAACTTAGACGATCAGGTCGATATGCTTTTCCTTAATACAACATGAAGCACGTTTGCCTGCATCAGCGAGCACCGTTAACATGGGCCAAAGCACAATCATATCAAAACCTCGCACATCCTCATATATGGACCACTGTTCCGAAGTTCGTTGAAAGTTCCTCAAAAGCTCTTCCATGACTTATTGCCTACGCTATCGCCCAATCCACATTCCTTGAAAGCTAGCTGCTGCGAGCACCAACTGGCGAACACCTACCTGGATGTGAATCTTCAGTGAACATTCTGCCAACCCTTCCCTGACCTTTGCTCTCTGATTATTGCCCGTTGATCCCTCGACAAATATATTTTCTACCTGGTGCAAGCTGCCTAGACTACTGCTATGCTCGCTTAGTGTACTGGTAAGTGCCTGTTCTACACTCCTGAGAATTGAGTGAGACTCCTTATTTCTATGGTCATCTTCCTAAACCTTGGCTGTGACCAACATACATGAGCAATATAATCAATACCCTCGATGTCCGAAGTGAACGGCCTGAATCCTAACGACACCGCTGGCAAATGGTACATATGTCACAGGAGCTTACAAAGGTGTGTCTACTTCCGGGCCGCAAACACCATGTGACGAGGTGACTCAGCGATTCTACGGAACTCCCTAAAAGGCCCTGCCGCCTCCACGACGCCCCTGATCTTTGCCTCACCGGCACAGGCTCCCCACGAGCAGCCACCCTCCTGGCTCAGTGCATTTGGCACGCACACCAAAGTCGAGAAACTGCAAACCGGATTATAATTTGTTGTAACTGTGGATGCAGCAAGACCGCAATACATCTTATCCAATCAAGATAGCACTTCAACGTCGACTTCGCTAGGCCTACTGACGGCAGGAGCAGATTGACGCAGCGAAGCGATCAGACATGGGCTTCGACAGCAGGGCAGGCTGCTGTGCCTACCTGTAGAGGACCCTGGCGAGCGGGTTGGTGAGGTTGCCGCTGAGCTTGCCGTCCGTCAGGTGCTCCACGATGAGCCAGATACCCCCGTCTGCAAGAGCCTCGTACACGTGCTTGGCCGCCCCCAGCGGATCTCCAAAGTCGTGCAGCGAGTCGAGCATGGTGATCAGGGTGAAGCCGTCTCCCGGAAAGTTCTTGGCCGTGGATACCTGGAAGCTCACGTTGCCTGCGCACAGACACAGGAGCAAACTGAGACTCTTGGCACAGCCTGCGTAGCTACTTTCAACTGAATCAGGATTTTTAAGAAGGAACCATGTACTGCATGTGTGTGACCAGGCTTACGATGTCCACTTAGCACCAAGGGCCAGACTGTTCGCACTGCAAGGGGTGTCAAGATCTACACATCCTATGGTCCACGAATCATCGTCAATCAACACAGAGACAATATTCTATGCTGTTTGAAATAGGATCTCTCTCCATGTTCTTCGTAACGTCCACCTTCAAACATCGTCACATGATTCGCATACTTCCACCTGTATTCCCATGACTTGCCAAACAAACAGAGACGGAAAACGGATGTCCGTACGGTCGACGATACGGCTGGTCCGTGCTCACCCTCGATCCCGTTGTCCTTCGCAATCGCTCTGGCCTGTAACACGGACAGCTCGTGCCGGTCGAAGCCCACGAAGGTGGAGTTGGGGTAGCTCCGCGCCATCATCAAGGTCGTGGCACCAAAGCCGCATCCGACGTCGGCCACCTTGCCGCCGCGCTCCAGCTCCTCCTGTAACAGCAACGAAGTCACACGAATTGGCCGAAGGAGCCTCTGTCCCGACTTCAGGACCTGACGAGAAGACAGCTCTGCTTGTAACCGTTGGTAGGCCCCAAAGTACTAGGGAACGCGGACTGCGTTCGCACTGAGCGGACGGAAGGAATGATGGCCGCATAAATCCTGTCAGATCTGCTATACAGCAGCTCTCTCGTGCTCAACGTTTTCCACGAACTGTTCGACTGCTTGGCGAAGGGATCGCAAGAGCCATAAAATTGGACAACAAACCTTTCGGCACAAGGTACCGAGCCGGAGTGATACAGCAAGCGAGTGAAGGACTAGAGCGGACCTCTAGAATATCTCCCAGCGCGGGCAACCAAACTTGCACGAGGAGCGCTTCCCACTCCGTTGCCGTTGCTCGAGCTATTCCCCGGGCCATCCCCACAGGCTGCTCTCCGTAGCTGAGGCCGCGGCCACTTTTGAATGTGCTTGCCAGTGTCTCCAAGTGGGTCCCACTAAGCGAAGCTGCCACCTCCATCAGACCCATCAGGTTGGAGGGGTTCTCGTCCCTATGATCCGAGAAGGGCAAGACGCCTCAAAATAGGCAAAGCGAACAGCAAGCTGATATCACACTACCTCAACTGTGGCCAGAGCAGACGCGCTCTCTTGCATTGAAAAATCGACGAGTTTCACGACACCAGACCTGACTCACAGACTATACACTAGCTGGATGCTGGTCGAATATCAAACATTTTTGAGTAGAAAAGCACATACCTGGCTAGCACCATGGCCTGCTCTGCAGTCAGCTCAAATGTTTCAGAAGGTGCATGGTAAGCGACCCAGCCTGCCGCTGCGTTTGCATTTAACCATTCCCTCATGAGCCTGCATGAAAAGGTAAACGAGGCCTTAGGAGCTGCGCCCGGAACTGGCGGCTTGGCAACATGCACTAATTCAGCCAGAGTCACAGGGGACATCTGGAGCTTCAATAATCAGTACAGGCATCATTAGCGAGCATCTATGCGACCAAGGAGCGACGCTCTTCACGCTAGCTTCAGCGCTGTCCAGCAGCAGGCGGGAACTCGAAAACGTCAAGATGAAGTGCAGGTTGCCCGACATAAACTTAGTCTTAATCTTCTGAATGAGATTGCTTCAGACCTTCAAGTCAGGCTGCAGGACGCCCACCATGACCTTCAACCCCAACGAAACATCTACAGACCAAAAGCCTGGGCAAAATACTCGTTAAGGGAGCCTCACCTTTCTGAACATCCAGTACGAACTGCTAATTCAGCCGGGGTAACTTTTCCAGCTCCATCCATTGCTGTACTCAGAGAACGAACCAAACATGTTACAAAAAAGAGGTAGGAAGGAAGCGAAAGAGCCTCTTGTCCTCCAATTCACTTGAGTGCTCCCGCTAGTGGCAAATGGCCTACAGGATAGTAACAATCGCCCTTCAGCAAGTATTGCTTTTGCTGTTGTAAAATGAAGCAGAAACTCAAGTGCTTGATCAACTCTCGTTTTTGAGCTCGCTTTGAAAGTCTCCGCTGTGTAGGACATCCGCCGATCTGTATGTGTTGATTTCGTTTCAGCAATACGCCTCCAGAAAAAAATGGTACTTTGAGAGTGTTTTGTCAACATGTGCATCCTTTGCAACTAGTGAGAATACCAGGACCAGCTTGCAGAACCTCCATGTTGAGCTTAGTCAGGAACAGACAGATTGGGTCTATTTCATCAGTTAGGTCCAGTTCAAAACCTAAGGGAAGCAAGAAATGCCCCATTCACAAGCTCAAGTTCCTTAATATTACAGTAGGTCTGTGCCACATTGTTTATTTCAAGCTCAGGTCAACCGCGACTAAGACCCCAATGCAATAATGCAGCTGGTGTTTGCTCTCCACCATCTGATAGGATCTCAGACCAATTCCTGGCCCCAACCGTACAACTTGGACCCCTCACCTTTGTAAAGCCCAAGCCGGTCACCCAGAACTCCAAGAACACAGCTGAAAGCGCCGCCAACCTGACATGCGGAAGCTGTCTCAGTACACGAAAGCACTGCAGCCGGGGCATTCAAAACGGTTGACTAACGGAAGAAGAAATGGGACATGCAACCACTGCAAGATAAAGAACGCTCCTGTTCACATACTCCCTGCGTACAATTGCACAGATGTAGGAAACTCAAGCACAAACAAGTGAGCTGCTCTGCATTTGAAGCCACAGGCATATGGTGGAAGAGAGCAGCTGATACATCTGCCACTCAGCTCGCTGAGCTCAGTCCGTTCATGTAGTGGAGGGCAGTCTGACCTCCTTGAGAACTTTGTCTTGCAACTTTTCAAGCACAGCTTCATTTGCTCCTGCTGGAATGAGGGAATCGCAGCGCGCCTCAGCTGGTGGGGTTTCAGGCCACATGTGAGCATCTTCATGATCAAAAGCACCCTGCAGATGCCCCTGCAAAGGTGCAGTAAAGTCATGAGTGAGTCATCCAGTCTCGAAAAGGAATGGTTTATGCTTCCTTATCCAAAAATGGCACATACAACGCTTTCTTGAGAAGCAGAGTGACTTGTCAAACTCTGCAACTGATCTGATTGCTTCTCGGCACTCATGATCAGAAAACCCTTCGCGGGCGCAGCAAACATACATGTTTTTGGACGCACGCGGATCATGTTACATTGCATCCCATATTGTAGCAGATATCCACCTGTTTTAATTCCCTTTCAGGATCTTTGGTGGAGCTGGGCCCCTTCGAAACTTCCTCTGCATCGTTCTGCAGTTTCAGTCTCGGAAGTTGCGACAGAAAGTTCTCCATCTTCACAAGGACCTTGAGGGAGTCGAGAGACTTGTACAACACAAAATACCAAAAAAGACACCACAGTTTTCCATGCAGCAGCACAAAATGGATCTTCTTGCTTCAGGAAAAAGAGCTAATGGGAGCAACGAAGGGATTGTCTTCCGTCTTCAGCACGGAAGCTACAAGAGGCCTTCGTTCTTCAAATGGCTTCTGATGAGCGCTGTGGCTCCAAACAAACTTGAAAGGGGGCGGAACTCCCCTGTGGAAGAACGACTTTCTTTCGTGTGGATTTGCTGACTAGGCAAGCCGCAAACTTCGACATGAATTGACCATGATGCGTGTTGGTCTCAAACGAGCGGTGGTCGAGCTTTTGTGAAGCCTGATCGGACGGCGGACCTGAGTCCAGGAGAGTATCCATTGTATCGACGGTTCTCCAAGCTTGGACTCACAATCCACGGCCGATAATAGCCAACGCAGTTGCAATGGCCGGCCGGATTCGCCGCGTGAACGCTGAGGCGGTGCCAGGTGGCAGGTGGTCTCTTCAGAGCTTCAACATCCGAGTGAGGAGGGAGCCTGCTGATTACGGTATACTGGTAGTGACAGTAAGTGTCTCCATTATACACCCGCATGGAGCAGAGACTAGCTTCATGTGCTAGATTCTTGCTTGTAGATCTGTGTTCTGCATTGTCAATGTTAGGGTCCTCTGAACATTGATTCTTGGTGATTTGTTCCGCCTATTGTACTGCTTGTTCATTCATTCATTATACACCCGCATTGAACTCGGGGAGGCTGCCATCAAAGCTTAGAGCGCCATGGGCGCATCCGCAGCTGTGAGCTCCATCGTTGGTCGGCACCTGATTGCTTCTGATGGTGATGTCTGCCGGCCCAGGAAGCGATGGCAGCGGCCCACATTATCGGTTGCTGATTCCCCTCTGACTCTGCACCAATTGGGCGCGCCTTGCCTATCGCAATGGCATTCAGCCAAGGTGGCAGCAGGCAGAAGGGGCCACTTGGGTGAACTGCAGCATCGATCTGCTGTGCAATTCTTGAGCAAGGCCCCTCAGGCTCTGCTCGGGTCTCGCTTTGTGCCCCCAGCTTCCCCAAGCATCTGCCAAAATCTGCTGGTGCGTTTGGATGCACGCAAGGCAGCTAGGAGTGGCAGCAAGGTCGTGGCACAAACGACCGCTACAGGGGCAACCCCAGATGTCAGTTTCCACATTTGTGAACTCAATCTCCTGTCTGCAGCATACCCAAGCTCGCCCAAATCATGCTCTTTGAGTATGCAAAAACTAAGCATGTGGAGTTGAGGAAGTTTCATCAGATTGAGTGTACCGCTGCCCCTGCCCAATGCTGATGGTCATTGTACAGGTGGTCAGATGCAGTGTGATGACTTTGGACTTTATCAATGCTGACAAAGCAGGGCGCATTAGTATTTAAGTAGTGACGTTTAAATTCTTGTTTTCCAGCGTAGTTGAAGACTTCTTCATCTGAAAGCTTGCCAAGTTTCTTTTGCTGATGATCAGATGCATTCATTTTTCTCAAAAAGTGGGCTTTGACAATGCAAGGTGGGGCACAATTGTGCACATCACCTGGTGTTGACTTGTACCGACGTAAGTATTGGCTTGTGCAGGCTGATGGCTGGATCAGATATCAAGGTAGGCCTCCAGTAGCTTTCAAGTCCTACTAGCAGGTAAAGCAGGTAGTGCCATTGCCTTCTTGACAGGCTTACAATCCGAGTATATGCATACCTCTTCTTGGTTGAGTTGAAGCTATGTCTTTGCCACTTTGTCTGCTACCTGCTTTCAATGCACCCAAGTCAATGACCCCAAAGCCCCCAACTTCGGCCCCGCATGCCACAGCCTTCTTGCTGTCCACGCAGCACAATCGTCAAAGTCTCACATCGTACGCAGGCAATGTGAGCAAGGGTCCTCAGGCAGCCTGGCTGCCCATTGCCATTGGTGTGGCCACCGGCGTGTACGTGTACCCCAAGATCCTCCCCTACATGCTCATGCTGCTGGACAACATCCTCCAGCACTGGCCCGTGAGTTGCATACCCACACGGAATGCTCGGAAGGCTAGATAGATGCATCTGCCCTCAAAAGCTGCTCGCATTTCCTCTGCTGTTTGGCTGCTCAGTCCCTGCCACAGAATCTCACGCTGCAGAGGTTGAGCTTGGTCGCCTCTTCTGGGCGTGTCTTGGATTGCCCCACCGCTGATGCCCCACTTCTGTGCTGTCTGCTTCGTGCAGCCGCACTACCTGGGAATCACCGCGGTGGACGCACTCCTAGGTGGGCTTCTGACATAGAAGGAAAGATGATACATTGAAGCTCAACACTGCCAGCATTCAACAACTGTCCATCACATTATTGAAAAGCCAGCTTTGTAGTTTTTGGAGGGCCTAAGACTCCTGTCACATTTGCCCCCGCTGTTCTGACGCAGTCCACCGTCTACTTGTATGCTGGAGCTAAATACAGGCCAGGATGGGGTGCTGCTGAAGCTCTGCCAGGTCGCCGCCTCGCCTCACCTCCCATCGCATCACACTCAGCTCCGTCACTCTGCGTCAAGCACTGCAATCCCCCATGCGGCCCAGCATCCAATCTGTGCCCCCGTTTGTCTCGCAGGTATCCTGGTGCCTTTTTTCCAGGACGTCTTTGCCTCCGCTGACTACGGCCGCATCATCGTGGCCTACTTCTCCGCTGTCATCCTGTCATGGGCCCTCGCAGCCGGCATTGAGTCCTCGCGCCTGGACGCCCACCGCAGCAAGCTGATCAAGTTCTTCTCGCCGCTGGTGTCGGTGGAGATTTTCTCGGGGGTGGGCGTCCTGACGCCCCTCCTGTGGGTGGCGCCCTTCCTGCGCATGCCCGGCAACACGGTATGCCACCACCTCGGGCGGCGCTCCGCCGATTACCCTAATGATTGGGTTCAGTTATCGAGTTGCTAAACGAAGTGGCGAAGCCCCTCCTTGATGGAGGGAATTGCCGCTCAAGGCGTGCAAGCTGATGGGTAAAACTTGGTTACTTTTCTACTTGACTTCTCTCAAGCATGCCCCGGGTTACTTCTCTGCTTGCCTTTTCGTATATCATGCCCGGGGCGTCCAAGACAGAACTTCCAGGAGTGCGCCAATTTACTATCTTGAATAACGAGGAATCCACAGGCCTCAGCTCCTTTGATGAGACTGCGGGCTCTTTATTCGCGATCTTTCAAGGAGGCTCATCGAAGCCTGAATCAAAGGAAGTCCTGCAGATGAAAATGCACTGTGATTCACACAGCGTTTCAAGTTTATCTGGAGGAGTAACGTTTGTGGGCCTTCTGCCCAACCTCATCCCGCCCATCTCCGCCCCTCCCCAGGACTCGGCCGCCCAGCTGACCCCCGCTGTCGTGGCCAACAAGCTGGTGTCGGCGCAGCGCGTGCGGCTGCTGTCGCTGGTCATCCTCGCCTCGTTCGTGCCGTACGTCGCGGGCTACTTTTTGACCTCCACCCGCTACCACGTGAATCAGCTGCTGGTTGCGCTTCCTCCCCTCGTGTGGCCCCTCCTGTGGGGCTCCACGGGCACCACCGACGCGGACAGCCCCGTCGCGGGCCACTCCGCCGCGGAGCGCCTGCACTCCCTGGCCGTCGGGGTGGGCCTGCTGCAGCACGCGATGTGCGTGGCGCAGCTGGTGGAGCGGCCCGACATGCTGGCACGCGCCGCGGGGCTGCTCCACAACCACCCGATGCACATGCGGCCCACGCTGTTCGTGCTGGTCACAACGACCAGCCTCTGGGCAGGTGAGAATCCGCACGCGGGCAGCACGAGCAGAGAAGACGCGACCGCTTCCACGGTAGCCGCTTTCTACAAATGCTGGCGGGCAAGCGGGGACACGGTGTCTTACGCAGCGTGGGACGCTTCTTAGAAGTAACTGATTCTGGACGTCCAAACTGCTGGTCATCAGGTCTGGGCTCTTTCGATCCTGTGCTCAAGAGTGGCTGCGTAGTGGACAGAATAAAATGATTGCCCAGATCCTCGCTTTCAGGTGTTACTTTATTGACCATTTCCAATCTGACTTTTCTTCGTGGAGTGCCGCGTCCACCAAGTTGCAAGAGCGCATCAGATTCGTATTTTGGGTGATGAAAGCGGCCACTTACGCAACTGTGTAATCGAGCAGATTTGGGCCGGCTGCTTCGTCCGCCCCAGCTGACCTCCCCTCTCCCCCGTGTACAGCGTTGCTGTCCATCCCCCTGGCCCAGGAAGGGCCCAAAGCCGCCTTAGGCGTCGTGGGGAAGAGCATCCTTCTTGGACCGGCGGCTGCAATGTCGCTCTACTTTGCGGCAAGGGAGAGGGCGTACCTAGACGTGGCTTTAAGGGCAAATCCCGTGCTTTGAGGAGCGACAGAATCAGCAGATTTCACCACTGCTCCTCGCCTTCTGTAGCGTGTTGAGTGCTTATGATTTGGATGTCTGTCGAAATTATGTAACAAGTGGAATTGTGTTTGAAACTCTCGGCCCTCTGAAAGAGGGATCGAGTTATGTAACAAGTAGGAGCGCAATACGTGCAACTATGCGAGAGTGATTGTTTATAGTAACCAGCAACTTAATTAAGCCTCATTTGGCGCGCCGAACTAAAACGTCTAAGTTCCCGGGAAAAGTGTTTGAGGATACTAAATCTAACATTGTACTTCACAACTAACTACACAAAACCTGTTTTGTGGTCACGTCACACAGTGTAGCTTGATGCAATCCTCAAAGTATATACGAGCTCAAGATTAGTTACTCAACCGACGACGTCATAGCACGCCAGATCTGCAAGGACGGTACCGAGTTTTCGGACTCCTGGCATATGCATCCACCCATGTAGGTTGGCATTGCCGTCATGCAATTTCATGGCGCTAGGCGGCCGCCGGGAATTGCATTGAGGAAGACGTGAGAATCTACCAAGCAGACGGGGTCAATCCATGTAAGATTGAAGTCCGCCGGAGGGCATATAGCCGTGCTGTGCATCGACTTGAGCCGCTCTCGACAATAAGCACGACCCACTGCACCAATGTTGACTGTGCATGTACGGTACACATGGTCCGTCACACCGGCCCAGGACCGCATCATTGCCTGCGACAGATATCTAAGATCTCATGGTAAGTTGCAGTGTCAGTGCCATTTGGCAAAATTCCGGTCGTTACCATATACACTAGCATGACTGAGTGCTTTCAAAACGGTATACCGGTGATTCCTGTCGCTACCATCTACACTGAATGAGCGCTTTTGCAAAACTCTCGTTCAATTCAGTGAAATCGTGAAAGCGCAACTAGCTGCATGGACGCCCTCTTGCATCTAATCGTCTTGCGCGGCTATTTTGTATCGAGACGAGAGTCATTGGCCGCGGCGGCTATAATATCGAGATCCGCAGTCGAAGTGCATACCTGTACATGACATCCGCGCGGAGCTGCCCAAATGATGAAGTCGGCACTTTAAAGAGGGCGTGGGCGGACGCATCCGCCGTCAGCGACTGGTAACCAGGGATGCGGCTGTTTCGGTCGCCGCAATGCCAATATTTGGCAGCGACATCGAGGGTGACTATGCTGTCACGCGGTTCTGGGTCGTTAAGCGGGAACATGTCAATAACATATCAGACAAGTCTCGGCGCACTCGGCTAAAAGAAAAATACATGGCATTTCATGTCACTCATATGCATCGTACACATCATCATAGAAGACGCACGTGGGTTCCTTCAACCACAACGCCCTCTTTTATAAACTAATTGCGCATGCAATATTTGTAGGTTGCCATTCAAACAAATGCCGCCAATGCGTGCCGGGTGATGCATACAATATAACGTCGGAGGTGCACATTGACGTAGGCCGTGTCGGAAGCTGCTCAGTCATATAATAGCTGATTAAGGTGACAATCAGGTGACCGTCGTCTTGTATCCTTCCAGGTTACTCTAATTCTTGTTAAACCATTCTTTTCGGCCCTCAGAAAGGCTATGTGCAGCCAAGAAGGTACTTCAATGGCTAAAGGTCATATATACTCGTCTTCATGGAGTTAGCATGAAAAGCATCGCAAGGTCCAGTATGGACTGTCAAAACATGCAACGGATCAACTGAATCTGCCCGGTGTTTTACTACAGTCGCATACCATTACCGGTACCTTCGTACAACCGCTGTCTGGTGGTTACCACCTACAAGTACCAGATCGACCGTTGACATATATAAATCTCTCGCCCCACGTCACCACTGCCTAGTTGACGCCTGGCCGGTGCACGGGGATCTTGACGGGCTCGATGCGCCAGATGTCGCGTGCGTAGTCGGCGATGGTGCGGTCGGAGGAGAACTTGCCGGAGCCGGCGGTGGAGAGGATGCTCATGCGCGCCCAGCGCTGCTTGTCCTTGAACGCCGCGTCCACGCGGTCCTGCGCGTCCAAGTAGCTCGCGAAGTCGTTGGCCAGCAAATAGTAGTCGCCGCCGTACTGCCCGTCGATGGCCTCGCAAATGGGCGCGAAGATGTCCGTCCACCCGAACCGGCCCTGCCGCAGCAACCTGCGGACACGCGACGAGGAGCGCGGCTTACGGGCTGCATGATCAGCTTACAAACTACTGTGTTATGCTGGAACAGAGGAATTAGTCAGCACGTGACTTCCAGGGGTTGTTTGCTTGCTTCGGGGTCTCGTCAGCACCCTGCACTTTCGTGGCTTAGGCAATCCGACGAAGCTGAGTAAAGAAGCGATGCGCCCCCGGTATGGTATGGCAACGTGCTGAAGCCGCGCGAGCGCCAGAGGAGGGAGGCGGCGCTCACTCGACGACCTTGTTGAAGCGCGGGTCGGGGCGGTACTCTCGCCGTTGTTCCCGCAGGTGGGGCACCTCGTGCGCCTCGACGCCGAAGATGAACTGCACACGGCGGAATCAGCCATGACATCAGCTCGAGGTCAGCCCAAGATCAGACCGCCTCGAAGCACGCTGCGAGCAGCGCACGCAACAACCAACTCTACCAGCATCCCGGATGCTTTGTTGCATCTTGAGACGGAAGTAAGCCGTTTAACGAGGCACAACTAGTACAGCTATCGCGCGGGGGCGGTCACCATGTTGTCGTGGCCGATCTCCTCCGCGATCTCGACGTTGGCGCCGTCCAGCGTGCCGATGATGAGGCCGCCGTTCATGGCGAACTTCATGTTGCTCGTCCCGGACGCCTCTGTGCCCGCCGTGCTGCGCACGGCAAGCGGGCAATCCAATCAGGAGAGGGAAAGCAAGGGGGGCTGAAGACGGCGACACCAGACTAAACGAACTCGATGAGATGTCTAACGACAGCTTGGCGTCGCGACATTGCCCTGATATCCTGAATGACGACATTTGAAAAAGCAGCAGTACTGGTCTGTTCTGAGCATCTATTTTGCCGATTTTTATCACTTGGTAGACCCTGTCGCAGAAAACTTGCTGCAATTCCATCATTCTTGGGCTTTTCTTTTAAGCTTCCCTACATCAGCCGCCTGCTTCAAACCTGGAGTTGCGCCCCGAGCATTTCTCAGCGACTGCCCGTCGTGCCCTGGGCATCTCTGCCCCGTGGGTCGTCCGTCCGCGGCCTGGCGGCGCGGGCCTCACCTGATGTGCTGCGAGAGGTCGGAGGCGGGGATGATGGTTTCCGCGAGGCTGACGTTGTAGTCGGGCAGGAAGAAGACCTTGAGCAGGTCGCCCACGTCCGGGTCGCCGTTCACTACGTCCCCGATGGCGCTCACCAGCTTGATGATGCGCTTCGCCATGTCGTACCCGGGTGCGGCCTTGCCGCCCACGATCACGACACGTGGCACCACGTGCTGCCGCTCCTCGGGCGACATCTTCTTGATGCGCTCGTACCGGTGGATCACACTCAGCATATTGAGCAGCTGCCGCTTGTACTCGTGGATGCGCTTCACCTGGAAAACAAGCGGCCGGGGCAGGGGAGGAGGGGTCAGCACACGGTCTAAAAGGCGTGGCGTTGCAGCGGGACACCAATCCAACTCGCGGGCAATGTTGTGACAATTAGAGAGTATCGCAATCCTCTACTTTTTAGAAGACGCGAGACGGCAATACACCTGCTGCCTAACACGAGCGCTAAAGAGGAGTAGTTTGTAACATCATAGAGGCGTGCAAGCAGTCCTTATTTGCCGCACTGATCGCCCCACCTTGACAGCGCTTAGAAGCGAGCCGCATGTGCCTGCGGCACTGTGGCTGCCGTACCTGGATGTCGAAGAGCGCGTCGGTGCTGACGGTGGCCCCCGTCAGCTTCTTGACGAGCGCGGCGAGGCGCTTCTTGTTGTCGTGCTTCACGGCCATCCAGCGCTCCTGCAGCCCCGCGTCGTCCGCGTGCTTCTCTAGCTGCTTCAGCTGCGTCAGGTCCGTGATCCACGCCTCGCTGCCCACCACCTCGCTGATCAGCGCGCGCAGCCCGGGGTTGCAGAAGGCCAGCCACCGCCGCTGCACGCGCAAGGAGATGAAAGTCAGGTGATGCCGACTGACAATCTCTTCAAACACGAGGATGTTCGGCAGAATACCGAAGGAACGCTTGCGATCAGGCAGCGGCAGGGCCAGAAGCGGGATCGAGCATGGGTGAGCCTTGCATCCGGGGCGGGCGAGCTCTGACCAGCTCGGCCCAATCTAGACACGGGATTGCTTAAGGCGCTGCGACAAGCATGTGCAGGCAGAAAAAATTGGCATTGGGAATTGGGCAGTAGTCGTGCCCACCTGTGTAACTCCATTGGTCTTGTTCTGGAACTTCTCGGGCCAAATACCGTGGAAGTCCTGCAATCCAGAGGGGGTGAAAAGGCGTTGAGGCGTTGTCTCATTTCAGGGCCGAGGCAAAAATTTCATTGCTTTCCACTTTTGTAAAAATCGTTGTGGTCTCAATCTGTGCAGCCACTTTCGACGCCAACCGCAGCAAGGGCCCTTCGCCTGACCACAACACTAGACAAAGGCCTTTGGCACTGGAGCAGCCACAGTGAAGAAGACGGATGCGAGGCCGTGCTGCCGACCTTGAAGATGGTGGTTTTGATCAGGTCTGAGTGGATGGCCGCCACGCCGTTGACGGTGTGCGACGCCACCAGGGCCAGGTACGCCATCCGGACTTGCTGCACGCAGCGCACCAAAGAAGCATAGATGAGCGAGCAGGCCCCTACTTTGCAGCCAGATCGACTCTCGAAGGGAGAAGGAGAAGTACACGGGGGGAATGAAGTTCACCAGAACAGCAGGGGGCGATCAGCCCGACGAAATAGCAAGGAGAAGAGGGGCAATAGCGGCAGCCCTGCTTTTCGAGGAATTCGAAATGAGCGGGTGTGGTCAATGGGCCGGTGTTTGGCTGACCTTGGGGTCGCCCTCCTCGATGATGGACATGCGCGAAATGCGCGACCAGTCGTCGCCCACGCGCTTCTTCAGGTCCTCCAGGTACAAAAAGTTGATCTGGTAGATGATCTGCACCGCACCCAAGCCTCGGCGAGTCAGCACCACTCGCACCCCCGCTGACAGCCGCCATGACGTCAGCATACAAGCAAGCACGAGGCGCGCTAGATGCCAAACGGGTGCCTTCTGCCGCATACTCTATAGAGCAGCTGCATAACAGATCAACTCATGACCGTTTCTGTCCGTCCCGCGCTTGCCTCGAGCATGTCAGTTGTGTACCACAATTCACAGAACACGACATTCGCCTGCGGCGCTTGCCGCTTTCGGCTGTTGGCAGGGGCGGTCGCGCGGGCGCACCTGCATGTGGCGCGGCAGGAGGCGCTCCATGAGGGAGACGGGCCACTTTTCGAGCGCCTCGGGCAGCACGGTGTGGTTGGTGAAGGCGAAGACGCTCGTCACGATGGCCCAGCTCTTGGTCCAGCCCAGGCCCTCGTCGTCCATCAGAATGCGCATCAGCTCCGCCACGCCGATCGTCGGGTGCGTGTCGTTCAGCTGCAGCGTCACCTGCGCGGGCGGGGGGGTACACGAAGCGATGAGGATCCTGCGAACATCGTCTTAATGGACTCCAATAGCATGCCAGGTGCCCTGGCGTCAAACAAAAAGGAGAACGTAGACAGGGGCGAGGCGAGGGGGTCCGATGCGAGCTTGGGCGTAGCTGCTGTATCGTTCGTTGATAAGCGGCGCTCGGAACGAGGTGCGTATTAAGTAGGTAGTCAAAACATAGTCGCCGCCACCGAACCTCAATGGAGACAGATGAAGAAGTTTCCTTCCGCAAACATCTGTGCGAGGAACATAAGGGCCTGCCTGATGGTACCCGCGATGCTGATCGCGCGTGCCGTATATTCAGAACGACGCACCTTCTCTGGCAGCTTCTCGAGGTCAGTCTCGTGCTCCTTGAAGCGGCGCACGATGTCCTGCAGCGTGGCCGACACCATGAAGTGCTGCTGCTTCAGCCGCAGCTCCTTGCCCTGCACGCCACGCCCACGAAGCCCACGTCAGCGGGCAATACAACAGTCGCCGGGTGAGAACGACAGAACACGGACACACCAAGAACGACTTTGGGAACGGGAGACTCTCACGTCGAGACGAGCTCATTCGACGGCGTTATTTAATCAGAAAGAGACCGAAAATAGTTTGTCGCCAAGAAGCACAAGTCGGACTCAAAAGCTCCTTCTTCCGATGTATTTGTGCGTCGACGAAGTCGAATTGAATCTCCCTCCTCCCAAAGGGTCCTTTTTGAGTCCCAAGCACAAACCCAAGAATCACCAGCATGGACCACAGTAGAGCGCCTAGTCCGAGCAGAGGATCTCCGAGCCCCGCAGCAACCTCAAGGCCGTAGTAAAAAAGACAGAGCCCGGGGGTAGTAGTTGCGGAGCGTCACCTGGTAGGTCCTGTCGTCGGGGTAGAGCACGCTGGAGATGGTCTCCGCCCGCTGCTTGGCCAGAATGGCCGCCACGTAGTCGCCCGTGTTGAACGACTGCAGGTCAAACTCGGCGCTGGGCTTGCCCGCCCACAGCCGCAGGTTGATCGTGTTGCCCGTGCCGTACCCGGGGATTGGGTTGTCGTACGCCACAGCCTCCACCTACGCAGCGAGCGCGGCCGTCAAGTTACGGGACGAGCGAAGGCACGAAATCGTACAGCTCGAACGGGGTGTGGGCGCAGCTTGACGACACTCATTGATCAGGCACGGTGATGCTTGAGTAGCTGCATACGACCGGGCGCATTCTGGAGACCTGGCCCGTGAAGTTGCCAGCTAAATTTTCACCAGCGCTCAAGATTCGACATCCGTTGTGTGATGACATTTTGAGAAAACTTGTCCTTTTGCCACCTCTTCACTCCAACCCAGAGGCGTCATGCTTTCCCATCGCGATCCTACGGAGGTCTTGCAGCTGTAGGCTCAGACGCCTAGTGACGGAACAACACATTACAAAAATGTGTGGACTCATGCAAGGACGGGTCGGCGCTCACCCTTTCGCCTGGCACCCATGTGAAGCGGCCACGGCCCTGGCTGTCAGTGTACTGCTCCACGTGGCCATAAAACTGCACCAACGACCAGGCAAATCATGTCCCGCACGTATTCCGCCATTGACAATCAGTGCCTTCGCTCTGCTTCCGCAGGGTCAAAGAGACGCCGAAGACGGCCCACGACAAATATAAACGAAGCAAGCATACCCTTAAAAGAAGAGCCCAGTGCTGGCTGTCCAAGCGGGTCTCCTCCGCTCCCCTCCCACAGCTGACTTCTTCAGCCCTTTCGAATTCTCTCAGAAGCAGTGTAATGTTGGTTTTTTGAAGCCAAGTGTCTCTTGAGACCAGCCATACTGGCAGGCGTTCCTGATGCAGGCAATGTAAGTCTGGAACAGTTATCGGACTCTCACTGCTTGCGAACTTACCTTGATGTCATACTTGGTGGATACGCGCTCGATCTCCCATGGGTTGCTGAAGTTGAGCCAGTAGTCAGGCTGCTCGTGCTGGAAGCCGTTCTCTAGAGTTTGTCTGAACATGCACAGAATCGAAGTCCACGGATATACTTGATCGATTTGAACGGCATGCTAGGTCACTTATGCAGATTGCTCAACAGAAAGCAACCTGTTTGGTGACTCGTGCTTTTGGTCTTGAGTTAAATGACGCCGAATCGTAGACAGCACTTGCGCCAAGGTGGTGATCGAACTGATGGCGAATCGAAGTCGCAAGCACTTGATGTAACAAGCCACTTTGCAACTTGTGCACGGAGAATTTCGAAAATGAACTGCAAAATTACTCAACTAAACCTTCGACGAATAAAAACTCACCTAAACATTCCGTATTGGTACCGCATGCCATACCTGCACCACACCGCAGGATCCGGTCAGACGCTCCACTTTGCCACCTTCTCAACCAAGCACAAGCAGCGACTCCATGCGATTCGCAGAATCCTGAGAAAAGCAAGATCTGTAATGTGGGCGCACGCGACTCCTTTCTCCATCTTGTGTTGTGCCATGACCTTTGCGAGTGTGCATCCACACTGCGACAGTGCCAACACAATGACCCTGTCAAGAGCGCTCCACAGTCCAGGCGCGAGTTCCTCACCCCCAGGCGGGGTAGTTCAGGGTGGCCATGGAGTCGAGGAAGCAGGCCGCCAGCCGACCAAGGCCCCCGTTGCCCAACGCTGCATCGCGCTCCTGAAGACAGTGCGGCAGGAAGGGGTGACTTGAGTACTTCATCGCCTTCACCTGTCTTGCCCTGTTCATAACCCCTCATTGGGCATCCTGTGACCGGTACAGCTCGTTGCGTCAAACCTGCCATCGGATTTAAAATGCTCCGAGCACGATTCCTGAGCTCGGACCGTCCGATCTGTGACGAGGGATCCATCGAACGGCTGAAGATCAGGAACCATGCTCAGAGAGACTCGATGGCAGGTTTGAGGCAAACAGCTGTAGCACCTCGACGGTCAGATAGCCCGTGTGCCAGTACTCCGAGTCGCTAAACGCTATACCATGCGATCTGGAATCTCGGTGACACAAGGACAAAATTCTGCAAAAGGGCGGCCACGGGACCGCAGGGTTTAGACAACGTTTCAAGAGCAGGTCGGGCCATGCTTTCAAGATATGGAGAAGGCAACGACCTCATAAACACTCATGTTGCCGGCCCCCTGCACAAATGAGTGGTGTACGGCCACCCACCTCTTCCTTGAGGGTCTCCAGGTCGTACCCAAGCTGCCTGAGCGCCTCCCCGTACAGGTTCTTAACATCCAGGTTGTACAGGCTGTTGAGCAGGGACCGCCCTGAACCACACGACCATACTCACGTCAATGCCCACTTATGTTACTTCGGATCACACCACGGAACAAAAATCGCTACGATGGCGGTGAAGCAGCCCACTGTGCATTCAATGTAGCCCCGTTGAGCCAGGGCGCTTTGACTGCTACTAAATATCGGAGTTCCAAGCTGATGGAGACCAACTGCAGGACAGCCCTACTGGGTAGGGTGCTTGAGAAGCAACATTGACTGGCCCTCCCAGTTTTCAAAGTGCCCTCTTTGTCCGGCGTTCGAGAAACACACGGCTGGGCTGGGCTAACGCAAGTATCCCTGAACTGAACATACCCTGTACCCAATTGAAGATGATCGCAGCGAATTGGCTATAACAGAATTCGCTGAGTTCTCTGTTGGGCGGCGTCTCACCCATAAGGAACTCCATGCTGAGGTAGTAGACACGCTTGGGGTTGACCTTCTGGAAGTGCTGCTCCGTATCGTTCCAGCTCTCGATCAGCCGGTCGCGAACGCTGTGGGCCACCGCCTGCACGGAACAGAAGAAACAGCCGCTGGCAAACCAAGACACAGAGAGCACAAGACGATTTCTTTACCTGATTTTCAGTGGGACGATGAGAGTTCGTTGATGTCCTGGAGTGCTTGCAATTGGCTGTGGACTACATGTGGGGAAATCAATGCCAGCTGTCGCGCTCTGCCCAGCTGGCGATCGGCCGTGTACTGTGGCGCCAGATTCATTTGGGCAGCCGAGCCCCGATTGATCGGTGCGCTCACGTGGTAGGCCTCGAACGACTCGAACTTGTAGCGCGAGCGCCCGATTGTGTACTCCACATGGTTGATGATGCTCTCCTGCACTGCCACCACGTCGTTCCGCAGGTACAGGTCCTTGAGGCGGTGGATCAGCTCCATGCGTGCCGCCTCGTCCTTGTCCTCCCCGCCCAGCTCCACCCCCACCGGCCGTATCGCCTTGTCCTGGAACACCGCCGTCGGCAGGCCCAGCAGGCGCTGCTTGGCCACCGCAATCTCGGCGTTGCTCAGCTTCTTGCCCGAGGCAGTCACCACGTAGAAGGTGTCTGCCACCAGCTTGTTGCCCACAGTGTTCACCTCGGCCTTCTGCACTTGGAGGTTCAGGTCCCTGCACACAACGGTGGGGACGGGCATGAGTGGCAGCAATCAATGCAAACGTCAGCATTGCTGGGCTTGTTAATGGTTGATGCAGCAGCTTAATGGTACAAATCTGGCAGTCACTTGCTCACAGCCGTGTCGATGATTTCGGTGCAGAAGCAGGTGCATCAGTCGCAATGTCTGCTTATTACATCCAGTGCTTGCAACCTGATTTGATCACCAGATGGATGCAAGTGCTAATTGGAACTCTGAGTTGAATGAGACCAGGACTAAACGCACACAATTCGATACAGAAACATAGTGCATTGCAGTCACCTCGACCATATACAAATGCGTTCGAGTAACATCTATATCTGGTTGCAGCATTGCATCTACGATGTTGATCACCTTTGAGTTTCCAATTGAAGCATTCGATGGATCCTGGACTTGAATCAATGCCGGAGTGTCTGCATTTGTCCAATTGCTGGAAAAACCTGCCAACATTGAAAAGAATCCTCTGAGATTCTTCAGGATTTTATTGAAAAACTCCATGCCTCACTGACCGCAAAGTGCTTGTGATCTTGGTGAGCAGTCCCGGCTGGTTCTCTGCCTCAATCTTGATTGCCGTCCAGTTCTCCTTGTCCCGATTGCTGATACTCACTTTGAGGCTGCTTTCTGACTCAACATTGGCGGGAGCGGCAATTGCCTGAGCGCGACCACCTCGCTGCGCCTGACATTGCACTGAAGCAAGTCTGGCTGGAGGGTGTCTGCTCTGAGTCCTCAACGTATCTGCATTTGCGACTTGAGCGCTCGCGATGGAAGCTGCAGATGATGGCAGCTTGTGAGAGAATGCTGCCGGTGAAGCAATTCTCATTCCCTGCATTTGCTTCCCCTCTTCTGCGCAGGTGGCTCTTAATGAACATCCGGCTGGCGCCGTTGCCCGCGCAAAGTGCACGGAGGAGGCCATAGTGGTCGGGTGATGAGGACCCCTCTAGCCACCCAATGCAAGGCACCCTGGGGAGAGTGGCACCTCTGCTCAAAGGGGAAAACTAAAACTTCTGATCGGAGCGTGTAGCACAGTATAGGAGCGCCAGCAGACACCCAATGCCACAATGCGGCTCCACAGCCTCAGGGGCTGGCAATTTGAAGATCTCAACGCCAGCCGCCTGCTGAACGAAGTGGGCTCCGCACCCTCCCGATTTGGCAAATACCCAGTGCACTTTTTGATGCAGCTCTTTTCAAGGTTCACTTTTCTCGATCCCGCTGCGGCTCGGCTGGTCGGTAGACACAGCTCCAAAAAGCGTGTTGCCTTCGTGTCTAAAATCTTCTCTGTAGCGCCATAGCCAGAGGCGACTGAAGATTACCTGATTGTAGTTCGACAAGAAGGGCCCAAAATATCCCAAGATTGTCGAGAAATATCCCAGCGGCCTCCAACCGGTCACAGTGAACACTGATACGACCTTTGAGTTCCAACTTTCATTTTCCGGCACTGGTGACTGGAGAGGAAAGTGGCCGCTGGTACGTACCTGTTTTAGGCAGTATGCACCAGGGGTCCAGGGAGTACGAATTCTAGGCCGTCGATCACCATTGTGGATTTGATCGAACGCCTCGACTTGCTCACACAAACCAGTGCTACTAAGCACGTCACATGCATACGTCATGTGCTTTTGCAGATTCTGTCAGAACTCGACAGGCCGGCCGCGCCGGTGCGGACTGAGTCCGGAGCCTAAAAACTGCGGAATGCAAATGCATCCAATCAAAAACGTAATGTCTGATTCTCTAACGCCAGCGCACCCTCCGATATAGGTGTTTGGAGGGGCGCCAACGGCCAAGATCTCCTGTTATGGGCCCGAGCTCGCCGGGATGCGGCTACGGGGCACCGGTGGAGTTCGTATGGGGCCGTTGGCACCGCGAATGTCCCGGGGTTGCGGGTCAACGCGGTCTGAGGGTCGCTGGCGGTTAATGTCCGGTCAACGCGCGCATTAAATGCGATCGGCGACCGCGGGGACCAGTGACCACTGAGTCAGTGCATTAGATCAGTGATCAGTGGACTGCCGCACTGCGTTACTGCAGGGAGCAGTGTTAGTAGGGTCGGGGTTAGTAGCGTAGCGCATTATGCGCGGGACTAGTAGTGCAGTGCAGTACTACCCTGCAGTAGTGTACTGCAGTAGTGTGGTCAGTGTGGCAAGGTCACTGACTACTGCAGTACTGGCCCTGGGGTGCAGGGAATGACTTTGCGACCTGGGAGAGGAGGGCGGGGTGAATTCAAACTGTAGATTGCGGTTGTTGAAATGGCGCTGCGAGCGTTAGGGGTTCCTGGGAAAGGGGATGCAAGACTTGCTATTGTGGGCGGGGCTGGGATTTCAAGTGGGGCATTGGAAGTGAACGCCGAAAGCAGGTAAGGAAAGCTTCGGATCTTTGATAGGTGCAGTGGGCGGGTGGGTCGAAAATTTCATTTTCTCGTCCCTTGAGGGCGCCTCGCCAGGCGCCTTCTCCTGCTTCTTGAACAAAACACACCTTGAATTGAGAGTCTAACGCCAAGAGTTGTATGACGACTTCTAAGCTAGTTGACGCTTCAGCGCCAGGGTTTTAGAGGTTTAACAGCCGTCGGCCGAGCGGCCGGCAGATTGCGCACGCGCGCGCCCAGTTTTCCCCCGGTCGGTCGAGGACGGCGGCTAGCACAGCTTATGCCACACAAGAGCATTCCCGGTCCCCAAATCACTCTAGGACCTGAAATCATCTCGACCGTCGCAGGTCCTATCGTGGGGGAGGCAAGCATTCCGCTGCCTAAAAACTGCGGAATGCAAATGCATCCAATCAAAAACGTAATGTCTGATTCTCTAACGCCAGCGCACCCTCCGATATAGGTGTTTGGAGGGGCGCCAACGGCCAAGATCTCCTGTTATGGGCCCGAGCTCGCCGCCCCAAAGAAACAATTGTTGGCCAAACAACAGTTATTGAAAAATAAGGTGCCCTTACTTGCAGGAGGGAGTTCCAGGAGCGATGCCGCGCACATGTGCTGCAGGTGCGAGGCATCGAGGGCGGGCGTGGTGGGCAGTCCGCGGGGAATGTCTGGTCCGAAGCCGAGACGGAAGCGCTGTATGCGCGTTCCCTTTCCGAGTTTGGGCGCATCGCAGAACGGAAAGTGACGCCTGCAGCCAACACTTCTCGAAAGCGAGCTGCTCGCGAGTTTGCGGAGTTCCTCGGCAAGAATCCTTACGGAGTGACAATTGAGACGGCCACTCCGGCTGACGTGGGGGCTTTTATCGTCGGAGACTGGTTGCCCAGGCATAGCGGCAACTGCCGAACAGTTCTGCCGTCGACGGGGCAGACAGTGGCTTCTGCATCAGCTGTGAAGGGTGTTGTTAAGGATTTGTCAAAGACGTACACGCTGCTCGGTTTTCCCGGGCACGAGAATCCTGCAAAGGCGGAGCCGGTGAAGTCATTTCGAGACGGGTACGAGAGGTACCTGCACGACGAAGGTGTTAAAGTGCAGAGAGCGAAAGTGTTCTCGGAAGAGAAGCTGGACGCTCTCCTGCGTTTTTTGTCGGAGCGCCTGCAAGCAGAAACTGAAGCTCTGGAACTTTGCACGTTACTGATGGATCAGGCCGCCGTTTTGTACCTCTGGGAATCGTTGGCGCGGGGGAAGGAGTGCGGAACTCTAAGCGCCGACCAGGTCGAAGGAGGGGCGACTCCTGCGGCCTATCCTGGCTGGAGCAAAACAGTCAGACAGGAGCCCAGTGCGCGGATCCGCCTCGCCCAGCCAGCGACGACTTCCCGGCTCACCTTCGTGGAAGCTGCGGCCCGGTTAGTGAAAGGTTTAGAGCTAATCGGGGAGCACGCAACTGACGGTTACCTGTTCCGCGCCCAGAACCGCCAGCGAACGGGCTTTTCTCCCGGGCCGATCTCCAGCGCGTGCTTGCGGAAACGGATCCAGCGGCGTCTGCAACAAGCTGACCTGTTCGAGGGCGAAACCCTGCATAGCTTTAGGAGGTCTGCGGTTCAGCATGCCGCCGTCAATTTGAATTACAACGTAAAGCAGTTGATGGAATTAGGACGGTGGAAAAGTTACTCTGCCTTTAAAGTATACGTGGAAGAGGTTTGGCAGCGACGCTGAACAGAATTGTTTATATATCAATGTCATGATCCAAGTCCTGCACACTTGAACCTCATGCCTGCGCTATCAAATGTCTACCACCTAATGCCGAATGCTCTCAGCTTGTACATCGCTGGGTTTACAGTTCCTTGTGGAACTCTGAAGCTGGGTGTACAAATACTCGCGCTGCGCGGCAGCTCCAGCGGCCCCGTCATGCAGGCCTCCGTGCCAATGTTTTGGAGCGCCATCCACCAATTGGTGGCCGGCGCTTCAGGCACGATGATGACGCAGTCCGTTCGGTACCGCCGCACCGCTTGGATGACGTCACTTAGCAAGCGCACAGGGGGGAAGACCCATGCCACGTCCCCCGGCGCCAGCAGCTCGCTCCAGTCGGTCCGCATAGCGTCTGCTGCCTGGGCCCCCGGGGCCAGGTGCAGGCTCACGAATCGCTCCGTGACATGCCACGTTTCGGACCCGAATAGGTCGATCGCCGGCTCCACCCCGAAGTGGCTCAGGACCCTGCGCACTTCCGAATCCCCGAGTCCCCAATCTGAGCTGTCCTGGTGCTTGCTCAGATCGTCTTCTTCCTGCATCTCCGCCCGCGGCCGCCACTGCGCGATGATGTCAAAGTCTGCCTCCACGCACAGCTCGAAGAGCTGCCTCACCGCCTCGTTCACGTCCGGCGCCCTGCTGTTCATGGCGTTGACAGCCCGCACAGCACCCTGGTTGTCTCCCAGAAGGAGGACCGCCGCACCTTGGAGCGCGTCCCCCGCTCGCGCGCGCGCCTCTGTCAGCACTCGGAGGAACGCGACCATCTCGCGCGCCGTGCTGGACATGCGCTTCTCCTCGTCGGAGAGCGCCCCGGCTACTGTCAGCTTCTCCTTTCCTGGGATCTTAATTGTACCCCCGAACCCCGACTCCAATGCGTCTGAGCCTGCTTCAACCGCAATGCTGCGCGGGTACCACCGCTGCGCGGGTACCCGTTCCACTCGTCGAGGCGCTGCAAGAAGGTCCTTGCCGCTTGCCGCGCGGATTCCGGCGTCTCGAAGACGTCATCCCAGGTGAGCTTACCCTGGATGGCGGCAAAGAACGGGCGGCTGTACAACGCCGCCGGGAGGACCGCCGGGCTAACCGATATCACCTTACCGGCCACTCTTGCCAGCAACCGGGGGGTTACCTCTGCGCACTCTGCGAGCTCGCGCAGCGCAGTGCGCAGCTTCTCCATCTTGGCGGGGGAGACCGCGAACCTTTGCCGAATTGTGTCGATGACGAAGCCGAGCCACGGCCCCTCCTGCTGGGGCCACAAGTTGCACTTGGGCAGGCTGAACACGGCGCCGAGCAGGGTGAGGGTTTTCACCACGAGGACCGTCGACCAAGCACACCTCCAAAAGTCCAGGGTCCCCGTTAGTCCGTCGTCGAGGTAGCTTGAGATTGGGATGCTCCTCAGTCGCAGCTCCTTGGCTGCTTCCTGCGTCAGCAGGGTGTAGACGAAGCAGGCTTCCGACCAGCCAAAGCACATGCCGTTGTAGTGCATGTACACATGGCCAACCTTGATGCCGAAGTACTTGCGGTAGGCTGGGTGGATGAGGAGGTGGTAGTATCCAGCCTTGAAGTCCCAGGTTGTGAAGAAGCCCCGCTCTGTGAGAAAGGTCAGCACCTCTCTCAGAGTCTCGTACTTGAACGCCTGGCGTTTGGAGAAGAGGTTGACGTACCGGGCGTTCACCACCAGCCGCCCCTTCGGCAGGTTTACCACCCCCAGCGGGTTAACCACCTTCGGTTTGCCGTCACTGGGGCCGTAAACTTCGAGCGTCCTGTTGACCACCATTTTAACCACCTCCCCAACGGCGAACTCGCTATTATCGTAGAACGACCGGTGGTTGTCGAACTCCACTGGGTGGGGGACCTGACCCGTCAGCATCGCGTCCACTTCTGCCGCCCCTACTGTTCGGGCGAGCATCGATTGGACCTGCTCCCGCTTCTTCGTGTCCGCCTCGTCCGTTCCCACGAATTGCGGCCGGACGCCGCTCCTGAGCATTTTGAGGACCCGTTTCGACGATTCCCGCTTGGAATCTTTAAGCATCTCTTCCCAAGCTGGGAGGTGCCTTTCAAAACTGCCGGCGACAAACTGGTCCGGGTCGTACGCGTGCGCCCCGACGTTCTTGAGCCAGTCTTCGATCTCCGCTTTCTGTTCCTGCGTCATCTCCTCGCCCGTTTTGGGGCCTGGCGCCAAGTCCAGAGTCTCACGCATGGCTTTGCGGAGCTGCTCCTTGTCGGGGGTGGCCGCACTCCTTACTTTAAGACCCATGAAGAACTGGTGGGAGCAATTCTGCAGTACCGTTGCGCTCCCTCTCACGAGAGGGTCCGACACCAAGTCGGGTTCACTCTCGTCCTGCTCCATCTCCGGGGCGATCGATTCTGGACTCGGCGGTTGCGCGGGCGGCTTTGGCAGACTGGTGCCTTCCTTGTGCGCTGGGGTTTGCGGCTTATCGTCGGGCTCCGCTGGGCACGGCGCATTTCCGCCGGGGCTTGTCGTGAGAAGGGCCTCGCCCTGCCGTCCCGAGACTGTTTCGCACCGAATCCGCGGGCTAACCCGTTCGGGTGCACCCGTTCCGCCCGCCTTTTGCGGAGGTTCCGGCCGTGTGCCGGCCGTTTCGTTGGCCTTCTGGTCCGGCGAGGTTCCCCTGGCGAGGTTCAGAAAGGTCAGCTTAGGTTGAGCCGCAGCGGCGGTCTCAGAAACGAAGAAAAACGCTGCGGAGAATCTTTTCCGCCCAGGAATAATCTCAGTTTCACTAACCCATATTTGGGGAATTTGACCCCTAAATATACGGGGCCTGCGCGGGGCCGCTTCACACCTGTCGCAGGTTGGGGCATCTTATCGAGGTGAAAAAATCGTTCTGGCGCCCCGGGTTAGTAATCTGCGTCGCTTAACGAGAAGTTAACCAGTGGGTTAAGCGAGTTTGGCGAGCGTATTTACACCGCGTTTCGCGGTTCCGCTCCGCGGTAGAACGTCTGCTCCGCGCGCGCGTCGATCAAAAGGAGAGTTCATAGCTGCATCCTTACTAGTTGGGTGCAACATAAAGATCAGTATCCACGTTCATGTCATACAAAGTCCATCCGAATGCAGACGCAAGCCGGGCCTCGCTCCGCCTTGCAGGAAGGTGAGCTTCTTACTGAGTGCATTCATTTGCACGTGCCGGCGCCATAAGGATGAAAGAGGGGCCGATTGAAGAGCCCTTCATTGGGCCTGTGAGACTGACGGACTGCCATGAGACATAACGTCAATGGCGTTCGACAAGAAAACAGGGGAGAACCATACTAATCAGAATATCAGCCTTTCCACTCGACTTGTTCCGGTCCGTCTACAGTCTTCCTGCCTTTCGTCTCACGTTCGATCCTAGGATGTTCTGACTATTTTCTTCTTGTGTCTCTACGTCTTCTTGTAGGTCTTCTTACCTACGGCCTGATCTATTTGCCGGAGCGCGATTGTCGCGATCTCCTCTATCATCGCGCTCGCGATCCTCAGGGCCTCGCTTGCCCCCCCAACCGGAGCCTTTGCCGGCGCCGCCGGGTCCGTTCCTGTTAATCGGAGAAGAACGGATCAGCGAATCAGGCCGCTTCGGGGCCGCTTATCTGGTGTCAAAGTGAGGCATTTTTTGCCTGGCCACTGTCAGCCCTCTCCGGTCCACGTTCGTGCGGAGATTGGCCTTAAGGCCACCCATTGCGGGCTTTGGTCCGTTCGGACGTCACGCCCTTTTATGGGCCGCTTAATTTTCAACTCAGACAATCTATTGCCCTGCTAAACGTCTAACCGACAGCATCAGCACTTCCGCCATTCGCTCTGGCAGGGGCATGACGGCCAACTTACTTGCCTTATCCGTTCCTTCTCGCACTTCACAATTAGATCGAGTTTGCGCAGCATCGAAGTGGCATCCGACCAACCCGCTCGCACTCGACAGGCTTCCTCCAGGCCCTTTCTTATGCCAGCACATTTCGAAATCTTCTCAAAGGCTGGGTCGTCGGACATTCTCACCTTCCAAAGTTGTTTCCGCCACCTCCTGCGCCGCGCACGACATTAGGGCGTGCGTGTCCTTCTCCCACTTGCTCTGCCGCTTCTTTGCGGTACTCCTCGTAAGTCTTTTTGATCTTCTTCTCCAGGTCGCGCACAGTCTCCGCCGACCACGCACTGCTGTCCCCGGCTTCTTCTAGTGCCAACTTCATGTCTGACACGAATCCGTCCGCTAGGTATTCCAGGTCGAGCGAAACGAAGTTGATCTGATTCGCGTAGAAGTAAACTGCTGCCATTAGATGGGCCACCTTTGGGTCAGGTTCCTTATAGATCTCAAACAGCTGCTCAAGCTTGGTGTGCCACGCAGGCGAATCGCGTGGGATTTTCCTGAGTGCCGCCTCCATGTGGGAGATCAGGGAGCCCTTTTGCACAAATTCTTTAAAGGCTCTCTCTAAGCGGGCTGCTCCCCCTGCCAAGTCAGCTTCTCGCATGAACCCAGGGGTTAGCGCGTTGATCACTGCAGCTCCCGGCGTAACAGCAGGAGGGTCAGGGATTCTGACCCTTCTTGCTGGCTGCTGTTCTGGAATCTGCTGCCCCTGAGGCGGCTGCTGAGCCTGGTCTGCATGCCCCATCTGACCCAAGGGCGCCCCGGGCGGAGCCCCCGGGATGGCCACCTCAAAAATATCATGCCTCAGCCCAAATTCACTGAGCCTGGTAAGCAGCGTGTCCTGGGGGTACCTGGTACCTATGCCAATACTGAGCTCCGACTTGTCAACCAGTCTGTGCAAAAGCTCACCCCTTGCGTCTTCTAGCCAGAACTTCCCCGAGGCGTGATCCACATCTATTACCCTAGCCCAGAGCTTTCTCCCCGAGCCGGGCAATTCATGCAGCAAGTACTCTCCGATCAACCCTTGCGGTCCTGCTAAGTGTATGAGGGCAGCCAGCTGAGGCTCCATGCCCTGCGCCATCTCTATGCGTCTCTGGGCCGTTTCTCACTGCCTTTGTACGGGGGAGACCCCTTCAGTGTGAACACCCCCAAACGTACAATCGTCCCTTGAGGGCGCCTCGCCAGGCGCCTTCTCCTGCTTCTTGAACAAAACACACCTTGAATTGAGAGTCTAACGCCAAGAGTTGTATGACGACTTCTAAGCTAGTTGACGCTTCAGCGCCAGGGTTTTAGAGGTTTAACAGCCGTCGGCCGAGCGGCCGGCAGATTGCGCACGCGCGCGCCCAGTTTTCCCCCGGTCGGTCGAGGACGGCGGCTAGCACAGCTTATGCCACACAAGAGCATTCCCGGTCCCCAAATCACTCTAGGACCTGAAACTATCGTGGGGAAGGCAAGCATTCCGCTGCCCGGGCGTTCCGGCGCGCGCGGCTAGCGCGGCTAGGCTAGGCTGACGGTCGCGACTTGGCCGAGTCCGGGCATGCATGCAGGAGGATGCATGCAGCATTCAACTTCAAGTTCGAGCATTCGGAAAGACGCTTTCTAGCTTTCCTGATAGTAACATTGTAACAAAGTTGTGAGCAGCTGATCGGCAACGCCATTGCCCAGTCCTTATGACGGTGGCCTCTTCGAAAGCATCCGTCCAGGCTGACTTTGCATCTACCAAGCGCAGGTCGGCTCGCTTACAATGCCGCCGCTCAGAGACAGGCCACGCGGCCACAAGACACCCGGTTCCAGGCACTCAAGTCAAAATGCACGTCGTGAAGAAACGTATTTCCAGCAAAGTTGTGATCAAAAGTGCAAAGAGGAGCATTTCGGTCCAGGTTGAGTTAAAGCGCACCAGGGTTTCTGCTGGTTCCAAGAAGAGGCGAAACGATGACTCTTCGAACAAGGTGAATGCAAGTAAAGATGCACTTGCCCAGCCTGCAACTGTGGTTAGCCCAGCCCTTCTGCCTCAGTCCTGGTACCGCAGGGATTCCCTGGAGGTGGCGCCGGCCTTGCTGGGCAAGATCCTGCGCAAGGACGGCATCGAGCTGCGCATCACCGAGGTGGGCACCTCTGCAGCCTTTCTGCAGCCTGTCAAGAGGCAAGGGCCCCACCCGCCTACCACCTGTCATCGCTATCTCTTTGCGCTTGCTAAACGCCAGCTAAATCACTGATTGCACAAGTTAATGATGCAGTGATAGAGGTCAAACCAGCTGGGTCATGCTGGTGTGCAGGTGGAAGCATACCGAGAAGGGGATTCAGCCTGCCATGCCAGAGTGGGCATCACTCCCCGCACGGCTCCGCTGGTGAGACGTCAGCTTGTTCAGCCATGAATTGGTCCGTCCTCCTTCCAGCTGTGGAGAAGGCTCACTTTGTCACACAGGCAGTGCTTGTGATGGGACATGACAACGTGTGTGAAAAGGAAGCTTTGCCTGTAGTGCTCAAGTGGGCGCCACCATACGCTTTCAGCTTGTAGTGGTTGACAGATCGAAATTGGGTCTTGAGCGCATGTCGATTACGCTGAGCGCATCTGAGCAATATTTGAAGAAGGAGGAAACACTATTCTTGACATGTACAAGTCTTCGGCTGGCTGGTATTGTCATCGAATTGATACTAGGATCTTGATTGTCTTTTAGCGTGCACAGAGTATCATTGAGAGTGTTTGGGCATATCTATTCTGGAACCTACAAAGACAAGTTTCCCGTCAGCCCACTGTTTTTTGGACCGCATTCCCCGCCTGTTGTGCAGTTTGGTCCTGCTGGGCGGTGCTACGTGTACCTGTGCTATGGGATCCACTCCATGCTGAACGTTGTGACCAACGAGGAGCAGCAGGGAGCGGCCGTGCTCATCCGATCAGCGGAACCAGTCAAAGGTACGGCCCCATGACTTATCGGCAATGACCCCTTGAATCTCCGCGAGCTGGGGACACTGCAAGTGAAGGCACCAGTCACCCGAAGGCGATGGTCCATCAGTTGAGAATTGTAAGATGCGAAGGCCTTCGTACATATATGTTTGTGTAAGATCAAACATCTTGGTATGATTCAAAAGGACGGGCTCTAATCCATAAGTATTCAAAGACTCAACCGCTTTGGTTTTCTTAACAGCTGACATCTTTTCAGTCTCGCATTTCTAGTATAAATCATATATGATCGATCCTCTTTCGCAGGCTTATCGCAAATCCAGGCAAACCGCAAGATGGTCTCCGACAAGCCCATTTTGCTGACGGGGCCCGGCAAGGTGCGTCTATCTAGGCCCTCGTGCTTGCACTCGCTTGTTTTTGCCTCGGTTCCCAAAGCCGTGATGAAGCCGACGAAGTGGGTGCTTTTAATGAAGCCGACAGCACACAGGAGCAGGCAGTCTCGTCCCATTGTGGGCTGCTACGTCATTCAATTTTGGAGATTGAATATGCTGCGGTTTAAGTCGCAGCCCATTCATGCAGGTGGCTGCCGCGCTTGGACTGACTGTCAACTGGACCGGGCATCCCGTCTACGAGCCAGGTAAACATCAACTATGAATGGAAAACGAGCTTCAAAAGATGACATTGTCAGAAAATCTCACTGTTGGAAATACAGATTTTGCTGCTACTTTTTCAAGACACGCCCAGATTTGCATATCCGACAACCGATGCTTCTCTTCTTTGTTTAGATGTTCCTGAAAACCATTCTGGGTTGAATTGGAGTCAAGATTCATGAGTATTGCAGTTTCAGTCACTACAAAATGTTCTTCACAACTTACAGTATGCTCCCAAAGGGTGTCTGGAATGTGCACACGTCACCACTGAGAAATTAAAGCAGTTTCTTGTTCGTGTTCTGGTCAAGGCTTGCCGAGAAAAGACGAAAGACTGAGTCTCAAAGTGGAGACACAACCAAGACGAGAACGCTTGTCGACCACGACTACGGCTCAGTTGCTCGCCCGTGCCCGAGACGACTGCTGAAAACCTGGTTGTGTGCGGATAATTGGCCTTGGACCAAACGTTTGCGGATGTCAGGCTGGGCTTGAGCATTTCCGGATACGGACAAGCTCCCTCGTGTAACGTCCAGAATGTCTGTCTGCAGGGGGGCTGGAGATCGTGGATGGTCCACCGCCCACATCCATCCTGCATGGACCACGGGTGGGTATAGATTACGCAGCCCCCAACGACATTGCTGCCCTCTGGCGATTTGCAGCCGGTGATACGCCGTGGGTCAGTCAACGGAAGACATTGACGACGAGTCAACTGGCATGACCCTCCGACCCTGCATAAAAGATAAGATCATGGGGCATTTTCTTGACTGTACTGCACGCAAGAAGTTTTGTATTATAATGTAATTGACCAAGTATTAGCTTCTGTAAGAATCGTTGGCAATCGATCCTACTCAGTTCGTACCGTCCGGTGCATGCCATCCTATGCCGTGATCGTTCTGATCTTTGCAGTTTATGATCCTATCATCTGACCCTATGTTTGGGCAATATGGCTTCTTGGCCGGCAAAATCGAGCAGTTACTCTAGCAGCAGTCATGCATGTGCGGCCTCATATACAACGGTAGTACAATCCTAACATGTTTTGCATTGCAGTCGTGGTGGATTCGCATGCAAGGATCATGTTACATCCGGATCCACCTCCGGGGGCCCATGGATCCACAATTGGTAAATCCATTTTCCCGATTCAATGGATCGAGCGAACGTGCATCTAGCTGCGCGCTTTGTGGGCGTTGCATGTACGGTTCCATGGGTTACCGCGAGCTAGCTGCTAGACCGACTTGACAGCTCTGATTGAATTGAGGGTCCATGCCTATAGTGACCACGTCCTTTGTTCAGCCCGAAATGGCGACTGAAGCGCCCGATTAGGTATACTCAATGACAAGATAGGATCCCACGATTCCCCTTTCTTTGACAATCCGATTTCGAGCGATTGAGACAAAATCTTGGCTGCTGCTATAAGGCTATGACTCGGAGTGTCGAATTTGCATGAATCGTTTGCCGAAACTTAGATAAGACCCACCGTACATCAATCCGCGCTCCGTTTCTTCGAGCTGGTCGAGGGCACTAAAGAGCTTTTTGGAAGACACACCTCGCGAACTAATCAATACAGCATGCCCAATGAAAACGTGCACGATCGTTGAAGCACAAAGTTGCTCGAGAATCTTATAGCTGGCCGCCAATATGCATATAAATGCACATTGAGGACTAAAATCCGAGTCCGCAATACCTATGTTTATACGGTGACCATTTCCGAATGCAAGTCAAAGGCTTGTAACTGAGAGCGGATCGACCGAATAATGGAACGGAGGCCTTCATCATGGTTTTATGGAGGGAACCGATTGCAAATTATCAAATTACCCACTATCTTGTAGCTTGACTCGACCTAGCCGGCGGTGTACAAGTAACAAAAGTGCCACCCGATCCTTGAAAAGGTGAAATTGCGTCGAAAGAAGACACGCCAAAAAGTACAGACGTTGGTAATACCCCGAAATACTTGTCCAACGTCGACGTTCCAAACTTCAAAATCATTGAATAAAGCTCGGCAGTGTGTTCAATGCGCAGCGGTGCGCTGTTCGTTCGTTACTACGAGCGTTGCCTCGACCAATCTGACGTCGCCACAGGGACGGTACAATGAGTGCCAAGTGTATGCCAATTGTTTCTAAGTTGACGCCGGCCTCCGGCGGCTCGAAAGCCTGCTGACATGGCGAGCCTGTTGCAGCCAACTGCCAAAAAGTGCAGCGCCCAGCTAACCTCAGCTTGACACGTCAGCGCTTAGTCTGAGCTTCATTGCGAGCCCGCTGGCGCGGTGGCGGCGCAGGAAAATGGTCGCCTGCATGCAACACCTGGACTCGGAGCTAGACGGCAGTGGTTCGTATCCACATTGTTGAACGTTCCGCCCATTCAGCGACCTAGATAGATTCCTACAGCCCAGGGAGCAGGCTTCCAGCCTTACATATGAACGGAGGTCTTTCGAGGCCGCTTTCTAGTTTACTAGGTACTACAGCCTGCAGGAGCGCCTGATTGATCGCTGTGTATTCTGAAGGGTCAATTCCGGGCTTTGCTTAATCTCGCACTGGCTGCTCTGAAGGCGGCTCTGATCAGCGTGTATCAATAAGCAGGCGAGCTTTTTGTGAAATTAACCATGGCGGCGGGTGCTGTGATGTTAAAAGCGGGGGTGGTGGCAGGGCCGGCATTGCACTATGAGCGGGGCTCGAGCGCGTCGCAGATCAGCCCACGGTTTGAGATGCAAGGTACACTGCAAGACTTGCATGGGATGCGAGACCTTTTTAAAGTTTGTCCTGTCATATGCCAGCCCTGACTATCTTTTCTAGCCAATTGGACAAAAAGCTAGTTGTCTATGTAAAAGATGGCACCTGCTTCGTTCATTATTGGTTTTCCCGATTACAGCTTTTGTCTGCTCTTCTCGCCTCCCTTGGTCAGCTATCAACAACTGCACTCTGCTCATTGCATGAAGCCAATGAATCGCCTGGTCCCCTTACCTGCTTAACCTTATGCATGGTGGTAGTAAATCAAGATTGTGGTCACGTTGACTTTGCGTGCGTCTGGCTCTATTTAGAGTAGGACAAAAACGGAGAACATTATTGGGAACCGTTGAGGTCACGTGTCAAAAAGGGCGGAATGCTGTATACTTCTGAAGCCCATTCTCTGAATACAAGTGTTTTTCAGAGGCTTTTTAACTGCAACACTTCAGCCTGAAGCTCCATTCTCTATCCTAATCTGCGCAGGTTTCCATCTTGCTCCAGCCACTTTCACCCGCACGTCTGTGAAACACAGAGTGGCTCCTCACAGGCCTGCCATTCGCGCCCAGGTGAGCCGTTGATTGGTCTGCGAAAGGCTAATCACAGGATGCTTATCCTTGCATGGCTGCCTATAATGTTATTTGCATGTAAGAGTTGTGAAGCTGCTGCGGAGCGCAATCAAGGGGTCATCTCTGTAGCTCTCTCTAAGCCACTTCTGATTGCAGGCAAACTCCCGTGATGCGTCTAGCCCAGGATCCAGCCCTCCCGGAGAGATCAAACAGACGGTACAAAGAGAAGTGGGCGTGTCTGCCGGCAAGGTAATAGGATGCCACAAACCGAGTTACCTTCCTGTGTAAGAAAGAAGGGCCATCATAGTACTTCAGGGTGGGACCTTCTAGGGTGGTAGCTGCTAGGAGAACTTGGAAAACAAACGTGTTGACTCTCTATTCTATCATTGGGGCGGTTAGTGGTTGGTCACTCGCATTGAAAAACGTGCATCTTTTTTTCAGCTTAGTTTTTTGAACCAATTTGTCTGTGCTGGGCAGTTCGCCAGTCTTGAAATTACTTGACCTATGCCAAGCCTTTGCCCCTCTCTTTGCTGCAGGGCTCCCCCGGTTCGTCGGGCCCCCCCAATGACAGCCCCGTGTCTTCCAGCAGCAAGCATGCTAAAGTCGCCAAACAGCTCCATGACGAGGATCCGAACTCGTTTGAGGCCCGTGTGCTGAATTCTTCCACTGGGAAGGACTCTGTTTCTGACTCGGGCAAGCACTGGCAGCAAGCGTCAGCGGCGGGTGTTCCCAGTGCGGTCGACAAGCTGGCTGGGCAATTTGAGCAAAGGCAGGCAAAGAAGGTGCAGGAGGTGTCAAAGGCGGTGCAGGGCACCATGTCGTATGCTGCAGTTGCACAGAACCTGAGGCATGAGGGACCTAAGGTGGGATGGCTCGTCTGGGCTCTTGGATTGAAGATTTGTCTGGGTTTGAAAGTGAAACGAGTGTCGAAAGGAATCAGGCTCAGAGGATCCTATGAACTTCAACAAACTTCGTCACGTTTCTTCTTCAGGAGTTAAAAAAGTATGTTCGGAGTCTGATTTTGCTCTTAAGCAAGCGTTGACTGTTCATCGTTTCTTACACAATTGGGTCCGTAGCCTCTCAGCTCCTTCGGCTTCCCTGGTCACTTACAGGCTTCTTCTGACTGAGAGTCGGGGTATTGGGGGTTTAGTGGTGCTCAAACTAGTGCGCCAGCTTAGTTCGTCGTTTTTCTGTTGATCAGGAAACCCGTTTCGCTCCTTCTGCTTGCACTTTAAATTGGACTGCATTGGTTGAAAAATTACCTTCGCCTGGTCGCCCAGATCTTAGCTTCTTCTCATTTGACATGAGAAACATTTTATAGCAGTACGAACTTGAAAGCGACAGTATCCTTTGCGTATACAAATTTTCCCAATCGGTCAATTGAGCAGTGGCAATGGGCTTCGTGACAATTTTTGTGCTTCTCACGGCCTACGTCTTGTCTTTACAGCCGGGCCCCATCCGGAGCGAGGTGCTCGACCGTGCAGCCCCCAAGCAGCAGGTACGATCGTTGGTTCTGGCGCATCTGGAGCCACCTGATGAATGAGCAAAATCGTTTTCGTGGACACAGTTGAATGAACACTCGAAGAAATATCTCCCCTTGCCTCGTCCAAGTCTCTGTTTGTGGGTTCTACTGATGACTACATTTGGACGATTGTCTCTAAGATGCTGACACGCTCTTGCATCCGCTGTCAGGACCGTACCGAGGAGCGTCCCCAGTCTGACGAGCGGCCATTCAAAGAGGTGAGCTCCTCTGTCGCACTTCGTGATTCGCCCACCGTTATTTATAGCGCACCCACAATTGCGCGAACTCTGGAACCGTGTTTATAGATAGTTGCAGGCTGGCTCCCGCAACCCCCAGCCCCCCGCCAGCCCGTATTGAACGCGGCGATTCAAAAGTTGTCCGCCCGTGTGTCGACTCAGACTCGCCGTATTTCTCTCATTCGTAAAATTGCTCTCTTGTGAGTCGCCTCGGTTCATCGCTGACGTCGGCTGTGCCTTTTTGCAGCCGCGTCAGGAAAGCACGCTGAACCTCGACTCCCAAACTGCCAGGAAGCTCAACCTCAAGTCCCTAGCCGCTAGTAAGTCATCAGTTCTTGCTTGGCAGCTTTACTTTCTCAGCCTTCTACTGGACAAAGCTCGCACCCCTTCGCGAGTGGCGTTACTGCTGCGACTTGACTTTAACTTCCACATACGTCTGATGAACCCTTGGTTTGCCGTGTTTCTTGCTTCACACATTAACGATTCAACGATTCAACGAAGCCGAGTTTTTTGCTTTTGCTATAGAGAGCAATGGTCTAATAGAGCTGCGTTCTTGCTGTCCTTGGAACTATGCGTTTGGGCCTTTCCTGACCTCTTCTTGTTGAGTGCGCAGTTGTTGCCATCCTGTTCATCGCTTTCGGTTTCGCTCCCGTGTGGTCGCCAATCGTGGGCAGGGTGCTCACGCCCTTCTTCCAACTGGTAAGGAGTTCTTTTGCATTCCCGTCCGGCTAAAGAAGTCGTTTGCCGTTCGGAGCACGAACTGCTTTGTCTCTTCAATGTCTCTTCAATTTGTAAGGCATCAACGTGGTACGCCGTGCTGGTAACAAGTTTGCAAAGTCATGGTACTGTCCTGGGACATTTTCAAATGTGTTAGTCATCATGCTTCTGGACTTCAAGTTGCCGGCGTCGCTTATTTGTTCAGCGGCGTAATGACCGCGTTGAAGTTATGCTCGGCTTGGTGGGCCAAACGAGACTCCTGATCGCGGTGTACTGTGCTGCGGTGCAGGTCGGCGTGGCTGTGGCTGTCAAATTCTTCTTCACGGACTTCTTGCGGGCAGGTAAGCTTCGCAGCTGCGGGCAGAACCTGCTGTGACAAGGGATATTCCAACGCTTGGCAACGTCGACTCTGCCAACTTTCCCGCTTGCACTTGTCGGCGACAAATGCGAATGTGACACTCTGTGAAGGGTACTGCTTCCTTCCTTGAGGACTTTTTCTGATGTTTAGTATTGCGTTTCTGTCTGCAGATAAGCGGAAGGAATTGTACAAGAAGGGCGAGAAGTTGAAGGAAGATGTTACGGGATCCTAGGCCAATGGCAGAGGCAGTCGTGTAATAAGATTTGCCGGTTTTGAGAGAGTAACTGCTTTTGCAATACGAAACCTTTTTTCGAGGTACAACTACCTCCTTACAGCAAGTACAAGCTAACTGAGCAGAACCTTCGGAGGCGAGCAACAGAGGCATATAGTTTGTGAAAATCATTTTTGATCTCCAACTTGTATACTAGATGTGTATATAAAAAGATGCACCAGCAATTTGTCGCCATTTCATTCTGACTGCCGCTGTAGGTTGTGAAGCCATGTTTGTAATCGAACTCCTTTTGCCGCCCACCAGGCGGAAATTTATGAGGGGTGGGGCAATGGTGACATGGAGGGTACTTGCAAGCATCATATCCCCCGTCTGAAATTACCTATTTAACACAACTGAAGCTTTCGACATGTAAACCCACTGGGCTGTTGTTTGGAATATAGTTTCAGAAACCATTGGTGATGTCAAATTGTCGCATGAAGTCGTACAGAATCCATTATTGGTGAAATGTTGATGGATCAAAAATACGAGGAACATACTTATTCCAGCAGTTACGATAGTTACAAAGGGTTGGAGTGTATGTCATTGTTCTCAATGCAAGGCAGTCGCAGTGCCAAGCGCATCGCAAGCATTCACCAAGTACTTCTGATACCAATGACGTCGATCATGCAACATTACCTTGTCATTCCAGTCAAATGATTCTACCTACTCTTTGAACCCATTTTGTCATCAAACAAGTTGCTTTGTCGGGGAAATTTCAGGTTCGCCTCAAGTCGTCCTTCAACATCGTACATCTAAATGGAACCATGTCAGTGCAGCCGCGAGTATAGGTACTAGAGCTGCCAGCACGTGTATACCGGTATTGTATACGTACTAGCCGCAGCCCGCTGTTCTAACTTCCAACTGCCCCGGGTCGTAGCTTCGGTAGGAGCGGTTATCATAAAGGGATCCCCCTTGGCGTGGGCAAAATCCTGATCTGATCCGACCAGAAAGTTGCACAGCGGCCTGCATGTGCCACCATCGCAAAGCGAGCACTGAATCTACATTGGACAAGTATCTTATCTTCAAATTATTATCCATGAATGATGGCAATGCACTGCTGCGCCCGTGCTTACACAGGGGACCGTACTTCCTGTTATCTACCTAAATCGCGATTGGAATTGGGAGTCCAGACGATAAAAGTGGACGATCAGAGGTGATCTGGCGGACCTTGTACCGTGTACGTTGATATGAACCTCAGATGAAATCCGGCCTGTATCCTAAATCTAGGCCTGCCAAGCTTGTTCTCTTGTTTTCGACAAACAACACTTCTTAGCATGTAAATGCACGATATAAATATTGTTATCTACGGTATAACCTAGCGCGTACTGTATTATAGGCCGGCAACAACCACGGGTCCACAACGTAAAAGTGTAGAATTCACGGTATCAGGCAACGCTCCCGCAACTCCCTCAGCTCCCGAGCTGTCCTGACTGTGGGTCGTCAGTCGCAGTTTTCAGGGCGCTGACCCAGGTCTTATGCCGAGACGCGGCGAGCGGAAGCTTGACCTTTCGAAAGTTTGTCCTGGCTCCTGATTGGCCGCCGACAATACGCGCCAATGATGGCGTCATAGTCACTATTCGCCACGGCACACAATGACAGACTAGCAAGTGTACCCCAGTACACTACGGTACCTCGATCAATAGGCAGTGTCAAATTTGTACCCCCATCTGGTACCATAATTCCGGGATCGATCGCAGTTCCTGGTACCTACCTCAATTGCACCACTAGGTCCGTAATGGCACCTGCGGTGTACATAGGTACCGGCGTACAGGCACAGGGTCGCACAGCCCCGATCAAACGAAACTTGACCCCGGCCCTGGCCCCGGGCCATCACAGTGGCAACGGGCTCTCAATTCATGGCCACAGGCTGTAATTTGGTGTGAACATCGCAAAATGCACTTTTGGCACGGATTTCTGACACGATGACAGACAGCCGGACTAGCAGCACATCCGGAAAACCGCTGTACTGCACAGAAAGGTTGCCGGGCCAAACAAACTTTTCAACGGTGAAGCTTCCGCGGAAAGGCTGGATCGACGGTAGGGATGAGAAGGCCAATTTTCAACCTACAGCCAATTTTGTTTTTTGCCCCTTTGTCCATGATTGAGGTAGTTTGTACGTCGTACGGTCCGCTCCTTTCCGGCCGGAGCGACCGTACACTTATGAACGATTACCGTACGTAAGCATAATGCATGCATGGCCGACAAGCTGCACAGTTAGCAAGTCCGGGACTCCGGGGCCCCCGGTTTCGGATAGCGAGTACCTACTGAAAGCCGCGAGTCGTGACTCCAGTGGCCGTGCAAAGTGCGCCTAGGTTGAACGCAGCCGACAGACCATCCATCCAACTACAGTCGGTAGATACGTATACCTAATACCGTAGACTGAAACGAGGGCACTACTCAGGAACCGGGTAGAAGCACGAGTAACGATCAGCCTGAGTTCAATGGATCGTTTGGAACGTACTATACCTAGGTAGGTTTACCGTTCAATGTTGTCATCATGTTATCATCTTGCAATGTTGTATTATTATGTTGAAATATTGGATTTAGCTTCGTCGAAGCCAGCTACCACACCGGTACCGGTACCACCAAGCGTAGGTACCTACTTGCTTTTATTCACCTACCTACATAGGTATAGCTGGCTGAAAAAGCTCGGAGAGCCGAGGCAAGTGTACTTCAGATGGGCCGACAGGGGGAAGACATGCAAGCAAGCTCTTGTAGGAATACCCGGCACATCAAGTGATCCTGCATTTGAGTTTCTCTTTGTGCTGCCACAACCTGCATTTGGCGCTGCGGTTTGGCGGACGCGCTCCTCCTCACCAGACGTCGCTGACAGCCCCAGTCCGCCGGCTGCGTCGCCGCGCTCGCCACCATGGTGTGCCCTCCCGATGGCATTGGCCTGGCCAAGTACTACACAGAGATGGCCTATGGCTCCTGCATGAGGCAGGCGTCCTTCTTTGAGAACAAGAACATCCTGTCCCTCGGGTTTGGCTACGCGGTTGTGCTCGGGCTGGGGCTCTTCTTTGCTGTCTTCACAGCAGCTTTGGTAAGTTGCGCTGTGCTCTCTTGCATATCGAAGCAGTCTTGCCTCTTTCTTGTCTGCGGGTTTACGACGTGCAGGCCATTGCGAACACAATATAGTCCAGCTTAATATGGGACGCAAAGAAATCCCTCCGAGGTCAGCCCCAGGGGGACTAGCTCCGCTGGCACTGGTACTTTTGTTCGACCCCTCAACGCCGAGGTGGCAGACTAGTACCATAGTTAAGCAGATTTCACTACGGAGAGTGGGTGATTGGATTTGGCAACGCCCAATCATGGCCCTAGAAGGCTGTTTCTTTGGTTCTTTGTTGGATGTCAAGTGCCTTTGCTTTTTGGAACCAGCCAGGAGCCAACCCACAGCTGATGGTCCTGATGTGTTTAATGCTCATGGAAGCAATGATGCTGATTCTCCTGTGGTTACAGGTGTGGCTGGAGGAGCGGTACATTGGCACAGTGGCCTCATCTGAATGGTAGGTCATGCGTGAGCTTTTTGCAGCTCCTGCTCTGCTTGACAGTCCAGAGGTCTTTGGCAGCAACCATTTTAGTCCACTGTTAAGCAGAAGCTGAGATCTGGCAGTTAGACAACGCCACCGTCTCTATTGTTGCAGGTTCAACACTGCAGGGCGCAGCGTCAAGACAAGTCTTACTGCAAGTGTCATTGTCTCGCAGGTATGTGCTTTGACTGCTTTGTTAGCTGAGCATTTTGTCGAGGATATCAAGTATGGCCAGCGATGCAAGCAGTATCAAAGTAGGTGTGCTGCAGAAGGGTGCTTCCAAGTTCGTTAGCAAGGGCGCAATAGAGGAATGGGGGTGTCAGCATGTAGCCAGAGGTGCTCCCGACATACTTTCTTGCCGTAGAACATCTGGCCCCCTTGCTCGCCTCTTTGCCTTCCCAGGTCACTACCCTTTGATGGTCGAGACCTTTCAATCTGGATCTAATCAAGGGATCCCTGCGATGCTGCTGATCTTGTTACTCCAGCCCGGCAAGATTGAGGCAGCTTCAAAAGAAGGCATAGCGCCCTCAAAGGTGGTTACTAACTTCTCCTTTTTCCCTTTCTTGTGGTATAGTGGACCTGGGCTGCCACAATGTAAGTGTCTCCAGTCTCCCCTTTGTCCCTTTGTATGCAGGGTTTCTTCTCTCAAATTGATGGCTCAAAGCGTTGAGGACTGCTGCACACCTCCAGACCATTCAATGCGAAGTTGGTGCTGATGAGGAATCAGACTGATATCCGTGAGGTCAAAAGGAAAGAACCTGTTGAACTTGATAGTGCATCCAGGATGTCAGCTGCCAGGCCTGCCTCCATTGCTGACACGTTTCCTTGACGTCTTCTCCGCAGTCTGCAGTCAGCAAACGTTGCGTGGAAGTTTGGTGAGCTCCCTTCCTTCTCCCAGTTGCTCTGGCTGGTCTTGAGCTACGACTGTGATCAACACCTCAAGCCAACTGCATTTAAACCAGACTGCAAACGGGTGAAGCATCTACTGTGGCCGAGCCTAAAAGTTGGATTCTCCTGATGCAGGGATCAGCGGACCTTTCTGGTATGCCTCAGGGGCCACCGTCTAGGTTCTGCTCTTTGGAGTGATGGCAATCGAGATCAAAAGGAAGGCACCATCAGCTCACACCATCTGCGAGGTTGTTAGGGCAAGGTAGGGTACTCCTCCTGTTTGGAAATCCACTGAATGATTTGTGGAAGGAAGACAAGGATGCAATTGTGGATCTGGTATGAATGGAGCCATGAAATCCAAGGTCTCGGGTGGCTTTCACCAAAAATGATAGTCGATGCAGTATGCTCTGTGGCAGGCAGTATATGAAGGGATCAATCATCGTTTCCTGAGGGCTGTTGATAAGGAGTGTAATCATTGACTATCTAACCAAGTGGAGGCATGGATTTTGCATGCTCCTTGATGAAAACTTCTTCCTGGATCCTTACCAGTGCTTTCACTTTCTGCAGATGGGGTGAGCCTTCCTGCAGCTCCCTGGACATGTCTGGGAGAGTCGGAGGTTTCCAAGCAGTGCCTCTTCTTGTGGACCTGAACGAAGTTGCATCGAGAAAACAAGCCTCAGCTGGATTCTGCAGAGTGACTGGTGTACAGAAATCAGCTGCTTAATGTGCTTGGTTGCCCGGAGTAGTGGCTGCCTGCACTGGCTGAGAAGCGCCTTTCCCATCTTCAAGCGTATAAGCTTTTGTGGCTGCAGGACAAACGGCGCACCTTGTGTTCCTCTTCTTCTGCTTCATGACCAACTGCATCGTCACGTCCATGCTCCTGGTAAGGATCCTGGGGCGCGCTTCAATCGATTACTGGAGCGGTCAGATGCGTGCCTGCTCCTTCCGTCCTGTTCAGTTAGTGTCTTTCTAGAACAGAGAGCCCGGACGATTCAGAGCTCAGCCGCCTTGTGGTTTTGCAAGCGCACTTCAGTGCTACTGTCATCGATAAGTAAAGAATGCGAAACCTTCAGAAATTTCAACCTCAGGAACTAAAGGAACTGATGAGAATCCTTGCTTTGACTCTTATAAGAATTCTAGTGAGAAAGGGGTCAACAAAGCTGGAGCGGTGAAGTACGACTCTAGTCTGAGTTTCTGCTGACGCACCTGCCACTTGTGCTATTTCCAGCTGGGAGGCTCCTCTGTGGTCAACGCCCTCACTGGGATGAACATCTACCTGGCCTGCTTCCTCATTGTGAGTGCCGCTGCTTCTGACGTTGCCTAGACAGTTGTCAGCTGTGCAATCCTCAAGCGACTCCGACCTTGGCGAAAAAGGCGTTGTTGCGTTCGTAGCATCCATCAATGTTGCTGAATCTTCCGAGCGTCGATATGTTATCCAGCTGAACAACTGCTAAGATACTTTCTGGCAAACGTGCTGATTGTGTTCTTTGCATGTCCCTGCAGCCGCTGGGTGTGATCTTTTACACGCTGTCTGGCGGTCTCAAGGCCACCTTCCTGGCCAGCTACACCCACAGCATCTTCAGTAAGGCCCACGGCACTCCTCCTTGCAGCTCCTCTGGGAAGATCCCAAATCCAACAATCTCCATTTCGCGAACGGACTCGAACACGCCTGAAGAACTCGACACACGATGTCTACAATCATCGGCTGCAAGTTGTCCTTGTGCAGCTCTTCCTCGAGGACCAACAGAAGTGCAGGACTCTGTTCTTGACGCTAACGGCCGCCCTTGCGCCCCCCGTTATTGCAGTCCACGTGGCGCTGATGATGTGTACACCGTGTACACATCATGTGTACACATCATCGTGTACACCACCGACTCCGACCTGGGCAGCCCCAAGGCCGTGTACAACGCGCTCAAGGCGGTGGCCAGCAAGGACCGCGTCTGCACCGGCATCCCTGACGGCCACAAATGCGGCCCTGTGGCCGGCAACTACAAGGGCTCCTACCTCACCATGCTCTCTAACGGAGGCCTCGTAAGTTGGCCAGGCCTTCCCAGGCCAGCAACAGCAGGCTCAAAGCCGGCACAGCATGATGAGCAGGATGCCGGCCCCAGTCTTGCCCAGCAGGTGGGTCGCCGCAGCGGGCGGAACCAGGCCGGCGCCGGCTTCGCTGACGGTGAGGGGCAGGTCGAGGGCCAAGGCGGCCAGGCCCAGGGAGGACGCCAGGGAGAAGGGCACACAAAACCAGACAAGACCGCCCAGCTGCACGAGATGAAAGGAGGAGAGCGGTCGGGCGGAGGAAAAGGGGAACCAAGCGTCATGTGCGGTGGAGAGCCTGTCAGGTGCGCACAGCCGCTGATTGAAGGGCGTTCTCTTGCAGGAGGAGTTCCTTCGATCTCGAAGGACCGATCTCAAGAGCACGGAAGGCATTGTTTTTGGCCACAGGGGAGAGGTCGAGGGAGCCTACCAGGTAACCCTTGTGAGATGAGGACGGGCGTGCGGCGATGGCGGACTGCCAGTAGGCGTTATCGACGAACACCGTGCCGAAGTTGCCGACGATGTTGATGATTCCGAAGATCTGCACGCGGACAGATGAGCATCATGTCCGAGGAAATGCCTGTCTGGAAGACAGCAGAGGCGTCGGGGCGTCTTTGCAATTACTGACGTGCCAGTGCGCCAAGACGAGAACAGAGTACTATTACACAACTAACGTAACAAAAGCTCCGGGCCTTGCTGCTCAGAACGCCGGCAACTCGCCGCTCTCCTTGATTGAGGAGCACTCTCTCCCCTACGAGCTTGCCAAAGTGCATCTTTGATAGTTGGAGTAGTAAGTCTCGTATTTATGGCTGTAACAGTTCCTGCTTGTCGAACGTAGGTCGCTTTGCCTTGCATCAGCTCACGGAATGGAGACCTGGAACGCTTCTTCTCTTATCTCTTGAATCTCCGCTCGGTTATTGTCTTTCACGTCCCCTTAGGCACCTGCTGCAAACACCTTTCAGTCTCTACCTACGTCTGATGGCTATTCTCCGTGTCTGTGCAGGGCTGTGACGTCTTCCGGTTCCGCTGAGCTGATTGCCGTGAGCTCCCTGATGACGTACGACATTTACCGCACCTACATCAACCCCAAGGCCACCGGCAAGCAGATCCTGGCGTGCTCGCGCTACTGCGTCCTCGGCTTCGGGATGTTCATGGGAGTGCTCGCCATTGCGCTGTCAAAGGCCGGCGTCAGCCTCGGCTGGATGTAAGCCGCAAACACCCCCGTTTTGCCCCTCTCGTGACTTTTCTGATGAATCGTGTCCTCTTCAACCGTGCCTCAGTAAGCTCCAGACCTCCGGTTTCGCATCAACATAAAGTCCCGAGGTACATTTGACTGCATACTCGCTTCGGAACCGGGCCTTTGAACGTGAACCGTTGCTTGTCACCCTTGCCCCAGGTACGAGGCCATGGGCTGCTTCATCGGGTCCGCCGTCATCCCGGTCGCCCTGCTGCTGCTGTGGAAGAAGGCCAACGCCATCGGCGCCATAGCGGGCTCCCTCATCGGCATGGTGGCTGGCGTCATCACCTGGCTCGTCGTGGCCCAGGTGGGGCTGCTCAGACCGACTCTAAAAATCGGTTTACCTTCGCATCTTCCCTTCGGCTCCAATTCTTAGCCCTTCCACACGCAAAAAGTTCACCATCAGAGAAGATGCGCACAGCGCATGTGGGTTCAGTGCCAAAACGTTTGTGAGCAGCATCAAAAGCTCGGCAAAATGACATTATCATGTTGCCAATGTTTGTCAAGATTAAGTGATGCCAGCCTCCGTTGATATTTTGATCTACTTGTCACACAGCCTCGTTGTAATTTGCGGTTCGCCCGCCAAGGAGTGGTGCTGTCGTAGGCTGACGCTGCGCGCGCGTCGGTTTCTCCCCAGGTGCACAACGGCACGCTGGACCTGTACACGACGGGCAAGGACGGCCCCATGCTGTCGGGCAACCTGGTGGCCATCTTGTCGAGCGGCATCATCCACATCGGATGCAGCCTCGTTTGGCCTGAGGTGCGCGCGCGCCCGCGACGTGACGGCCGTGCGGCCCAGGCTTTACCCCCGCAAAAGCCCTTGTCCTCAATTTCTCCGCCTGCTTCGGCTAAAATGTCTGCTCGCCGAAGCACATTGTTGGCCTCAGCCAATTGAAACCCATAAGGGGTCTGAAACGTAGAGCTAACTCATCCAAACGCGTTGCCTTAGCTGTATCGAAACAGCAACAGCCTCAGTCGACTTCGCTCTTCGGTTTTAACGGCGTTTGTGTGCCCCCCTCTTCCAGGACTTCGACTTCGAGGCGACCAAGGCGATCACCATGGTGGAAAACGATGCACTGAATTTGCCCGAGGAGGAGTTTGCGCCAGAGCGCCTGAGCCACGCCAAGTGGTGGATCATCAAGTGGGGCTGCTGTTTCACGTTCGTCATGCTCGTCCTGTGGCCCCTCGCCACGCTCCCCGCGCGCGAGTTCAACCTCGGCTACTTCACCTTCTGGGGTGAGCATGCGCGCGCGCAGCCGGTTGATCGCTGCAGCTTGGAAGTGTTGCTTGAGCTCCAATGCAGTCTTGTCAACACTCCGCTACATTTTAAATTGCTTGAGATAATTTGGAATCTGTTCAGGTTTGACGGTAATGGTTTACGTCTGGTCAAATATGGTGAGACTGGAGCCGAATCGGAGTCGCTCCGGTGTTTGGTCGCCACATTGCACGTCGATCGGTCTGATCTGCCTAGAACGGGTGCTCCTGGCAGATTGGATTCTGATGTATGCCACCCTCCGGTGTCGTGCAGTGACGATCGTGCTGGGGTGGGGCACCATCGCGTCCGTGGTGATCATTGTGCTGCCGGTGTATGAGTCGTGGGGGGGCATCAGCATCGTGCTCAGCGGCCTCTTCACCTCCGACATCATGTACAAGAAGATCGAGGTCAGCCATCCGCGCGCGCGCGCTCTTCGTGATGGGGCATTCTGACGCCTTCTTTGTGGCGGTGTCAGAGAGGATCAGTAACTTTAAGACGGAGGCCTGAGATGCTGTTGGAAGAAGTGACTTGGCGGAACTCAGGGTTTGGACGGGTGCTTCTCGATCCATGACTCAAAGGAGCGGGAACCCAGGGCGTCGATATATCGCTTCCTAACCGTCCACGTCACCTCTTCCAACAGCGTCCCCGAACTTGGTCCCAAACCGACTGATTCTCTGCTTGAGCTGCTCTTCGGCCTCGGCCCCAAACGACTGATTCTCCTTGAGTCTGCTCTATGCTTTGCCCAAGAGCCGATTCCTCCTTTAAAGAGACGGAAGTTCCCTGGGAGTCTCCTTTTGAAGTCGCCCTGGCTGGAGCCGCGTGTGGAGCTACTTACACCCTGTCTGACGCTTTCAGCTGCGCTGCTCTCCGCAGGCCCTGGATGCCAAGATCGACGCTATTCTACGGTCCAATCCCGAGTACGAGAAGGCCTACACGCACGTCAAGGCCAAGGAGATGTCGCCGCCCCCCAAGGATTAGGCGGAGCGCAGGCGGCGCGGGACAGTCAGTATCGGTGTTGTCTTTTTGAGAATTCGCAATGAACTCCAAACGCGGAGGACGGGTGCCTCGTTAAGTAACTAGTAGTGTTCTATAGGTGGTCGTGCATCAGGTACGCAAGTTATATATCCCGAAAAGGGCGACGCGGCCTTTGATTCTCAGCGGGAGGCGTTGTCGAGCTCGAGGTAGCAGCTTTGAGCAGGGATGTAAGGGCGTAAAGAGTCCCGAAACATTCGAATGGCAGCTGTGATAGCTAGCGAATGAAAGTCACGGCAGATTCAACAGCACGTTGATGCGGAAAGAGCCCGCATTCACGAGAGTCTCGTATAAGAGACGTTATGGGTCCGCCAAATTGTTGCAGCGCTGTTTATCGGAATTCCATGGGTAGAGAAGTTCTACTAGTACCGGTCGAACAAGTTAGCGTTACCGTTCTCCTAAGGCGTGAGTTCGAAGAAAGTTAGGTTCAAGGGCTCTTTACTTCGGAACCTCATTCAATGCGATCGTGGTCAACAATAACGATGCACTGATTTTGTTGTTGTAACAGTAGATTACCAGTCACTATAAAACAAAGCCCCGTTTGAGACTGCTGAGACCTCAGATTCCGCCCCAATAAGATCGATGCGGGTGCGTCCATGTACAGCTGTACATGGACAAACTTTAGACCGGAGGAATGTCACCACAAGGGCTTGCCGGTCTCAAGTAGGCTCATCTGAGACTCATCCAAATTCTAAGGCGGCCTTGTCCTGTTAAGCTTTGCATCTGATTCGTGGTCGAGCGGCACAGCCATGAAAAGTACATTAACCGGCCGATGTCAACAAGACTACACTATCATCTCAATCAGAATGAGCATCTAAATCGTTCGATATGAATTCTATACTTCATGCGCGTGCGGAACAACGAGACATCATCGAATGATGCGCATGGTTATTATTTTATGTATTAATCAGCCAATGAGTAATCGAATGAAGTCCTCATAAAAGCAAGCTCTTATAAAACCTGTTGACGAACCGAGGGGTATGTGAACCTCACGTGACCGCGTAATTTGTTAAGCCTCGTGGCACCAATCCTCGTTGTTTCTCGTTGGTTACTGAATTCTGCCGTTATCTGAAACACGAGCTGGACCAAAGGTAGACATTGTACGTCAATGGTCATGCTATAAAATTCTCCAGATCTACTTAATCCACAAGCATCCCCGCTGCCTAGCTCATGATCTGTAAAATGAAACTTGCAGGTTCAGGAGCGTCTGGACCCCATATGGATTTGAGTCGTATTCTGAAAGTATGCGGGGACGACTTTGAAGAGCTGGGCACTGTGAGAGCATGGCAGTCTTTTGCACGCGCGGTAAACAGGAGCACAGTTGAAGTTTTTCCAGTGGATCCCAACATTTTTCACTGCTCAAACCCTTTCACTTCTGCACAAGGCTCAAGTAGTCTCTGCAATTGAAATCCGTCTGATGAAAAAACAATCTGTCCTGGCAACCTCCGGCGTCACTTTCCACGCCGGAACCTCGCACCACAGATCTCAACCCCGTCAATCCAGGTTTGAGTGGTTTTTTTTAAAAGGAACTCGTCAGCACATTACTTCTCTCATAGAGAACGGATCCTTTCTCGCCCTCACCATTAGGACCTAATGTCTAAATCCCTTGAAGCCAGGCGCACTGCCACGGAACACAAGTACAGAACTCTGCCGAGCACGCCGAGCTGTTCCGATCAGTCTTGGAAGGACGTACTGACCAGGACAATGTCGAAGACAGTCCATTTGGGACAGCCTCCGTCGAACGTACCGCTGAGTCTGTCAGAAACCGGAGCTGCTTCGGTCAGTCTCAGAAGAGTTCGTTGAGCAATTGTCGCCCGGAAGTCGACCGGGAAAGACCGGAAGATTGGCGAGGTTCTGGAGCGCTCCCTTCTTCAGGAAAGAGCGGCGAACCGTTCCTCGGTTGCTCGACCGATCAACCGGGCGGCTGAGGCTCCCTCTCAGGCTTGAGCTCCGCGACTAACCATGGCAAAAGCACCCGGCTCAATCACCCAGGCTCTGGGGTGGAAGTTTCAGAAAAAATAGAGGTGAGCTTGCAGGAGAAGCGCGCACAGGCGAGTGAGGTTACGAGCCAGCCGATCGATCGACAGGCCACCCCGGCAGCTAAAGGCCCCTTCCCTGATTTTAGTCCGCTAATAATCAGGGCAAAAGTGCTAGACAATGTCAGCTGGGCTCGGAGAAAGCTGCCTCGGGCGATTCAGAGGCGAGATCGCAGGAGAAGCGCGCGCACGCGACTGACCTTACGAGCCAGCCGGAAGCCCCCCGACCGGATACCGGCAAACGCTTGAGCAGTACGGAAGAAGCCCCGGTTTGCCAGCAGTCATGCCTGGGAGAATCTCCAGCCGCGTGAAGAACCAAAGAGAAAGGAGTTGCTTTCGAGTCTCTCCAGAAAATTTCGTTGCTAACGTGGGCTTGGTTCGTTGGGCTGGGAAGACGCGGCCGCGTCGCGCCTCACGGCCGGCAGTCCAAACGCGCGCGCTTCAAAATATGCGCTCCATGAGAAGGAGCACGATCACCGGCTCTCCATCTGCTACGGAAAGAGGGGTCTCCGTCATCAGAGGCGCGTTATCAGTGCCCATTCAGGGGTGGATCAGAAGCGAAATTGAGTGAGGTTGTGGAGAGCGGGACCGGAGCCAAAAGCGGCGAAGTTTCTGTGCGGAGCGGAAAGCTTGAGATCACAGAACCGGAAGGGACAGCGGAATCCGTTGGGAGCTATCGATGGGCTAAAATTTCAAAGTGACAGCTAGCGAGTGGGCCGCTTCGGGAGGCGTTTCGGGTGACCAAGACCGGGCGCCGTGGTTCTTGGTAGGAAGCCAAGAGAGGGCTGAGGAAGCGGGGCCTCAATTTCTGTCCGAAGAACCGGAAGTGGTCGCGTTCTTGCTCGAGAGTGTGATCTACCGGGTTGACAATGAAGCAGCATTGAGGAGTTTGGAGACAGGCATAGCCATTTCGGAAGACGAGAAGAATGCGCTCACTCCACGTGACAGTAACAGAGAAAGAGACAGGACCCCACGCCCGCTCAGTGACGAGAGCACGGACGGAGTAGAGTTGGCTGGAGATGCAGTGGTAAGACACGTGGCAGCTCGGGATGCTGACACGGCCCCCTCAGAGGCTCAGTCTGCTGGTGCTCGGGAGACGGGGACCGGTCTGACTGCTACAGGGAAAGAGAGAGGGCGAGTGACCACGGGAAAGGTTTCAGAGCCGATGAAACGTGACCGGGAGGAGCGGCTTGAAATCGGACCGGCGGCGACGGGAATGGCGCGCAAGTGGCGGAGCGGAGCGTTCCGGTCACACGAGAAGCAGAGGAACAGCAAGGTGCATGCAGAAATGAAGAGTGTGAAGGAGGTCTGGTTTGCGCTGTTGCTGAGAATCTGGAAGGACCCGCGGGGCTTGTGCCGGGTCCAGGAAACGAACTGGAAGTGTCTGAAGCCTGGGCCGGTGAACTGGACGTAATGGAACGGGTCCCGGCGGAACGCGAAGGCGGAAGGGCCGACGAAACTGGAAGCACTGCCCGGGAGTCTGATGAGGGAGCCAGGTTGTATCGAGCAGATTTGGACAAGACCAACTTGGGCGAACTTTAACTTCGAACGGAGATAAATTGCACAGAAGCGTGGCAAGCGGAACCAGTGCGAGCGGAACCGTCAGACACGGACGGATCCGATTCGGACAAAACGAAATTGGATAGACTCAGTCTAGTGGGAACCAATCTGGACACAAACAACTCGGACGGATTTCAGGAGGGAGCCAAGCGTGGACGGATGCTGTATGGACGGAACTGCTTTGGGCGGATCCAGCTCGTACGGAACCACCATGGACAAAATCGTTTCGGACAGAACCAGCCTGAACGCAACCGTTCTGGAGACGCACCATGTTGGAAATAACGAGCTCAACCATAGCCGATCTGGCCTCAAGTGGTCTTGGCGGAACCAGCTTGGGCGGATTCAGCTTGGGCGGGAGAAACCAGGAAGGAAACAGGCCGAGCCGAAGCAGTCTGGGCGGACGTGGGCAGAGACTCGGCGGACCGTTCTCTTTGCCGAAGCTGAAGTTTGAGAGCGCGCCCGGAGAAACAGGCTGTGCCCGCTGGGGGGGCGCATCAATTTTCCGCAACGGAAGCCGAAGCTCCGGTCAACCTGGCGGAGCTGGCGGAACGCCGGCCAGCTCTGAAGGAAGTCAAGAAGCGTAAGGCTAGCAGTCCGGAGATGATCCAGTTGAGACTCTTTGACTGACCCAATACATGTGGCACAAAATGATTCGATACAGCCAGAAACAATGAGACTCACCGCTGAATGAGGAATCTGCCGTTCTAGGAACAATAACAAACTACATGCCCTTACAGATTCCGTCTTGAGACAATCTTGATCTGGTCTACAATTCTAGGGATCGCACAATGATAAGCTGACTGGCAGCGAGAGGGTAGAGTCAAAGCCACACTTTAGTTATGAAGTGTTCCAGAGTTCCACAATCATATGCAATGGTTGCTTTCAAACGTTCATGCTTTCTGGAATGCCGCAAGGAAGGTCAATCTGCTGCACGCTGCAGATTAGCAATAGATTTCAGAGTCTACTTGAGTTATTCCTGTACGTTATTGATTTTTGATTGCCTTTTTATGCCTTTTTTTCGAAACCTGTGCCTCTCCTTACAAACGTAATCGACGCGTTGGCAGCAATATGATTGTCCAATCTTTGGATTGCCCTTCGACCAACTTCCGTTTAATTCACAGAACGTCAGATTTTTATGCCGTCCCTCGTACTAAAACTGATTGTTCCGTCATCGTTCCACAGGTCCACTCCCCGCGGGAGCGGAACGGCTTCGCTGCCACTTGTCTCATCAATGGGCGGGCCGTCCTCATCATTTGGCTCTCCCTGGCCCGCAAACAAGAATCGCTGACGCAGCGTGCACTACTTCCTGAACTGGCGAAAAGAGCTGCGCCGAGAGGGGGGCCAACGCTGCCTTAGATTTGGCCTCTTGCGGTGGACTAGATTGGTAACGCTGGGTTTGGATTCTGTTTCTGGCGGACGTTTGGGATCCAGCACAGTCGCTGCTTCACAACCGATTTCCGTCGGTGGTTTGAAACCGGGTTCGGATTACGTCGATTCAGGAGGGGTCCCAGTGGACACAGATACAGTCATCGCCGGTCAGTGTCGGAGGATTGGCACGGCAGGTCAACAAGAGTGGGCTTCAGAAGGAATCCCCTGGCGGAACGATTGGATCCCATACTGCTCCGATCCGCCCAGGGTAGGACGAGCGAATCAAAATTTCAGCCCCTCCGTTCCGGTTCCGGTCACGGCAGAGCTTCTCAGAATGGAAACAGAGCAGATCATCGAGGAAAACGGGGTAGAGTTGGACGTGACGGAACCAGGGCGGAAGCTTGGACAACGGAAAGGGAATAACGGAGAAGAGGCCGGGCTCCGGAGCGAGCGACAGCGTCGAGGTGCTGCTGCAGGAGCGGTCGCCGACGAGGATGGCGTCAGCGGCGAGACCGAGTCCGAGTCGGATGGTGAGCATTACTTAGGGCAGAATCTGAGCCTAAGGAAGCGAGCCAATAAGAGTCGAGCGTGCTTCAGTTCGGGCTACCTCCGTCATCTTTTCCTTATGCCGCAAAGTCCTCTCTTGGCACCCGCTGCCACACACCATATGCGATTTTGTGAATGGGGACATTCGTGATAAGGAGGACTCAAAAGGCAAGGAAAGGGAAAAGAATTACTTTGAGCACGTCTGAGCAGACAACGGCAATACCTCTGATGCGGTGGCGCTCTCAATGCCCTCGCTCCTCGTAGGCGGCAAGCGCGTCCGCTGCAGGCGCGGGTGCGGGTGCGTTGACGGCGTTCGCTTTCTAGACAAATCGTTGGTTCCGTCGGGAGTTTGCGCTTTCGGGACTACGCCAGTGAGCGAGGCAAACGTCTTGGCGGCGACCTCGAAATGCGCGTGAGTGATGCGGACCAGTGGCAAGTCAACCAGGGCGAAGGCCATGGCGCCCTGGGACACCTCGCCAAGGTGCGGAAGCTGCGCGCCCGCGCAAAAAGCTCCGGGATCTAGGGTAGCGGTTTGCGGAAGCGAGACTTTAATGGGCTTAGGGGTTAGGACGCAGTTTGCAGATGTGAGGAGGAGGAGCGTATGAGACGAACCAGGCCGTTGGTGCAATGTGGTGCGGAGTCCAAGGGCTAACTTTTTAACTTCATTCAGTCGCAATTCATTCAACGGAATCATACCTTTCCAGCCAGGAAACTATGGTAAGTACCGGATGCACTGTGGTAACGACTGGGTACATAACGTACTACCCAGACTATCGTATCCACGTATCTCCGCAGTCTGGGCCCTGCACAGGCCGTTCCGACTTGTGTCGCCTTGTCGCCTATACTGCAAGCGGCCATGTAATTACGAATTTGACTCGCACGTTTGTTGGCTTGTAAGTTGTCCCCGTTCTTTCGGAGTCGCCGGGCATTTTCGTCACACCAGCTGACGAACCTGGTGTAGGAAGCTGGGTACCCCATAAGTACAGAAGCGTAAAGTACATTCTAGCTCCGCTGTCTGTACTTTGTAGTCCTAGCTAGGTATGGCTGCTTCCTAGTCTCTAGCCCGCCCCGACCTGCGGTTCCCGACGGTTCCGGACTCCGGAGTCCGGACTCCGGAGCCCTCGATCTTAATTAGCGGTACGGTATCCGTACGGTGCACGGCCGCCGAAACGAATCTGACTATGCACGACTTCTTCTGATGCACAAACCGTCTCAATTATTGACCAAGGGGCAAAAAAAGCGATTTGGCTGTAGGACGCAATCAAGGAGACTTGCCCTTCTCACTTCCACCGAAGCAGATTCTGTTCCCAGGGTGGCAGCTCCCTGGATAACCCGTGGTACCTGCCTGAATATTCAACGATGGAGGGGCTTGCTTTTCCGATATATCTATCGAGAAATATATTCGATATTCCAAATATATTCGATATGAAAGCTTGCTTTCCAGGATTTGCACTGTATAAATATCCAAATTATCGAATAGATTCAGGTATAAGCCCATATTTGTATTTTATCAGCAATATATCCAATATTATCGAATATATTCGGGTCAGAATCCTGGCATATCCGTGCTGGCACCCTACTATTGGATGTATTTGGTATTTATCCGGACGAATAAATCAAATAGACATACCCCCCCCTAAGCAAATTTTAAATAAAAGTGGTGATATGTGCTCAGCTCGACGAGACGAATGCAATGGTGCAAACAAAACTGGAATATTCATTCGGATTCTGGACGATAAAAGCATTTATCAAAATTTATTGCATTTATTTTTATCCAGGGAGCTGCCACCCCGGGATTCTGTTTCGCCGAAGCTGCACCATTTGTTCACGGCAATATCCTGACTTGACCCAGGGTTACCGCAGAACGTCAATTTTTGTTGCTCGACATTCTCGGTCGGGCCGGAGATGGTCTGGGAAGGTGCAAGCTACCGAACTTGGTGGTGCCTAGATCTGTCCTATTGTGGCCACTGCTTCAGCTGCCAGCCCGTGTTTCCCGCTAGGTGTTTGTCACCAACTACGGGCCCCGGTAAGTCTTTATATGAAGTAACCCGATTCTCCAATAGTGCTGCACCTTTGGCATTTGCCTACCAGCCATGAAGGTCCCAGCTCAAACTTCCGGCAAATGGCAAATCTCTGCCCAGGGCCGCCCGAGGGCACGACCGGGTGATATCTACTGAGGCCCGCCGCCGCCCTGCACAATCTAGGTACCTAGATATTTGGTACCGTTGGGTACACAGATAGGTACATATGTTGGTACCGTCGTCCGCTTTTCGTACCTACCGGTACCTCTGGGACCGTACGGAAAAACAGAGTTTACGGTTCACGTCAGACGAGCCGGAAAGAACTCCAGAAAGGACTTGGACATGTGCACTCTGTGTGCACTGTGCAGGCACTGAACTTCGAAGGCAGCAACAAACAGCAAGCACCTTCAAGTTGGGCATGTGCAAGCACTGTAGAGTGTAGACTAGGACTAGCTACTTATAAGCTACCGTAGTCCAACGTGATGATTCCGAATAAATAACTAATTCTCTGCGTTCGGAAAGTCAGAAATTCGGATTTCCCATTCGGAAAGTGAAAATTTCGGAAAGGTAAAATAACCCTGAAATGGTCCTCGGAAGCCGTAAAACTGCCAAAAGCAGCCAAAAACTCCCCTTTTGAGTGAGACCATAGGGCATTCGGATTTTGGTCGGAATCAGCATAAATAATTCCACTTTCCTGGTCGGATTGTTGGAAAATAATTCGAAATTAAATCGTTCGGAATCATCACGGTGGAAGGCAGCAATTTGCACTAGGGGAGACTAGGACCCAGGTACTGATCCAGAGTACTGAAAAGTATCTACCGAGGTACCGGACGTAGGTAGGAAGATCGGCGAGTCTGCCTGGCTCTGCCACTTTGATTGTCCCTGCATTGCATTCTCACCTTCAAATTCAAGTTCAAGT